GCCTCATCAGTTTTGTGGTCTATAGGGCTGAAACAACTAATCGATTAATCGACGACTAATCGATTATTGAAATAGTCGACAACTATTTGAGTAATCGATTAATCGTTTTCTGGTTCACACGGACTCAAACAGAGCAAAAATGACATGAAAATGTAGTATTTTTGATTAAAACCGACTTTGTTTTTATAATTTCTATAATAATCTGTCTGTCTCATCCAATCAGATAGCAGAATTAGCACAAAGAGCCTGTTACAAACATTTACTTTAAGTTTACGCCATCAATACGTCCTCGAGTGTTGCCACTTTAGCTTTTTGTGATGAAAAAATAATTTTTTTCTACACAATTCACAGCCAAGCGATTACTCGATTAATCGTAAAAATAATCGATAGATTAATCGATTACAAAATAATCGTTAGTTGCAGCTCTAGTGGTCTATCTTTTGGCCGGTTCTCATCTCCATTGACTTTAGCAGCAAACGCACAGTGACCTTTGATTATCAGTGCAGACCCAGGATCCCCACAGGGCGAACTCTCACCTTTCATCTGCCCTCCCTCTCAGCAGGACCTTCTCGGCCTTGTTTCTTTCCAATGCTCTTAAAGGAGGCTTGTATCTTTCTAATTACAGATATGTAAATGTGGTCTCAGCTGGATTGCATTATTTTGTCGGTGGGTGGAGAGAGTCGTAGCCGAGTGCCTAATCCTGGCTAATTAAGGATTAATTACAATTGATAGGTGCCTTCCACCCCACTATATTGGTGCACATTGTTGTCCCAGGCTGTGTTTGTATTTTCCACCCTGTGACATGATAATAAACACAACAGACAGAATTATCAGGGCTGGTTTTTGAATTTTTAATGCATTCTGTTCAGTACCAGACCACCAGCCTGTTAGTGCACTTATTGATAATAATATGAACTTCTTAATGACATTAGAATCTTAAAAACTGTTACGTGTTCATAAAATGTAATATTCAGATTTAAATTCAAACACATTTTTGTCTCTGTTTTCTGTAATTTCCTTGTGACCCTGACAGATTTAAGTATTTGCCACAACAATAAATGCTTAGTTCTACTTCAAAAAATCAATCGACAGTAACTTTTAAAAGTACTCTTGGTCTTTCAGTTTGTTCCGTTTGTATCATGTTTACTTAACTTCATTCACAAAGTTTGACAAAGCTGGTCTCATAAATCACTAATAGAAAAAACCTATTGGAATGACAAGAAATGTATATGATGTTTGGAAGTAATTGGTAACATCCCGATCATCCTCTTCACGATGATCTTTCCACTAAAATGCAATTTCTGGTCATATAATAAGGAATGTTTAGTTAGTAAGAAAAGTGTATTGAGTGGGCTTTGGTGACCAGCAGAAGTTTAAGGTCAGTGATTTCATTGATCTCTAAGGACGTGGCACCAACGGAGTGCCACCGTGTACCCTGGCATCTCTGGCACCATCTGACGGTGTCATAATGCTTGTTCACTTGTTATAAATGGGCGCTGCTCTTCTGATCTATCGCTTAATTGCCACCTAATTTGCATAACAGTGCAAATTAACGACCTCTCAAATGAGCGTTCATTTTTCACAAAGTCTTTAGGAGCTCCTTAAGAGTCTGTGCTAATGAGCGCAGGAGGCAGCTGGCCTGATGAGAGTTGACTGGGGGAAGATCCGCGCCGTAACAAGCCTCCTGTTTAGGTGCTCTTCGTCATCCTCCTCTTCCTCTTGTGACATTTCAATTTTTCTGTGTTTTGCTGAACTGCGCCGGGCATGTGTTTTATAGGTCCGCGCACAGGTGCTTGTTTCATCGTTCTGCGTCAGTCTTTATCGAGGCTGGAGCTGAGGTTAAGTAGTGTATTCTGGGACACACTTTGAATCACATTTTCACATATTATTTTTGTTAAAGACATTGGATAACCACAGTGGTCGCAAACCCAATATTGTCATTTTTGTTGTTTTTTTTTGTGTATATGCATTCTCTCACTCCAGAAAAGGCAGTATCTACAAACACTTAGAGACAATGAGGTATTTATATAACCATTTTAAAGTCTTGGTACTAGTCCAATGAACGTATGGATTTTTTGAAATGGAAAACTCATAATAAAAAGTGTTTCGCACATGTTCAAACTGTGGCTATTGTGGCACGGGCAATTGAAAATCTTTATACATTTGAATGAATATATTTTTGGGGATATCAAAAAAAGTATGATTGAAGATGGAATTTAAGTTACTGCCAATATACATCATATCAACTATATTTTTGTATTACATATGTACGGCCCGGACTATATGCGGGGGGTTATGAGGGGAGGGGAGGGGGCGTCATATCTCCTCTACATATGGGAAACACTACACAATTATGCAGCCTGTGTGCAGTCTCATATTCAAACAAGCTATGTGACAACTCAAATTGATTCATCGGTCATTAAATCCGGGTGCATGTTTGGTGCGGGACTGTTCTGTTGTGAGGGGGTCCTCCTCTCGCGCGCCCCGAGTCGCCCTCTTTAGTTAAAGGTATAAAGGAGGATTTTCCCATATTTTAGGAAAGAACCGCCCTTTCTACTTTTTGAACAAAACTCTCTGCTCTTATTGGACAAGGACGTATAAACAGAATGATTGACATTTGGGAGGACCAATAGTGTTGATGATCCACCCGGAAGTAAAAAATCCTCTTGGATACCTTTAATTAAGGCCTGATTAATGATGTGTTTGAGTCGAGTGTTGTGTTTGCCCAAGGTGCGAGTTCTTCCCTTAATTTGCACCTTTAATCCAGGCGCTGTGCTTACCCCAAATGCCTCCCGCTCTGTGAGGAGTGGGGGGCGGCGTGCAACAGGACTCCTCCGTTCAACTACCTAAACAGATGCTGATTAGCGTGAGCTGCTTAAAGTAGCATGAACATATGGATTGGGCTCATTAAGTTAACTGTAGTCCACAAAATAATGCTTGTAAAAAAAAAAGGGGGGAAGAAACTGTTTATATCCACTATTGTCAGAAGGAATCTGCCTTTACTAAAATTTATTTGGCTAAAAGCCCAATGGGGAAATTATTCATTTTTAATGCCAGCTGTCCAGTTTGAATATTGGATGCCACAGCTAGCCCAAGGCAACATTTGATTCATTTTCCTTTCCCCTGCCATATTTTACTAGCATGTTAAAGTCAGTCTGAGGCTTCATGAATGTCAAGTATATAGACCTACTTTAGATCTGGCCTGACTCCTTTATGAACTTACAATCTTTTCAATTATGTATATCTTGAATTTTTATGTATTTTTCTTTTTACAGCTAGAGCCTAGATCTGAAACTTGGCATGTGTTAGCGTTTCAAAATCAACCTTGAATTAATCTCCCAATTAAATGTATTACGTAATTACATTTAATTAGTGTTGTGCATGTGTTGTGCTCCATCTTGTTGCGTTTAGAACAATGAAAGTAGGTGTTCTGGCTCAGACCAATTTGTGCATCCACTGCCAAAGCACACCTACCACACTTATAATTTTAGCATGTTCGCAGTTGACTATTGTCCCTCTGGAGCTGAATTAGTTTTTTTTTCCTTGTTTTGTGCAACACATTTGCATATTCACGTTTTATTGTGAAAGCCATCCTTTTCTTGGCTTTTTTATCTGAATCTGCAATGAAAGGAATACACTGATGTTTCCATAGCGCTATCTTTACAGTGTTTGGCTGCTTTTCTCTTTGGCGCCTCTGTATTTTCCTTTCTCTCTCTCTCTCTCTCTCTCGCACACATATCTTGTCTTTTTTTCAATTCTCCTTGGCTCTCCTTCCACCCTCTTTCTCTCCTTACCTTTTTTCGCCCTTTTTTCTCCCTCCCTCCCTCCTTCCCTCTCTCTCTCCCCCAGTGAAAGGCTGAGAATACCCAAGGGAGCTGATGCAATTAAAATGCTAATCCTGTCTGTCTACAGAGAGAGAGGAAGAGGGGGGCCTGACAGCATGAGGAATTGCAGCTCACATGGAGAACTCGGCTGAAATGGAGAACAGAGGAGTGGTGGTGGTGGCGGTGGTGGTAGATGCTGTGGGGGTGCGTCGAAAAGGAGAGAGAGGAGCGGGATCGCGGGGGGAAGGGGCACTCCGTCGAGGGGAGGGAAGAAGCAAAAGAAGGGGAAAAAACGGGGGGTGCGAGCGAGCGAAAAAGACAGACAAGGATAAAGCTTGTGCTATGAGCTGAGCAATGATATACTGACTGCGTTTAAGTCTTATCTCTCCCTATGTGCGGAAGGCATTACAGTTAATGTACAGCTCTGCTCTATTGGTTAGGGTGGCTCGCCCTCACTTGCACCGATACATATTTTTCCCCTCTCTGTTGTCTCTCCGGTGCCGGTAGCGCACTATTTCGGCTTGAAATGAGAATGATTATGTATGCAGCGAAGGCCCAGCTGGATACCCTGAATATTTCATAGTATGTGTTGCTCTCCGCTCCGGCTCTCAATGCCACACGGCCCAGCGCTGGTGCTGCTAACATGCATAATAGTGGGATTTCTCTTCGGGCCACGGAGCAAGAGGTGGACGGCCCTTTGCTGTTTGACTACGCTGACATTAGTAGAGCTGTAATGTTGAGCTAGAACAAGATAAGGCTCCCTGGTTTGTGCACAGACTTGACATTGCAACATCCGATTAGTCACATACGATTGAAGGGAGTACATTCATATGGCTTAAACATGCAGATTTTGTAATTTAGCAAGATTAAGTTCTTAGTCAATACATGATCAGATTTTGATTTGGATAGTTATGACAGAAAGATCAAATGCCTCCCATCTATGAAGTAATCCATTCTTTGAGTTCTCTACAGTGTATGGATTTTAAGTTTGCCTCAAAGACCCGTTTTGACCTGAGATTATGCTAAACATTATCGGTGTACTATTTAACTCATTTTAACAGCTGCTATAATACCGCTAGGCCACTAGACTGTGCATGAGTGCAATTGTGGGTAATCATGGCTTAATTGGAGTAATTAGGGGAATGTAGGGGCATTAGGCTACAGCTGGGGGCCATAATGAGCAGTGGGGGCAAAAGGGAGGAGGGGCTGGGGAGAGGTGAGCCGCTTTAGGAGACACTGTTGCCCACTTCACTGTTTGCGGCGGAGTGTATTAAACTTGGAAAAGACATTGTAGGTAAATGGTGTGCCACAGTGGAGACATAATGCTGTCATAAGACTAATGTTGGGTCTTGAAAATGAGCTGTTGCAAAGTACTCTGCTAGAACTGGGCTCTAACTTTGGTTAGTTATTTTGGTTTAGCGTTGATAAGCAAAATATCATACTGGTATTATTGAGTGGGCTTCTGCACATAATTAAAATGCAATCACATTTGTTACTTCTGTTTATAGATGGACTAATGACGGTATCACTTTGCAGGTGTGAGATCACATTTCCAGGGTGTTAGAGCTCTCTATTGATTCAACAAGTACAGAAATGATATCTGTGATCAGTGAATCAGTGAGTGGCTATAGGTTATCTGCCCGAGCGCTGAAGTGAATGGCCCAAAGCAAAGAAAAAGAGGAGGGAAAGAGATGGGCGAATCAGGGTCATTAGTTCAGGCGGCTGGGTCTGCTGCATTCCTGAGCCCTGAGATGGGGGAGCAGCAGAGCAGGAATGTGCTTGCAGCCAGAGGAGACCAGAGCACCGCCAACCAAACGGCAAGAAGGAACAAGAAAATAGGAGGGGGCAGTGGAGGGAAAGTTGGACACTTTGCTAAAAGAGGTTTTAACTGGTGGAACAGACTCATTTATCAAATGAAACTTGGAAAAAACACTGTTTTGTTCTCGGAAACGGCTCTGTCCTCATTTTGTTCACATCTGTTGTCTGTACAGTGTGGTTAGTCAATTGTGAGGACTGACTGCAAAGCAATTTTCTATTAACTTGTGCTCTACATGTAGACAAAGGATGTTATCCTATATAAAAACACTGCAATATATAGTAAAATGTACAGAGCTTTTTAAAAATAGATATTTTTTTTCAACATAAATGTCAACCAGCCTGACAACTACTACTTTAAGTATTCATTTATTGATTTATTTTCATTTTTGCCACAATAGATTGTTCACTCTGATGACATTCTCTTTTGACAAAAGACAGGAGCACATTGTGCCATGCTTTATGTTATGATAATAATGAATGTGAGCGACACAGTAGCGCCTCAGCTTCAAAGGCAGTTGTTTGAGCTGTGAGTTTTTGGTGAGGGCAGTGTGTGAGAGAGATGAGGGCATGGCTGCAGGCTGACAGAGGTTCTGCCATAATACAGTGGTAGAGAGCAGCCACTGATAACTATACTTATGGCCACTGGGGCTCACAGTGACAGCACATGCACTCCCATTACTGGTCCCATGCCTCATGCCCTTATCTTTGGCAGGCTGCCACTGAGGGGCCACACTGCCCTCTGCTGGTGGTATGGAGGAAGTTAAGGCTCATTGAGCATTCAGCCAGGCGCTCAGAGCAATGACTCAGGGGACCAACTTGACCAGTGTTGACAAGCCAGCACATCTTTGAATGTTGTCACTGAAACAGATTTTTCCTCGATGTCCACATGTAAACCTCTGCAATCATCACTGCCTGTTCCAGGGGGTAACTCTTGTGACTTGTGTCTGTTCCAGTGCTGAGTATACGAGGCGTGCAGGAGGAGGACCCCCCAGACCCTCAGATCATGAGGCTGGACAACATGCTGCTGGCCGAGGGTGTGTCGGGGCCAGAGAAAGGAGGGGGATCAGCCGCCGCCGCTGCAGCTGCAGCAGCGGCTGGAGGCTCGCCGACTGACAGCAGCATCGAGCACTCGGACTACAGAGCCAAGCTCGCACAGATCCGCCAGATCTACCACTCTGAACTGGAGAAATATGAGCAGGTGTGCGATCTGCTTTTCTTTCTTTTTGTACTCATGGCAGAAGTAGATCAGTGAGAAGAAACGTGATGTACTTTCCACTTCATCTGGAGCCAGTTTTAACATGAAGGTTCTTCCCTTTTGTAGGCATGCAGTGAGTTCACCAACCATGTAATGAACCTGCTGAGGGAACAGTCCCGCACACGACCCATCTCTCCAAAGGAAATCGAGCGAATGGTGGCCATCATCCACCGCAAGTTTAGCTCCATCCAGATGCAGCTCAAACAGAGCACCTGCGAAGCCGTCATGATCCTGCGCTCTCGCTTCCTCGACGCCAGGTTTGTCCGACACATTCACATTATTTGCAAGAGAAATGATGACCGAGTATTTGAAACATGTTGCTCAATATTTCTTTGTCTGTGTCAGGCGTAAGCGGCGCAACTTTAACAAACAAGCCACAGAGGTGCTGAACGAGTATTTCTACTCTCATCTTTCTAATCCTTACCCCAGCGAGGAGGCTAAGGAGGAACTGGCCAAAAAGTGTGGAATCACTGTGTCTCAGGTGAACTATCGTCATGCTGTATTACAATGATATAAGGATCTACAGTGTATTGTTCCAGGTTTTAAAACCTCCAAATCATAATAAAATGGCAACATGCCAAATTAAGTATTAGGAGATTATAAAAGCATGTTAATCAGTGCCTGCATAAAAAATCTGCCACATATTTGCTCCACAGGTCTCTAATTGGTTTGGCAACAAGAGAATACGCTACAAGAAGAATATTGGTAAATTCCAGGAGGAAGCAAACCTTTACGCAGTCAAAACAGCAGTAGATGCTGCCAATGTGTCGGCACAAGCCAGCCAGGCAAACTCTCCTGCAACTCCCAACTCAGGTCAGTATGTCCTAAATAATATTATCCAATCCGGTGATTAGGATATGTCTGCAGTTTCATAACTACAGCTAGTTTATATGATCTGTGCACAACATTGCTCCAAAGATCTTGTCCTTGGTTGTCTTGCCTTTTATTCTTCCAACAAGGGCAACCTCATGTCCTCTACAGCCAGACAGTTGTGCCCAGTGTACCCTGACACGATTATGGGCAGACGACGGCAGACAAGCGCTCCACGACCATAAATTCAAGTTTTGTCACCTGTGAATAACGTTCACTTCTGACACTTTTTACTGTATGTCTCAGAGCAAAGAAGTATCTCTCTGTGACGAGCCTGTAAAGCATTTTTCTTACGCCTCTCATCGACGCTCCCACGTGTTGATTGGGACAGACACTGCACTGGGACTTCTGGTGGTGCAGCTGATGGCCTCTTTACTATATATTGCCTGCAGGGTCTCCGGGGTCGTTCACTTTGTCCCACTCGGGGGACTCCTACCTCGGCCTGCGCTCCCTCAATGGGGAGGGCCTCAACATCGCCCCCTCTCTACAGCCGCAAGTATGCACTGAGGACAGCTGCAGAGCGACCTCAATGCCTTTAACCCACGCCACCCAGTCTCTCACATACCCACCTGTAGAAGCCCAGCTCCTTTTGACCCGTGAACTGTCTTCCCGAACTGTTTATAGAGCTGACCCCTCTGACCCATCAAGAACTCCCACGTTTTAGCCTTCCTGTTCCTGTTTTCATGTGTATTTTTTCAGTACAATGAAAAAACGCCTGATATCCAAAATCCCCTTGTGTACCTACTAGACTGAAAGAATCCCTTCATATTCCTTTGTAGTTGACCAATAGTAAAAAAAAATATATTTTTTTGTTTTACCTTTTAAAGGGGACATATTGTTGCAAAAATTGACGTTGGTTTCAATAATAGTAATCTTTATTCCGGTTCACACTGGGGCAGTCTTGCAGTTATTCCAATGTGGTTTCACTGCAATATGAATCTTATCTCTTATCTCATCTAACTGTATTCAAGTCAACATCGTTCAGCAAGTTTCCGTACACGAATTATACTGCAGCTTGTTACTACTCTTGTACCACTCTGATATTCTTTAGTCTGCACTTTGAAGTTAGGGTTGCCAAAAAAAAAATCAAAAATCAGATATTATAAACAAAGCATTATCAAAACTTGATAATCCATTGCAAACTGCAACAGGATAAAATGTGTAAGAATATTTTAAACCATATCAGAGGTAAAAAATGCTATGCAAAGTAGTATTTTATCACACCATTATCACTGTGGCATCAAAAGAGTTTGACAGCGACGTTGATAGAATTTATATTTGAACATTGATATTTAAAGCGCTCAAATGTTGTCATAGATAAAGACCAACGCACAATATGTCTTCTTTCAATGAAACCAGTGTTTGCCTCATGACTCAGACTAACAGCTGATGTGTCACAGGTGGATACCCTGCACCCTGCTACACACCTGACGGCCGGTTATGAGGAGCTGTCAGGAAGTGCCCTCTACACCCCTCATCGCCTGGATGTAAGTCTGGATTTATGCACATATTATTCATGTGCTTTTTTAGTCCTAGTTGTGGTGAAGAACTGTGTTGTAAAGATTTATCCTCAGTGTTTCACTTTAATATTGGCATAGGAAAGGCTGCTCACTCTGTCATATCTAAACATCTACATTTTTAAGTGTGCTATTGTTGTTTCTTTTCCCTGATGAAGGCCTTGTGCCGAAATGAAAAAGCATCTGGATACGTTCTATTTAAGTACTGATTTGCAACTGTGCCAAGAGTCTCGCTGTGCGAGAATACTTTCTTTATGCAATTGTGCTTTTAAAACAGCTTTAGAAGTGAACTCATTTATGAGTAGAAAGATTATGGGACGTTATTTTAGAATAGATTTTGAAGATGGGCACAATCGCAGCATCATTTTCATAATATTTTGTGTACTTTGAAAATTTGACAAATAAAAAATGTATGTATATTGCTCTTTAGATAGTATAGCATAGCATAGCATATGTATAGATAGCCTTATGGTTAATCAGACCAGCAAGTGTAAACGTGCCATTTCACGCCATTACGATCAGCACAACTCTGTCTGCAAATCCCAAGTATCATTATCAGAATCTTCTCAAGTTACATCGAGATTCTTATTTGGAAGTGTCGTTTTTCTCCAGTGTGTGAACTTGGACACACAGGTTTACATCAGTGAAATACTCGCACATAACAAGGGTAATTGTGCTACAAGCAGCTAATTAGGATGGAGTGCGTCTTGTTGAATCAATAGAGGATCTTGCATATTTTAACTTGTTACCACGGTGAAGATGGGGGGCGTAGAAGTAGAATTTTTTTCATTAGGTACGTCTTCTGTTGCGCCTACATGCCTACATTACCCGTGGAGTGTAGATTGGGGGTTCTGAAGTAGCTGAAAACGTTCTCTTAAAGTGCCGTTAATAACATATGGTTTTGCTTTTGTGCGTAGGCTAATAGCTGGCAGGACACCACCAATACTTCCTCAGTCACCTCCCCTCCAGGTCCTCCCAGCAGCGACCACTCCGACACCTCCAACTGACTCTGTGGCTCTGTCCGCCATCTCTCCATTCCAACTGCGGCCTGCTCGACTCGCCACCTTTTACGTACCGCGTCTGAAACCTCCAACTGCGTTCATCGACGACAACTTGCAAGGACTGGATAGCGATACAACTGCAGATCGACGGCTCGTGGTGCTACAACATGTGTGACACTCATAAACAAGTGTGGTATGGAGCAAACTGACGCTGAAGCAACATTTCTTTTCAAGGACTTTTTTGGAAATCTCCGACACCCAGGCGTCTTTACATCACCTGTATGTGCACGTAACCTTTTGAACATAGAGCTCCACAGGACGTTTTGCTTTGGAAATCTCTGCGTTTGCCTGTATCACTCCAAACACTCTGAACTCTTGATACAGAATACCAGGGGGCGCCGCTGGGCTCACCTCGCTCGTACCAAAGTGCTACCCCGGTAGTTGTCAAAACACATCCTTCGAGATCACCTCTGCCATCTTAACACAAGACACAACTGTTGTAACTTTCTATGTTTGCGCTAACTGCTCTAAAACATTAACCAACCACGCGATATTTCGAAATGGGTTTTTAGTCGTGAGCTAAGATTCTGTCAAGCACAAACGTTAGCATCCTCGTAATGGCCGTTTTCTGGTAGAGAAATGGTTGTCAAATGGTTGTCCAGGCGATCACGGTTCAAAGTAATCCAGGATCAGTAATAACCAAACCAAGGGATCAGGCAGACAGGTGCAGTGGATGTAACTACAGTGCTATTCGATGCTAACCAATAGAGGGTGTTGGTAGATGGCTCCTAGACTTCTTTCTGCTTTCTGTCCACTAGTTTATTTGATTGTAGGCTATTTTCTAATGCTGTTTCACCAAGAATGCACCAGCCACCACCAAAAATGAGCTCAATACAGCATCTCTGTGATGTGAGGAGGAGTATAAGAGGAGTTTGTGGGGCACTGATGTGTTGTTGGAACAAATGTGACATGAACTTAGAAAGTGACAGTCTTCCATGCATGTAGGACTTCTAGACGTGATATCGTTTTTCATTACGTTTTTAGCTTCATTTTTTTATTAATAAAAAATAAAAGGGTATAATTATTACAGTCAGACCAAAAAGGAAAAACCATGTATAGCTACGATGTGTGTCTCTGTGGGCATGTGTACAGTGTTGGGGATGTCATCGTCCAATAGGGGGCGCCCTCTGATCTTTGTGAGCATTAAAACACCCGGTGCTTCCTTCCGATGGCAAAGTGGGCGGGGCGCGGCGTCATTGTCCCTCCCATTTGAACCACACACACTACAACCTTCTGTTGTAAACCAAAAATCCCACGTTCTGCAATGTAATAATGCTTCTGTGTGTCTAAAGCCGGTGCACAGCCTTTTCAGTTTGAGGAGAGGGGACTTATATTTGTACTCGTCTTTCCGTGTGCTGTTGTCATGACTCAAACTGAAGTCTTTTTGTTTTTTTCCTTTTGGGGACTTCTTTTGGGTGGAGCAGTGCTATTATATCACATATTATGCCATTTGATTGTCAGTGGAGCATCTACTCCATAAACGATTTGCAAACCCTCGTTTTCAATATAGCATTATGGAAATAAGGTTTTTAGTTGAACGGCCGACTGGGAAAGGGCTTCTCTCTCTCTCTCTCCTCTATTACCAAAAAGAGGCAGTGTTGGTGTAGTTCTAGCTCACGTTTAAGACAAACCTGCAACATTTTGAGAGGGATTTTAATTCTTTGGAACTATTTTATACATTGTTATGTGAATAATAACACATTTTGATAGTTAAGGTAAAGCCTTATGAAAACGTCACTTGACTTTGTGTTACAGAGCAGATCTGAAGCTGGTCGTGCGATATCCATCATTAGTTTTACTCAGCGCAGTTTGTTTGACAGTATCTTATCTTATAATCTTATAACACCAAATTATGCTCCCCCTTTTCTACCTGTTATAATGGATGTCACTGTACAGTTTGTGTAAGGTTCCAGTATTTTTTTTATTTTTCTTTTATAAATGTTTTTTTGTTTTTGTTTTAAAAGCCAGTTTTATTTGGCTTTGTGTAACACTCACAATAACGATCATTTTATTTAGGTATTTTGTTACATAACTGGGTGCGAAGTGGGGTTTACTGTGGAACATTTGGTGCTGTGGAAAACTCGACCCATTTCTCACTTTTCATGAAAGAAATTGTCCGACACTGTTTAAGAACCTTTAATGTGGCTGCGTTCTGGAGACCTTTACAATACTACTTTGTAATTACCCAGCCAAAACAAGCGTCAATGTAGCATATAGATTTTTATGCAAACGAACTTAAGACAATTGTCCAACTGTGATCTGGCATTTCCATAGCACCAAAGTGTCGTTAAACCTTTTGATTTTTGTTTAGTATCTTTGTATCTCCCCTCTTTTCCTTGTATTTATCCCTCTGTCTACCTCTGTCAGTCATTTTTCTTGTATATAACCCCACTTTTTTCAGACCTGCGCGTCTGTACGAACTCCTTTTATACCTCAACTTTAGAATTGTTCTAGAAAGAGTAAAACAAAAGGAAGAATATGACAAATTGTAGTGTTCTTATTAGAAAATTAATAAATGATTTAGTGTGTTTTTTCAGTATTTGAGTTCAAAATTTAGGAGTGTTTTATAAGTTGTCACAAATGCTCTTGTGATAGTCAAATGTAATAAAAGGAGACACTGCACCACTGAATGAATAATGTCTTACAAAACTTTACTACAACAACAGCCGCTCTTGGTCATTCAGGATTCCCATGCAAACCGTGCGTCTGTTTCCAGAGAATGCAAACCGAAAGTACTCCAGTGTTGCTTAACTCGTGGACCGCTGTGGCGCTTCGGGCATCGGCAAATAGTCTTTGTTATTTGTATTCTGTGGTGAACTGCGGGCTTCTTCCAACTTCTGCAGACAGCCGACGGTTTCCTGTAGAGAAGGAGAGAGGTGCTTCTGGGTTAAGAAATCGCAACATCAGGGTCATGGGGTTTAATCTCAGGTGGAAAAATAATATCGTGTGACATTGGAGCAGCTCAGGACTTATTAACCATGCGTTTGATATTATAAGAACTTAATGCTGGGGTACCTGACTTTCAATTCAGAATACAATAGACATATGAAATCCATACAAAATCCATCTCACTAGTTCCTGGTTATCACGTGATCAAGTGACATTGTAATCTAATAATAAGACTGTTGATAATGTGACAAACAATAATTATCTGGGGTAAAAATGTGCACTCCAGCTTTAACTTGGGGCAGGTTAACACGGCTTCACTTCAAAAGCAAATGGTCCTCATGAAGACACAGTTTTAAAGAAAGTCGGTGAGTAGACCAGATGCTCACCCAGGTCCTCTTTGCACCAGAGTAAACTCACTTCATTTCCACCAGTAATAATAAGTGAATATTCTCTCAATAAGTTGTTATCATCGGGACATACACCCTTCATGAGACAGACTTATTTATTCAAATCATGCAATACTTTTTCATATATTCAAATTATACAATACTTTCATAATTTGACATTTTTCATTGGAACTTCAGCAAGAGGAGAAAAAAACATGACCCACTGATGAATAAAATGAAATGTCATAGATGAATGTAGTTCAGGAAAGTGTGGTTTCAATGTGTGCGCACTTGTCTATATCAAAAGATCACTGCCACTGGTGGGTTTTGAGTCACACACACTGCATAGATTTCTGATTATGCTTTTATATGTTATTTAATACCTCTGAAAACGGAGAGTTCGGCTCAGTAGGGGATGGCGCCCTCTGCTGGCCAGGACACCCACGGCACAGGCAACATAGGATGGATTTGAAAGTGTTCCTCATCTCCTGGTCCCTCAGAGAGTAAATGACCGGATTCACCAGCGAGTTGCACTCTGCAATCACCAGACAGAACTTCTCAAAAGCGTTGGCGTGACTGTCCTTTCCCAGCAGCCCGTCCAACAGCAGCGTCACCAGTCCAGGAGTCCAGCAGATCACAAAGGCACCTGTTCAAACACACACTTTAAAGGGGGTGTACCTAATTTGTTTAGGCATAGACTTATTTAAATGATTGCTTGAATTCAGAAATGTAATGTGATGCAGACCAAAGATTGAGTCCTGATGTTTACTAAAATCAATAACATCCATTCATCCATCTATTTTCTCCCGCTTTATCCGTCTAAGCAGAGACGCACAGACTTCCCTATCCTCACACCTCCAGGTCTTCCCCGGAATCAATAATTTGTTTTTTAATTCTTATTGAAAGTGTAAGGAAACGTTTGTGGGAAGCCAGGTTTCTGTATAAAAACTACACTTCATAACATACTGGAGGTAGTCAGCATATTATTCTTGCAAACTGGGTGCAAAATTTAAGCTGATGATTTAATGTGAAATAACACTTTCAGTATCAGACCCACACAAAATTTAAATGAATGATTTTAACAGTAGACAGTGGGCCTAATTGGCTCCAAATCTGAAGTAAAAAAAACTGCATTCAAATCTATTTAGCGTGTTTTCAATTATCTGATTTTAACGGTCAACGGAGAGTAGAAGTTGACAAACAAAATATGTGGAAAAACTGGCTTGTAGAGGAAGTGTGCGGTTCATGCGTATTGGTACAATAGTGGTGACACAAGAGCGATTATGTGACACGCAGAAGTCGACATAGACATAGCTTCTCAGAGCCAGTCAAATTCATCCACGATATTGGTAAAATATCCAATTGCGATTTTTGTGATCAACATTCAGATTTAAAAAGTAGATAGGAGTGCTTGTATCAGAGTTACATTGTGAAAATATTAATTACAAGAATCAGTTACCGAACAAGATATAAACAACAGTTCAACTACTTTGGTTGATAGAACACATTGTAAAAAAGTTATATATTTTTTTGCAGAAAGTGTTTTGTTGTAGTTAATTTAATGTTTTAATGAAGCCTTTTATTCATTTTACTTACAACAAAGGGCAACAATTCATAAAATGAGGCTAAAAGAGGAACTTTAGTTTGAGAATCATAATGAACTAAAATCAAGATCATATCGAGCAAAGTTTTTTATGCAGTTCTCTTTGCGGTTTGCCAATAACAACCACTGAAATTGTGATATAAAAATATGGTTCCGCCTAATCTTGCCGCCCGAGCATGTAGTGAATTCTCTTCAGGTTTTAAAGGCAAGGTAGGCAGTATACACCTTCCCCATAGTACAGTTTATCCTCTGCAGGGAATGGAACCAACAACATTCTTGCTGTAACACATGTGTGCTAACCACTAAACCACCATGTCAGATTTAGAGGTGTTTGAATAATAACACATACAGTGGTTTTATTTCTGAGTAGTGATGTGAGTGAGTGTAATTTCAAATCTTAGAAATACCCAACTTTGGTCTTCCTTTGGGTTCATTATTATTAGTCATTAGTATTCATAACAACTGTAGGCAGTGTTTTAGACCTGGTTCAGATGCTACTCAGAACACATGGGGGCCTTTGCTGTAGGCTGGAGAGTAAGTAGAGCAGGGGTGTGAAACTCATGTTGGTCATGAACAAAATAGGAACTGGTCAGGGGCCAAAAGAATATTTCCTTTTCCTTGTCATGATTTTTATTTGACATGAGCTTCACTTAGATTTTCTGGTTGATTTTTTTTTGACAAATTTTTTTGTTTATTTAGATTTAATCAGAACTAGACAAAAGTTAAAACACATTGTTGTTCAATATCTAACATTAGATATTATAAGGTTAACATCTTGAATAAATAAGATGATGTATAACGTGCCATGGAAGCTCCTTACCATACATTCTACAAGTTCATAATAATAAATTAAAGTCACTTTAGGGGCCACTAAAAATTGCCTTGCGGGCCGGTGTTGGCCCACGAGCCTCAGTTTGACATGCCTGATGCCATACAGTTTCTTATGCCCAGAACTGAGGCCCGGGTGCAGAGCTGCTCTGCCACAACCTCTGAGCCCCCATCTGTTCAGTTACTAGCCTCAGAACCTAGTCCGATTGAAACTGTGTGTGTGTGTGTGTGCCTGTGTGTGCTCAGTTACTAGCCTCAGAAGCTAGTCAGATTGAAACTGTGTGTGCATGTGTGTGTGTGCCTGTGTGTGCTCAGTTACTAGCCTCAGAAGCTAGTCAGATTGAAACTGTGTGTGTTCCTCGCTTGAAGTCTAAAGCATTATATGCGAGGAAATCTGACCTGGGTGTCAGACACAGTAACTTAATAAAAGTTCAGACAGACAGAAATAGTTCTAACAGTAGGGTTGTTAAATGTGGATTAATGAACGTCAGATCAATCTCGTCTAAATCACTTCTCATAAACGAACTTATTATAGACAAGGGCTTGGATTTGTTTGCACTCTCGGAGACTTGGCTCCAACAAGACAACTACGTTAGATTGAATGAGTGCACTCCTCCGACGCATGTTAACTACCAGAAAGCGACAACTACAGGTCGCGGCAGGTGGCGTTGCGATTATATCACACACCAACTTACTTCTTAGTCCCAAAACCAACAATGCTTTTCACTCGTTTGAAAACTTAACACTTTCAATCACCTGTCCTGGGTGGAGATAACAAAAAGCGGTGCCGTTTAAAGTTTTGTACCGACCTCCTGGTCCTTACAGCGAGTTCCTAACAGAACTAACAGTCCTTCTCTGACTTCAATTCAAACCTAGTTTTGGAATGGGAAAACTCAATTATAACTGGAGACTTCAATATACATGTGGACGACAGCACTGACAGCTTAAACAAATGTTGAGGAACCTACTCACATTCATAACCACACCTTGGACCTTGTCCTGACCTACGGCTGTGATGTCTCCAATGTTGACATCCAGCGTCAAAGCTCGTTGCTGTCTGACCATTTCTTGATTTGGAGGACTTTCCTGCGCCGCAAGATAAAACCATAATGAAAAGAACCTTAAATGATAAATCTATCACAAGGTTCAAAGAACTAATACAGCCTATGTTGAATACTGCTGCAGGTGAACCTGTTCACAGCTGCTGCAGTCCCTCAGTCATTGACCAAACGGTGGACAACACTATGGAGTCTTTAAAATCTGCACTAAATACAGCAGCTCCTTTAAAACAGAAAACTATTAGGATTAGATCATCGTCGCCCTGGTACAGTGTTCAACTCCACACTTTTTTCACACTAAAACAGGACGTCAGAAAATTGGAGAGGCTATATCGCCACTCCCACTCGGAGCCTGTCCACAGGGAGTGGAAAGCAGGTCTCCGAAACAACAAGAATGCCCTTCGCAGGGCTCGAACTCAATACTATTCTACTTTAATAGAAGCGAATAAAAATAACAGTAGATTTTTGTTTAGCACCGTCGCTAAACTCACAAACTGCCATAGCGCAATCGAGCCTAAAATTCCAAGCTCACTGAGCAGTGTCGACTTTCTCCACTTCTTTAATAATAAAATGACATCCATCCGTGACAAACTGGAGGAGGTTACTCCTGCTGTTGGTAGTGGACAGGCTGAAGCGGCATAATTGACTTCCCACTTAGACTCTTCAGTGGGCCTTGATAAATTCATGGCTGTGAGCCAAGCAGAGGTGATCTCTGTGGTCACATCCTCAAAAGCCTCAACTTGTATGTAGACGCAGTCCCGACATGGCTCTTCAAAGACATACTTCCTTTGATAATTGAGACTATCGTAAATATAATAAACACATCCATACAATGTGGCTATGTCCCACAAGCTTTTAAAACCGCGGTTATCAAACCCCTTCTGAAGAAAACAAACCTGGACCCAGAAATACTTACAAACTACAGACCGATCTCGAACCTCACTTTCACATCTAAAATCCTGGAAAAACTTATAGCTGAGCAGCTTCGCTGCCACCTGCAGGAAAATAATATGTTTGAAGTCTTTCAATCTGGATTCAGAGCTCATCATAGCACTGAAACGGCACTAGTCAAAGTCACAAATGACTTACTACTAGCTGCCGATAATGGACAAGTGTCAGTGCTGGTCCTACTGGACCTTAGTGCTGCATTTGACACAATAGACCACAGCATTCTACTGCAGAGGCTAGAATGTGATATAGGTCTTAGAGGAACAGCCCTTGGCTGGTTTAAATCCTATTTATCAGATCGGTATCACTTCGTCAACGTAAATCAGAACTCGTCGCCTTATTCTGGAGTAGAATTCGGTGTGCCGCAGGGTTCGGTACTCGGACCGATTCTTTTCACTCTCTACATGCTGCCGTTAGGAAACATTATTAAAAAGCATGGAATTAATTTCCACTGCTATGCAGATGACACACAGCTTTATCTGTCGATGAAGCCAAATCAGACAGATCAGCTAGAAAAGCTCAGTGCCTGCATAAAGGACCTTAAAACGTGGATGACTCTTAACTTCCTACTTCTCAATCCGGAGAAGACAGAAGTGATCCTACTCGGTCCGAAGCGCCTGCGTGACACCCTCACTAACCAGATAATCACTCTCGATAATGTCAGTATTATACCCAGTAACACTGTGAGGAATCTTGGAGACATTTTTGACCAAGAACTCTCCTTCAAGGCTTATATAAGCCAAGCGACTAAAACAGCGTACTTCCACTTACGGAACATCGCTAAAATTAGGAATTTCCTTCCTAAAAGTGACGCGGAAAAACTTATTCACGCGTTTGTCACCTCAAGGCTTGACTACTGTAACGCTTTACTGGCAGCGTGCCCTAAAACCTCTTTGAAGAGCTTCCAGCTCGTTCAGAATACAGCAGCTAGGATCTTAACAGGTACCAAAAGGAGGGAGCACATAACTCTGGTGTTAAAATCACTCCACTGGCTCCCTGTGGAGCACAGAATAAAGTTTAAAATCCTTCTCTTAACATATAAAGCCATAAATGGCTTGGCTCCCTCTTATCTCCAAGACACGTTAGTGTCATATCAACCAAGTCGAGCGTTGCGCTCACAAAACGCCAGACGTCTGGTAGTCCCTAAGGTCTCAAAGGTCACTGTTGGTGGCAGAGCGTTTAGCTACCAAGCTCCTTTACTGTGGAATCAGCTTCCCATTTATGTTAAGGAAGCAGATACTATCTCCACATTCAAGGCCAGGCTTAAAGCACTCTACTTTAATTTAGCATATAATTAGATAATATATAATATGTGGTGTATATATTATATATACGCTGTATTATGTTATATATTATACAATATATGTATTATGTTGTGTATTGTGTTATGTTGTATATTATGTTATGTTGTGTATTATACAGTATATAATATATATGGTATGTATGGTATATATGATGTATATGATATATAATATATAATTAGGTTTGCTTGGATCGGTTTGCACACCTGGTGTGCAATCCATGAATCTTGGTTCTGTAACCTAGACTAGCCTAGCCGTGGCTGCTGCTGCTGTCTCACCTCCTTTCAGATACGCTCTCTTTATTCAAGGCTAGGTTTAAAACAGCCCTCTTTAGTTTAACATATGGCTAGGAAGGTAAGACTCAGGGAAAGCTAAACTCCTCAGACTGTCAGTCAAGCTGCATAGGGAGTCAGTTTGCTGGGAGAAGTATGGTAACTTGAGCACTATCCTCTCCTCCTTCCTACTTTATCTGTTTAGCATTATTAGGATTTTGACTGTAGTTTGTTCATTGCTATTCACCCGTTGTCCCATTGTCTGTTTCATGGTACGATGACGGGATCTCTGAGCCTGGCCTCCTCCATCTACACCTGTGGACTGCCCCGCCCGACCCGCCTGGGAGTGCTTCAGTCCTGCACCGGACCTGTCCACGTTCAGCGGCCACTGGCCCACGTCCTGTAGCTAGCTTAGGTCCTAGATCATTAGCCTGTCCGTCCGGAGGAGCGGATCCCTTTCTCAAATGGGTCTCCCTCCCTGTGGGTTTCCCTAGTGCTCCCCAAGGTTTCTCACTTTTTCCCACTGGGTTTTTAAAGAGTTTTTCCTTGTCGATGCAGGAGGGTCTTGTTGGACAGTTAGTGTCCAACAGAAAGGATTGGTGATGATCAGGACACTTTAGCATTCTACAACATGTATGGACATTTTCTTCTGTGTGTGCTTTATATTCTTCATGTGTTTTAACTGTTGATTCTCTGACCTGTGTTGGTGATTTCAATGGTTTTGTTAAGTCCTCTGAGATGACTTCTGTTGTGACCTAGGGCTATACAAGAATAAATTGTATTGTATTGTATTGTATTGTATAATTTGTTTTTTTGACCATCTGAAATCTCTTAAGTATTACAGGTATTTTGTGCTTTTGTGATGCACCTCTAAATCCTGATTTTTTTTTTATCCTTTATGGACGGCCAACTCAGTCCCCCCGACCCACAAAGAGTCAAACCTTACCTAAAACCATGAAAATAGTCTTCATCAGGTTGTCGACGGCCTGGCTGCAGTGCGTCTCCGAGGTGTGCCGCGATGTGTATCTACTGTGGTATCTCACGTAGCAGAAGATGCGCACGTACATCGCCACCATGATCAGGAATGTGAGCAGGTTCAGAACTGCCCAGAAAACCAGAAACCGGCGGCTGTAGAGGGGCGCCACGGTGGAGCAGTCGTCCAGGTCGCACTCGCAGTTCCAAAAGGTGGACGGGATCAGCCCCATTAGAATGCTCACCACCCAAATGCACAGTATGAGCAGCGACACACGCCTTTTTGTCATCTTACTGTGCTGCTGCATGGTCACTATAGTCTGATGGCGCTCCACGGCCACCGCCAACAGATTCCCCACGGAAGCGGTGAGGCTAATGTCAATCAAGGCCCCCCTGATGTACCACTGCTCTTTGGTGAGTCTGCTGGTCCAGGGGCCAGTGTTCAGCATCAAGTTGACGTAAGCCAGTCCGGCGAACAGATCTGCTGCCGCCATGTTGCTAAGGAGGTAGTAAATGGGAAAGTGGAAGCGCTGGTTTTTGAAGATGGCGATCATGACCATCAGGTTGGCGAGCACCACGATGAGGCACACGGTGAGGCCCAGTCCGATGACGGCAGAGTCGCGAGGGGTCCATTCCGTGCTGATCTTCTTGTCGACGTTGTTGTAGAAGAAGGCGACGTCGCGGCTGTAGTTGCAGGAGTGGCCTTTACCGGTCTCCGAGGCCATAACTTGTCAAATACACACACACAGAAAGATAGATTATACACTAAAGTCACAAGACATTTCAGTGCAAGGAACCCCAACTACAAATCTACCAAGACTTGGCTATCTTCCCAAACTCAGAGCTCAAACAAGGACAACACTGATAACATATTCAGACATGAGGAGCATGGTTAATTTGGAGGAGCTGCAGATATCCACAGCTCATCTGGGGGAATCTGTATTATTCATAAACTATGCAAATCCAGACTTCATGGACGAGTGGTGAATAGAAAGCCAGCGAGTAAATAAGCGGGTAAGAAATCATTACTAGAAAGCCAATGTTGAAATAAAGCCCCACAAACCAAAGCTGAGAAAACATTCTACACATAAACAAGAAATATTCCCCCAATATACACGTTGACCCAAATGTAAAGTGTTAGACATGACTATAATTTTATGTATGGTGGTGTGCCATCCTCAGTATAAAAGATTGGGGGGGTGGCAGCATGATGTCATAGGGCTGCTTATCTTCAGCAAGGACAGGGATGTGTGTCAGGGTTTAAGGGAAGGTGGAAGGTGAAAGGAGCAAAATATAGGACAATCTTGGCAGAAAAGCAATTGTAATCAACAAAAAACTTGAGGCTGACATGTTTACTTAAAATACTTTTCATACAAAGAAATAGTTTACTTTTATATTTAACTTTCAATGTGAAGCTAATATGACTCATTACAGGCCAAGGGAGATATCAAGTTATTTATTATTGTTATTTATTTGGGTCTTTTACAGCTCACATCTGAAAAACCAAAAATAAAGCAAAAATCAAAATTAAAATAAAAGAGTAAAATGCGCTTCTTTGAAATCTAATTTATAGTAAAAGGCTTTGTCGGAAAAAACCCTAATCAGCTCTTTCAGGGACATTGGGTGTTGACATTTTACAGCGGGTCAGTGAAACCTGAAAACGCATGAAGCAGGAGGAGGAAGAGAGGCGTGTTTTGGTACAAACTAAGTAAACACTAAAAAATTAAAACAAATAATATTTAAAAAAGAGAACGAATCATCCCTGTTTTCTACCACAACCACCGAACATCGAATTGATTGCTTCCTTGGCCAAACATACAAAATAGATATTTCGCTATAAACATGCCCCTGCTGCCTGCCTGAACCATGGATCTATAACAACACCCGAGTCAGTGTCAGACAACAGGACTCAAATTTACAAAATGATTTCATAAATATATGTTACCAGGTGTTAAGAGTCCCGCTCCATCCAGTCTCGTCGTTGAGAAAACCAAATTCGCTCTAAAGCTGAACCGTAAATTCACCAGAGGATGTTCAGAGACCGCACCATAGACCGCACCATAGACCGCACCATAGACCGCACCATAGATAGACTGTACCATAGACCGCACCATAGACCGTACCATAGACCGCACCATAGACCGCACCATAGATAGACTGTACCAGAGACCGTGCTCATGGACGTAGAACCACGTCTGTGCTGGGGGACGTTCACCTGAAGTTTTGTCTCGCTCAGGAGGAGCTCGTGCCGCCTCCATGAGCTCACGAAAGTGTAGGAATTATTCATAGTTTCTTAGTTATAATGGATTAAAAAAAGAATAAGACGAATACAAAATAATAAAATAAAAAAAATGTAATAATGGCTAATGAAAAAGAATGCAAAGAGCAATCTGCTATGCGTCTTGGTGAAGACAGCGCTGAGGTCTCGTCTCGCTATCGCTACTACAGATGTACCTGTTTAAATGAACCACTGGATGGCAGCAAAGAGTCACAATGTGGCCGGGTCGGGCTTCATTTTGTTGTTGTCTCTTTTAGTTTGAACAATAAGGGTTACAAGCATGGATCTTTTATGGGGTTACAAGCATGGGGCCAAACCTTCACCCATTTTTAGAGGGTCACGAGCATTTGTTGAACAACTTAAAAAACATGCATCAACAACACTGCAAAGGTCACAGGCAATAGTAACATTTTCTTAGAAAAGAAATTCCTCTGATTTGAGAAAGAAATATTAACATAGAACAATAATTATATTGAGAACCACTGATCTATTAGAGTAAAATAGTCCACACTTCAGAATCATACATTTGTGATGACATCTCAAAATTAATACATTTCTCAAAATAAAGGACAGTATGTAACATGTAACACAAGAGTAAACGTGTAGGCCTACATTTTATATGGCTTTTCTGATCATCAAAATAATGTGTTCACATTTCTTCAGCAAATATCAACATGCAGAACAAGTCTCATTTGGGTTGCCAGTTTCTTTAGTGAAATCCAGCCGTTTTGAGCCACTTGCATGTTTGTGTTCTACAGTCTATGGCTCAACATGAAGTTAAGACACTGGCAACACATGGGTTAGATGTTTTTGTCATAACTTCTGCAGTAACATCAAAAACTACGATACATGCTTTATTTAAAACTTTGTCAAATGTGTGAATGAGACTGGTTAATCTAGCACAATGAAGTATTGTAAATATCATACTTTATGCTTTATGAGGGTCAGTGTAAAGTTAGTTGTAATCTAGACACGTATAACAAGTGATTGGAAGAAAATTATGAAACCATTTGAATTACAATATTACTCATTAAAAAATGTAACATCACATACTAGAGTCCACGTGTGATGCGACAAATGACAGATCATTTGTCGTATCACACTGTTCGATTTAAATTTATCAGTCGACAAGTTTTAATTCAAATACTTCCATTTCAGTGCGTCATAATTCTGTTCACAAGTTATAATACGGTAACTAAAATCTTTGTTTCCTCCAATTGCAAATTGTGCGATAACTTATTCTAAATATGCATGATTTTATTGTAGCTAGTAATATAGTAGTAAATGTTTAAAAATACATCCATAAATACCACTTCTGTGTTCACTTCAGCACTTAAACCAGAGACCAACATTGTTTTTGTTTATTTCTTTATTTTCTATAAAAGAGATGAGTTTATTCAATAATCATAACAGACTGAATCAGACCTCGAAAGACCACTCACATACCAAATAATGAGGAAATGTTTGAACAAAACCCCAAAACAGAACAAATGTAACACAAAATAAAATACCTGAATAAAGCAAACTCCAGGCTGAACTGTAGTCAGCACATTCTCTGAAGAAACCATGGCACATGTCCAACAGTTATTGTCAAAAGAAAGACGGCTAAAGGAATGAAGTATTTAAACCTATTTTAAACCAGTCTGATAATAATAAAAATTATATATTTATATAATGTGGACTTCGTAGAAAATAAAAAGGTGACTGAAGAAACACGTTCTTTACGGATTATCAGTTTAATCTTATGGTCAATAGATGCTTATCTACATCAGGAAACATGCCTCCGCCACCACATTAAAAAAACATACAGGCATCCAAATTTACAGTCACACTGACAGAGCAGACGAGAACGTGGCAAGTGTACACTCAGAGCAGTCCAGCTAAAACTAAATCAAAAACCCAAATCGTGTCAACGGGTGAATATAAAATGCTGTCTTTTACTTTCTTTTTCTTTTTTCTACATAAAATGCTTTCAAAAAATTGTTTTCCCCAATCAAATATTACACCGCCCGGCTCAGTGTAATGTAAGTCTACGAGAATCGCAATACAATACAGGCACTGGAGAAAACACCATTAGACGAGCAGAGATCAAAACCGCCTGTTTTTCAAATCGAAGCATACAACGCTTCCAAAACTGAATTATAAGACACATCCACTATAATCGAACAAGAACAAAGATAAAATCAAAGGTTTATTTTTTTTTATGTTTCTGAACTGTTAAAGAACTCGGTAAAATACGACTTTAAAACTAAGGTGACTTTTGTAAGAGAATCCATAATTGTCATCCTTAAACATTGCAGCTGAACTTCCTTCAGTTTAAACTAACCGTATAAATGTTAATTCCAACATGATACCTAAAGAGAAGAAAAATAACTTTGTAGATATTGATAATCCAACTAAACAAGAGACAGCTGACTCACTGTTATTTTTACTCCCATTTTAGTTTTTCTATTTAAAATACAAGGCAGGTTGAAGTCCTTTCCAATTCTGTCTTTGATAAATACTTGTGGAACTATTATATGCATATAGAAGTATTTTCACTAACTATCTACCGTGTTTCAGGACAAAAAGTGAGCGTTAAAAGAGTATGGGTAGTTTGGCATAGACATAGGTGGTGGAGTGTACTGGTGTGAAGATTCATAGGTCTAATAAGGAGGAAAGGAAATATTGATAAGAAAAGAGTTTTTTGTAGTATAAGAAAATACTTCTTTACAGTAGATACTAAATGATGAAAAAGGTCTCCGCTGCTCTTGGCTGTTGAGAGTTATTGGTCTGGATCCAGGCCACAGAAAACAATGGTTTGTTTAGGAAAAAGGTGTAAGGCAAACTGTACCTTCTCTGCTGAGAGATATACATGATTTACAGTATGAAGTCCCCTCCAAAACCGTCGCATATGTTCACTTGCAACAAACAAAAACACAACATAAAAGACCGGTCTTCTTCAACACCAAAGACATCTGGCAGTTTTGAAAAGCTTCTGCGCGGTCTACCGTACATTATCAGAGCATTTTTAAGTTACTATGGTGCCTTTCGTCCGGCTGTGGCGCAAGCGCACACACACGCGCACACCCACACACGCGCACACACACATACACACACACACACAGGGACAAAAGTGTGACGAAGGCAACTGTGCCAGCATGGGTCGCCTCGGTTTCGGAGCCTTCAGACATGTGACGCCATCATTTCACCACATCCAAAAAGATGCGTCCGTCCTCCGTTCATTCGTTTGCTTTCAGTCCACTTATAGGGCAAGCGGTGGAGCCGACCAACGCCGCCAGGCTTAGAACGTGCTCCATGTTTCGCTGGTCCATGATGGCTAATCTTTAGAAGTGTACATCAGGTTTCAGTTTCTGAATTTTGCAAGTATGTTCATGATCTCCTCAGAATAGGTTTTCTTCAAAAATAGCCATTAAGTCACTTTGGAAGTTCATGTCTATAGTTGCTGCCATCTAAAATGAGAAAAAAGGAAAAAGAAAACAAAAAACGTTAGGATCATTGGTTTTCTTTTGAGGAAGTAGAAATTGACTAAGTAGAAGTTCATAGTGAGTCTGCCACCAGCTTGTCTCCATGAGATGTTAGTACTTCCCTAAATTGCACCTTAGATTGGAAATCAATGTATGGGACTCTACCAAATATATGAATAACAAACTTACAACATTACAGAAAGCGTTAACATCTCCATAAAGACAAACAGTGGCAGGTTGCATAGAACTGGGGACATCAGAATATCAAGTCATTGTAACTAGACACAAACAAAGGTTACAGATATTGTATTATTGGTGAGAGCTAGTACATAATAATTAGGGCTGTCAAAATTATTGCGTTAACTCATGTTAATTACTTTTTTCATTAACGCGTAAAAAAATAAAAATAATGCATTAACGCATGTCTGAATGACCCGCCCAGTTATCCATAATATCATTCAGAATTCCGCGTACACATGCCGGTGTGAGATGGCAACAGAGCAGGTCTCTGGGAATTCAAGTTTTAAAAGAATATGCGCGTGACTGCGGGGCTACAGTCTATGGAAGGAACTGAAGTCTGCCTTCCCGGGCACACACCGGGGGCAGCTGTGGCTGTGAGCCGCTCACAACAACACGGTGAACGGCGCTGCGGTAATGTGGTCATATAAGACCACACACAACAGACTATTCCATGGGTTAAAGTTGAAAAAATTCCTGAGCCTGAACCATCTATATGAATCATAGAATGATCACTAATAAGCGTTTTTTATAAGCGGCCAGGGGTTAAAGCAAAAAAAAAGATTTGACTGAAAATTTTCTCATGGAAATATAATGAATTACAGATCAAACGAATTCTTCAAAGATATACATTTAAACTGGTGTATTTTGATGTGAAATTACAACCAGTGGATCAAGCAACTTGTCAACTCTTTGACAGAATATTAGTGAGAGTAGTTCATCTGGATCATTAGCTTTACTTGAGGCGAGATGAGGCGTTGTCCTTTGGCTCTGTCCTCGTCAAAATATCGCAAAAGGACATTCAAAATTCTGTCCACATTTGTTTGTGGACACTCAATGTTTAAGAAAAAGGTTTCCCTATCAACTTGGTGCTAGTGCACAGCGCAGTTTTATCAACTGCAAATGATTAATGATAATTAAATCTACCAGCGGTAGTGATGGTTCTGAACGACAGGTTATTTTCTGCGATAAAGCCACAGACTCTTAGTTTTAGGTCACAGACACAGTCCACCAGAGCAAGCCTAGTCTCAGTTGTCGCTGAATCTGATGCACCAGGTAAAGAAGTGTGGGAAAGTGCACGGACAGCTGCCAAGTGCGCAGTTTTGAGCTGGTGGTGAATCCAAAGCTGTTTTCTCATTACTCCCATATAAAAAAATAATAATAGCGAAGTACGAACAAGCACCGGACACCTTCATCTTTTTGCACCAGGAAGCAACAGAATCCCATCGTCTCCACCTCATCCAGCCATGCCCACCTCCATTTATTTTTCACTGTTATCAACAGCAACTTATACTGCTCCTTCTTCCATAAACAACGATCCATGATTGTGATTGTGCGTGAATGCTAGGCTAGCTTTGATGAATGAATATAAGACCTGCTAACACACACCTTTCTTCAGCGAGTTTCTTCCGTTCGCTCTCGTTGATTGGCTCTTTTTATCACGCAGTTTTGCATGGGGATCGCCACCAAGATATTATCAAAAGCTCACCAAGACATGCTTGTCCCCATTCCCAGTCACAGCAAAGTACATATTGTACATTCCGTTAAATAAAAAAGCATTGCGTTTGGTAAACGTTAATTATGTCCTACCTTTCCTCTGATAACGCGCCTAGTTTACCGGTCCGCGGGCTGCTGGCTGTTATTGCTCCGTTCGGGATTACATTTTCCTTGTCCTCTTCTCCTTTTCAAAAGCTCCGTGCACTTTTCAGAAACTTTCACCTCCGTGTTACCATCGCTAACTTGGCTACGTCCCATTGCCTTGAATCATTTACGGAGCGCTCATGTAGCTAGCCACGGCACGTTCAAGGCCCACTCGTGATTATATTACTTTTTATTTCTATATACATATAAATACAATTATATTCAAATTATTAATATATATCTAGATATATACAACAGATTCACACGTATTACTATATATTTTGTTATAATTAACCATTTCATTGTGTGTATTATATTATTATTATATATTTTGTTTTTTTTTTCAGACCAATTTCATTTGACGGAAATCCGTCACTTAGACGGAACTCTTTAATCCCTGCGCTATACACATGCAATCCTTTCATACAATTGGTAGAACACACTTGAACCTTTTTCAAATGACAGCAATCATTATTTATTTATATATATATTAAAACAAAAAAAAACAAAAAAAAGTTTTTTTTTTTTTTTTTCTCACGCCGGATTTCCGGCACGGTGCCGGAAAACTTTAAGCCCTGCTATTCTCTGCATGTTGTGTTCGTGTCTTTGCAACCTGTGCGTAACCTGTGCACACAAATACCGTACCTCCTCCTGAAAACTAAACTCGCTAAATTAAAGCTGGGATACGTAAATTTTCCCCTTTCATTAACAGCTAATTTTGGTTGTGCCCAAAAGTAAAAGGTTGTGAGCAAATCAAACAGATTTACATACATTTGGTATGAATGACATGTGTCATTACATTTGATAATCTCATTTAACTTCAATTGGAGTGGATTTGAAATAGAATGTTAAAAATGAGTTAACTCACCATTACTATGCGATTAATCAACAAAAAAATGTCAATCGTTTGACAGCCCTAATAATAATATAATAATTATCTGTCATTTGTGGAAAAGGGTAAACACCAGGTTTTACGGTCAGGATCCTGGTGTAGCCCTCATAGTGGAGTAGAACAATATTTACACAGTCACTCCGTTAGTTGAGTCAAAGTAAAGCTAATTTCTTGTGTTGCATTTGTTTTTCTTTGGTCCAACCTACTACTTAATACTTAAGCCTAGTGTTTAGTCGCGCGGAGCTTGCGGTGGTGAAGTGACATCATTTGCGCAACGCAAAGATCACCACAAGACCCTTGTGTAGCCTGCCGCAGACCCTCAAAAATGTCTAACTACGCAGCCGCCGCCGCAGAGAAGCTCCACTGTGATTGGTCCGTGTGTGTGTTTTGAACGGAAGCATGGAACGACTGCAGAGAACATGGACGAGGCACTTTGGACCAGCTTCGTGCTTCGAAGGAACCGAAGGAAAAGTAGTTTGGGTTCATGGCCTGATATACGCGGAGACTGTTCTGTTGCATATCCAACTTATAAACTGTACAGTTGTTACTTTTGCACTGTTCTCGTCTTTGTTTGAATCTGCACTTGTAGCTTATCGCGTCTTTTGCATACCTCCTGCACTTAAATCGTTCATGTTTGGTCTGAGATATTTACCACTTATTGTTTATTTGTTTGCGCTGGATAAAATTTAATATTAACTATGTTTCCAAGAAGAACTGAGTCTTTATTCACAGCATCACAGTTGAAAGGACTTAATGAGTCCATAGAACTATCACACAAACCTGCACTAGATGCACATGTAAATGATCTCAAACAGCTACGGACCGCTTTGGTTTCACAAGCGACTCCTGTGAGATTGTCATCATGTGGTTGGGTGTGAGATTACAACATTCTCTTCAAAACTTTGTAAGGGGAACGCGCGAGTGGACGAGCCACTGTGGCTGCGTAGGTCCAACGTAACCGCAACCAGCGCCGCGCGAGTATACACTAGGCTTTACAAACAATTACAACTTTTGGTCTAGATTTAAGTTGTGTTTAATGTTCTATTTTGTCTTTTGGCTTAGTATAAGCTTCCAGAACCTACTTTTGTGAAGACAGACGTCATCATTGAGGGAGTATATTATTTATAGTATCCACTTTGCTATCACTCTACAATCAGCCAGCTCAGCATATATATAATATTTATGGACATTGGTCATTCACCCCCCATGGACCAATGGCTCCTATGAGTTTGTTATTCTTAATAGAATTGAGTAGTAAATCCCCATCTTCTGCATGTATATGAAATAGTTTTGTTTCACTTTTGGTTTAACCATGACATAACAGTTGGTGCTTCAAAACCCCAGGCAATTTTCCGAATTAATTCTGTTGCTCTATTAGCTTTCGCAAATAACAGACTACATCAGTTTGTCAGCGTCATCATCTCTTCTGCGCACACTCATCTCACCGCTTCTCGTCTCCTCCTCTCCTGCTCGCGCCTTCGCGCCATTTCTCTCTGTTGGTCGAGGGGGTTCTGTGCGGTGGGCTGGGGAGGTGTAGGGGGCGGGGCGGGTGGCTGTACTGGGGCCACTGGTGGCTCCTGCTGCTGTTGCTGCTGTTGCTGCTGCTGCTGCTGTTGCTGTGGAGGGGGCTGGGGCACGGAGGGCAGGTGCTGTGGCTCGTGCCGCCTCCGGGGCTCCTCATGCACACGTCGACTTGTTTCTATCACCTCGTCCTCATCTCGACCCCTGGAATAACAAAGCCACAAACTATCAGTGTATTATAAGATTATGCATGTCACCCTTTTGTGCAGTCCTAACCATGTCCAATTATTTCAAAATGTTTTAATCCCTTTCCACAATTTCAGAAAGCAGTGAGGTAGAGTTTAGATCCAGTCGTCCGCATGCAGCAGCAAATTTATCGATGAACAAATGGGTAACATTTCCCAGTTTGAGGCCTTGAATGTTTCTTGCACATAATGAGGAGAGAATTTTAAACACAGGAAAACTGAAATCAACTGCAAAACAAAGTTTAAAAGTATATAACTCTACGTTACACAACAGTTATGGACATTAGAATACAAGAATACATTGAATTCAATCACACAATCTGAATGAGAATTTTTTCTACTAAAAACAAAGCATTGCATTTCTGCATATGTCACTGTCACATAAAGATGTCTCAACTACATACATAATCTAAAAAATGCTTTTATTGGTTTCTAATTTTGTTTTCAATTGTGCGAGTTAAATTCACACAATTGTACAAGCCATAGAAGTGCTGCTTTGTAGGATCCTTGTTTAGTGACTTACCGTAGTTTGTCTTGCTCTCTTCGTAGTCTGTCTTTTTCGACTTGTTCTGCTTGAGCCTTCAGAGCCTTTTCCCTTTCTTCTTTTTCCCGAGCAGCACGACGGAACTGCTCAAAACTGTCACTGGACGATTTTACAGCAGAGTGTGGAGCGGACGTAGACTTTTGAGCCAGACTGGCCCATGAGCCCATATTCTTTAGTTTTACATCCTGGATATAAGAAATGAAAAATACTTACTAAGAACGACATGAACAATAAAAACAAGCATTTGTAGCGTCATAGAGTTGAAAGACAAAGCTCTCAATGTTGTGAGGATCTCGGGAACACAGGAGGAGCTCAGAGTAGAGCCACTATTGTGTATATTGACCAAATGCAAATTTAATTTAAAGTAGTACTAGAATTTAATATGCTGCTATCCAGAATATATAACTACAATATGTGTTTATAATATTTCGGGTGTTCATTTTGACATGTTCAGATGAATTATGTTAAAAAAACGGCTTTCAAGTGGCACTTTTTCACTTCCGCATAGAAACGCTAGGGGGAGCCAAAATGGCGGCGATGACGTAGGAGAAGGGGATCTCACAGCAGCAGACAGCAGTCTGGTTGGAAACTGTAGGAGGTTTCACTGTCATCTGAACAAGGTATAAACATATTTTCATCCGTTTTGTACATAATAGTGTGCAACTCTTTTAATCTTTTAGCCTTATTTGTGAGATTCAAGCTAATTAGTGTTGGGCAAGTTAGCTAACTCTACTTGATATCATAAAACATGCTAACAAGGCTAATATTCGTGTTTGCATTATGCCAGTCTCACTTTGGTTGCCTTAGATTTATTTACCACAATGTACTTTGTAATATCCATAAATGCTAACACCTATTAACGGTTTAATTAGCATTTTTATCAATGATTGCATCACATGTAGTCTATGTTTTCAACTTCTGCAGCTTTTTGTTCATAAAAGTAAAATATTTATTTAATTAAAGTTATTTTGATTAGCATTTTTGAATATTACAATGTACATTGTGGTAAATAAATTCAAGGCAACCACAGTGAGACTGGCATAATGTAAAAACGAATATTAGCCTTGTTTAGCATGTTTTATGATATTAAGTAGAGTTAGCTAACTTGCCCAACACTAATTAGCTTGAATCTCACAAATAAGGCTAAAAGATTAAAAGAGTTGCACACTATTATGTACAAAACGGATGAATATGTTTATACCTTGTTCAGATGACAGTGAAACCTCCTACAGTTTCCAACCAGACTGCTGTCTGCTGCTGTGAGATGCCCTTCTCCTACGTCATCGCCGCCATTTTGGCCCCCCCTAGCGTTTTTATAAAGGTGCCACTTGAAAGCCGTTTTTTAAACATAATTCATCTAAACATGTCAAAATGAACACCCGAAATATTATAAACACATATTGTAGTTATATATTCTGGATAGCAGCATATTAAATTCTAGTACTACTTTAAGATAATAAACAGCGGGCCACAATAAATACATTGCTGACCTTGTGCGAGTCTGAGGCTCACCATGAAAATGATTACAACAAAGTGCTAAGCTAGCAGCAGATCCCAGCAGTGTTTGCTTTTCATCCATGCCACAAATATAAATAAGCAAGTGGGAATGTAGTGGTGGTAGTGAAAACGACAGGTGAAATGGCATTTTGAATTGCCACATTTTTTATATCGTCTCAAACTATTTAACAAGATGACCGGTGTAATAATAGAAAGAATACCACAGACAGTACCATCAAATATGAATGATAAAACAAACCTGGACCTTTTTAGGAGCCACAGATGCCTTGGACTCTTGCTTGTACTTTTCCTTCTCTAGATTGGAGGATGGAGGACCACTGGGTTCTGATGACCGAATAACAGGCCGCGACGAGTTGTCCATGGATTTTGAGTCCGGCCTATGTTGACTGTGGCCTTGTTGAATGGGCTTGACTTCATGTTTGGGCTGGTCTGGTCTCATGGCAGGGTTGAAAGGCTCTCCCCTCATCAATGGAGATGGAGGGAGTTTTTCCTCCTTGATGAGGTCTTGTGTTACAGGTATTCGTTGCTAAAATAAAAATAAAAAAGATGAAGATTTGCTTTACACAGATAAGTAAATCTGGGTATAATAATGTCACATTTCGAAGTTTACCTTTTTAGACTGTATGTTGTGAGGAGGGGAGGGGTGAGAGACTGGAGGAAATTGGGGAACTTGTGGGGAATGCATCATGAGTGGAGATGGGTTGTCCCTCATGTTACCTGTCAGCACACAAGATCAGATTAAACTAAAATAGAATGCACCAGAGATGCTGTGAGCATGTGCAGCACTCTTGTACCTGTGTTGTAAGGGTCAGGCTTCACAGTTCGTGGTGGCGCTAGCTCTTGTTGCTGCTGAATGACTTGTTGTGCTTTGTTGATGGGCATGGATACTTTGTGTTGTGTTGCCTGGGACTGACCCGCTAGTCCAGGCACCTGCTGAAAGTTCAACTGCTGTGGTTGTGTTTGCTGTGGTGGCTGCGTGTGCTGCATGTGGCGGGCCGTAAGAAGGGGCATTTGTTGCATGGGGGGTTGAAGCGGGGCAGTTTGTAGAGTCTGGGTCTGAACAGGGAGCTGGGGAGGAGGCAGAGGTGCCTGAGAGGACAGCTGCCCTGGGACAGTCTGTAAATGCCCTGGCTGAGGCTGCCGACTATGCCCCTGAAGCGGGGGCATCTGTGGCGGCTGGTGCGCCTGCTGAAACTGTTGCAGGTACAACTGCACAGGGTTCAAAGAGCCGGGGGTCTCTTCATCGTCTGCTAGCAACAGCTGTGGGGGCTGAGACGAGAGCATTCCCTGTGGGGTGAGTGTGGGGGGAGACAGAGGCCGCTGATTGAGCGGCTGAGAGGGGTGGTGGATCTGTGCTGGGAGCTGGTGCTGTGGAGGGGCAGTGGCCGGAGGCAGCTGGGGCGCTGCTGCCTGTTGTTGTTGCTGCTGCTGCTGCTGCTGCTGCAGCAGTTGCAGTTGTTGAAGTTGAAGTTTGGGATGAAGTGGCGCCGCCTTGTGGCTCGGTCGTGAAGGCTGCTGAGGCATCGAACTGTGCAACGCTACAGGAGAAAGAGGCATGTATTAATTATTTTACATTACAATTATGTTTACAAAGCATAGGAATACCAGAAACCATTCTGCATTATTTCAAAAACAATGACCACTTTAAAGCTGGAGTACCTGAACATGCCATCCAAACCAAATGATTCAGTTACAACAAATTGACTGGATTTTCACAGTTTACTCTTGCCCACTTAAGTCCACATTTATAGTGGGGCAAAAAGGTAGTTAGTCAGCCACCAATTGTGCAAGTTCTCCCACTTAAAAGAGTGAGGGAGGCCCACTATGAGAGACAGAATAAGAAAAAAAAATCCAGAAAAACTAATTTTTTAAGAATTTATATGCAAATGATAATGGAAAATAAGTATTTGGTCAATAACAAAAGTCTTAATTTTTGTTATATACCCTTTGTTGGCAATGACAGAGCTCAAATGTTTTCTGTAAGTCTTCACAAGGTTTCCAAACATTGTTCCTGGTATTTTGGCCCATTACTCCATTGGCAGATCTCCTCTAGAGGAATGATGTTTTGATACTTTCAACTCCCTTCAAATATTTTCTACAGGGTTGAGATCTGGAGACTGGCTAGGCCACTCCAGTACCTTAAAATGCTTCATACAAAGCCACTCCTTTGTTGGCCGGGCGGTGTGTTTGGGATCATTGTCATGCTGAAAGACTAGCCGCGTTTCATCTTCAATGACATTGAAGGCCCCATTCATTCCTTCCTTTACACAGATAAGACGTCCTGGTTCCTTTACAGCAAAACAGCCCCAAAGCATGATGTTTCCACCCCCATGCTTTACAGGAGGTATAATGTTCTTTGGATGCAACTCAGCATCCTTTCTCCTCCACACAAGTTCTATTTTGGTTTAATCTGACCATATGACATTCTCCCAATCCTCTACTGGATCATCCAAATGCTCTCTATCAAACTTCAGATGGACCTGGTCATGTAGAGGCTTAAGCATGGGACACGTCTGACACGGCAGGATTTGACTTCCAGGCGGCGTAGTGCGTTACTTATGGTTGCCTTTGTTACTTTGGTCCCACCTCTCTGCAGGTCATTTCCTAGGTCCCACCGTGTGGAATTTTTGCTCACCGTTCTTGTGATCATTTTGACCCCATAGGGTGAGATCTTGCGTGGAGCTCCAGATTGAGGGAGATAATCAGTGGTCTTGTAGGTTTTCCATTTTCTAATAATTTCTACCACAGACGATTTCTTCACACCAAGCTGCTTACCTATTGCAGATTCAGTCTTTCCAGCCCGGTACAGGTCTACAAGTTTGTTTCTGGTGTCCTTTGACAGCTCTTTGGTCTTGGCCATAGTAGTTTGGAGCCACAAATCTTGCTTGTTTGTGGTGACCAAATACCTTAATTTCCACAATTATTTGCAAATTTTTTTTTTTTTTAATGTGATTTTCTGGATTTTTTTTTTATTCTGTCTCTCATAGTTGAGATATACCTGTGATGAAAATTACAGACCTCCCTAATCTTTTTTAAGTGGGAGAACTTGCACAATTGGTGGCTGACTAAATACTTTTTTGCTTTTTGCTCCACTATATATACTCTACTAGTGGGTTATGCAATCTTAACTACTTTAAAAACAAATATAAAAATTCTATAAAAAACAAAACCCACATACTTTATTCCACATAAGTGTAAGCCTATCAATAAATGCAGAGTCAGCAATAAGAACTTTCACATTTTCCACAAGTGTGCTATAAAATAGTATTTCGGTAGTTATTTTTAGCAAGATTTTGGATGAGATATTGTATTTTCCTATCTGAAAGACCTCTCAAAGAGATATGATGAGGTAGTACTCTAGCCGCAGATGCAAGATGAGAGTACAAGGCGGGGGTTTTAAGAGTCGTACCTGGGGACTGCAGGACGGGATGTTGGTTGAGGAAAGGGTGCGTTTCCGGGGACACTGGAGCAGCAGCGTGAGCGTTGAGGTGGGGGGCTGAGGGAGACGAGGCATTTCCTGCATGATGGGGCAGATGCACTGGAGGCTGCCCGAAAGAGGGAATACAGTCAAAACTGTTTTCCAACATTTGCGATGACTCCAGAGCAGCTACAGGGGGCGCCATGAATCCGGCTGGAGAAGGTTGATTCTCCTTTATCTGACTGTTGGCCTGAGGCTGAATGTGGGGATGAGATTTCTTTGCTTCCTTCCCAGAATGACTCTTCTTTTTCATCGGTTTCATCATACCTGAAATTAATAATAAACACATAGATCAGCCAAACCTTATTTATTTGGTTGGGACAGAATGTCAATCCCACAGTCACATTCAAACATGCACTTATTCACCCTAAACTTTTGTAGATGTTAATAGTAACTTACCAGGCCCCTCTCCCTCACTATCAGAGCTTGAGCCACTGCTTTCCGAAGAGGAACCAGTCTTTTTGGACACTGCCTCCAAAGGTTTTTCTGCAAAAAAATACATGTTTTTATGAATCCTCTTTTATGAATTAGAATCCAGAGATTCGGTTAGCACGGCTCACCAGGGGCCTTCTTCTTTTTCCGTAGACAAGATGACACGTATCTCTCCAACTCTCGTAAAGTAGAAGGTTTGAGCGTTTCAAAGTCTATTTCAATCTCGTCTGGGTTTGAGTTTTTGAGCGAGGGTTCTCTTGATTGAATGATATGCACTACTCGTCCAAGCTTGTCACCTGGAAGCTTGTTAATGTCCAAACTAAGTTGCCTCTTCTCCTCATACGTCATAGGTTTACACTTCTCCCCAGCGACAGAAGCACCAGCAGCCGCCAGCTCTTCTTCCAGAGACGGAGCAGGAGGAAGGATTGGAGGGAGGCTGCCTTTCACCCACTCCTTTTTACTGAAGAAAGAATAACGTTTTTAGAAGTCATTGAAACGTCTCCGCAAAATTATGTACACATACCTTTTCTTCTTAGAAACCGGCTCTTTATTGTTTATTGTACTAGTCTTTGTCCTTTTGGGAATCTGTGGCACTGGAGTTGCTTCTTGTATTTCCTCGACATGGCCTGGCGCACTGACTTTCTTCTTATGTTTTTCCTTTTTCTTCTCTTTCTTATCCTTTTCTTTTTTCTTTGGTTTGCTGGCTTGGGGTTGGGATAAGGCAGCCAGTTGTTCATGGACAGCTTTTAGCTGTGTGAAGGCACAAGTGTTATTTGAGCATAAAGCACAGGTAGTGTGTGATTGTGAAACTAACCTGCTCTTGAAGTTCAGCCAGCCTCTGGGCCCGTTCCTCCTCAGAGTCATCTGTTGACGACTCCGATTCTGACGAGGAGTCACTCGAGCTGTCTGACGAGGATGCGGCGTGGCTCAGAGGCGGCTGTGGTTTGACGGGGGCAGGGTGATGAAGAGAAGAGGCCGGGGCAGAAACCAGAGGCTTTGTCTCAGGCTCATCGGGCATTTTTGCAAAGCGCATCTCAAAAACATCCTATCAAATATTTCAGATTTGGTTAAAATATCACTTAGAGGTGACTGGATTTGATAAATAATAGAGTTAAAGCTAAACCCAGTTACCTGTAATTTGCGTGCCATGGCTACCACCTCGTGATCAGGTGGATTGTACTTGTAGCAGTTAGAAAACATTAATCGCACATCTGCAGCATATTCTTGGGGATCCCGATATTGCTTGTTTTCCAATTTGGCCTGACAAACAAATAACGCATGTCACTTTTCCAATATTATTCAGCAGCAAGAAAAACTCACAGATAACACACCTTGATGGTGCTAAGGTCCATTGGATGTTTGATAATGTCATGATAATCATGTAGTCCGAGTGCATCTACATCAACAGGTTTGTAAAATGGCCAAGCGTAAGCCGCGTGTTTCTTTGACAGCATTTCTCTAACCAGGCTGGCACAGTATCCCAATTGATCCTGAGGTTTCGGACTAAGACCTCCACTTGCTCCCAGGCCTATGTGATGTTGAGAGTCCGGAGCCTCCTTCTTCATGAGTTTTGAAGGCCTAGTGCTTTCTCGCCGGGGGAAGGTTTTCCCTGACTTTGACTCGGCTGGTGAGGATTCACTCAGTTGGTCATTTGCTGTGGGTGTTGTTGTGTCCGCTTTCCGTTTCTGACTCTTTCTTTGCTGCATGATTATTAATGGAAAAATGGTTAGCAAATGAATACGTTTAAGTAAAGAAAAAAAAAGGCATAGAATCAAGCATACACATCACATCACTTACTTTGGTCATGGTCATGGGGTTTTGCAGCAGTGGGGCAGAGCTCTGGAGCGGCGTTGGGGCCAAGGCCGTCTGTGCAGCAGGTGGCACAGACGTCATGATGGGAACTTGCGAGGCGCATTCTGACTGAGTTATGGAAAAGGGAACTCCGAGTTGGGGTGCGTGGTTAGATAGCGTGGGAGCCATATGAGTGGCTATATGGGGGGGTACATGGGGGACTCCATGGGGGGGTACATGGGGCGTTAGATGAGGGGGTACATGGGGGGGTACATGGGGGGGCAGGACCTGCATTATGGGCTGAGGAGGTAGTGAAGCCGGGCCCTGTGCTGGTCCTCTGCTCTGTGGTGTTGCTGACAGGTTGGACAGGCGTGTCGTCGGAGTTGTGGATGTAGGATCAATGATGGCCCCTGGTTTAAGGGTCATACCTTAAAGACAAATGAAGTATTGTTTTTTTTTCATCTGTTACAATTGCAGTATGCACATCCTCACATTTATCACGTTTCACCCACCTGCATCTTTACGTCCTCGACCTCGTCCTTTTCCAGTCATAACAGCAATCTCAATTTCTTCTTGAGGCATCTCTGTGATTTTTTGGAGGAAAGCCTTTTCTAATGACTCAGCCATAAGGACAATATCATCTCCAGGCTGCATGGGGAGGAGAAAAACATTATAGTAAAGACCTCTGAAATATACTCAACATGGGCATTAGCTATGGCTGATGTGGATGTTACCTTGTTGTAAATGTAGCAATTCGTAAACATCGTATTGAAGTCTTGGATACATTCTTGGGCATTCCAGTAGTAACTGTTCTCAAGCCTTTTCTTTATTGTGCCCATGTCCATAGGGATTTTAATAATTGTATAGTAGTCCTGAAGAATAAAATAAATTCACTTTAGCACTGAACACTGAAAACATTAAAAACAGCCACAGTCCATTACTCACAGGCAGATTTAGTTTGACGGCATCTACAGGGGAATGAAAAGGCCATGCAAACTGGTGCTTCCATAAAGACTTCACCACCACTTTGAGGAGGAACTGCAGCTGATTGGTCTGCCGCTTGGGCCGCGTCATGTTTATGATCTCGGGGAGTGGGGGGTTTCCCGGACCCCCGGCTGGGCCCTGGCTGCTGTGGCCTGACATCTGAGCCGCGTCCACGCCGTCCCCCATCCTGATTTTGACAGGACTGGCTGTGGGCAGGTGCCCCTGGGCGGGCGCGGAGGCTGTGGCGTTAGCAGGACACCGGTTTAGTCTTGGCCCCGGCACAGACTCCACTGACAGAGCACCACTGATCCCATTGCACTCCTCACTGGACTCTCTGCAGATGACAAGACACTGATCAGTGATGGGCAATAATGATAGACAACATTCACCACATGGTTCAGTACTCAAAGTTAAGAAACAAACAAACGATTTGATTTCGAGAAACCAAACATGGTCATTATTCTACTTGAACATTAGTACACCAAGATATTGTTTCAATTCACAGACATAGGGTATTTCTAGCCTTATGAGGAAATAACTGCTGTGATTTTGATTACATAGTTGTATGTATCCACCTGTAGTTGACAAATCAGTTAAATACATGGGCGCACAGCAAAAGCTCTCAACTATCTGACCCAAACTTAGCTATTAATGAAAATCTAAATTGAGTTTTTTCTGCGGTGAATATTGGCCAGAATGACAGACTTAATACTTAGAAGTTCAATTACATTATGAAAAACTTGAAAATCACAGAAGGATTCAAACACTACACACAGTTCATAAAAGACGCAAAGGTTAGATCTAACTAGTGTTTGAATCTAACTAGATTCAAACACTTACAAACCAAATTCCTCAACAAGAATTGCCTCATAGCAGTTTTTTTTTTAAACACATCTGGTCCAAGTCTGCCTCCACAATATACAACTCCAATTTAGTTTTCAGTTTTTTTCCAGTGTCCTTAGAGCTGGGAGTGTTTAGAGAGACGTGGGTGGACAGAGGCAGTGGGTGGGAGTTGTGTCATGGCAGCTCAAGGTACTACATGTTCCTATTCTCGGCTCAGGGCCAGAGCGGGAGGGAACATTTTACTGACGACAAACAAAAATCTCACAGGCCAATCAATAAATGGTAGGAAAACAAGATCACAGGATTTTTAAGTTTGGTCAGCCAGCCTTTGTCCAGTACCTCCCCTCAACAGGGCCCTAAAGATAAACACACAAGCGAGCAGACCTCTGACTAATCTCATTCTCGATGAGTCATTTTCTGAGAAAAGGGAAGCAGTTTGTACACCACATGATTGCATCTCCCTCAGGAAAAAAGACACAGTAGAGAAACCAAGTACATGAATGTCAACATGCCGGTACCTTAAACGATCTAAACGATATTAGAGAGACCAATATATAGACGGGCCAATCTATAATCAAGCCATTTAAAAATATATATATAAATACAAACAAAATACTGCATTAACTTTGGTACAGTTTTGTTTCAATCCGAACATAATTGTTCTATTTTTGTTCAGAAAAACCTACCAAACTAAATTATCCAAACCTAATAAATACAACAATTTGCTCAATACACCTCCATATTTTTAAGCAAATACTAAAAAATAACATTAAAAAAATACACAAACATACAAACAAAAAAATTAAATACTGGATTGAAGGATTCCTCTCCTTCATTTTTCTTTTTATGTCCATAAAAGGCAATATGTAAAAATCTTGAAAAATGTCCTGCTGCAATTCTTGCTTTAGCTTGTACCTGTGTTTATTTGTGGCATAATTTTTTTTTTAATGGACATTCAAAAATCAGCCATTATCCAGTCAAACTTTGAAAAACATTGGCTTCAGAATACTCATATTGGTCAATTTCTAGAAGAAATATGGTTATACTTTTTACATTTTTTTTTCGCAAAATACTTTTTAAGACTCAATTCTATAATGACTGCAAAATTACAATAAAATGTACAGTATTAAAGATTCCATATTTAACTGGCCTCTCGGGTCAAAACAACGTGCCGATTCATCATAATCATTATCGGCCAACTAATCAAGAATGAGAAGAATAATTCATTAGCTAACATGGCCTAATTGTAACTAGTCTTAAAAGAACACTTATTAAATTTGCATTGTAATTCGAAATAAATGTTTTTTTTCTCTTGCTGGAATGTCTGCAATATTACTGCTACAAAAGCATTGACAAGGAGTTATTTAAAATGAGCAAAGATCTAATGGACGAGACCAAACCTGAATGTCAACCTTTGAGTTATGAGCAAAGCACAGGCTGAACTTACATAACCTGCAGAAAAACAAGCCTGACCTGAAAAAAATACTACCGCAAAAACATTGCAACCACAACTACCAAATGACAGGATGTATTATGAGTCCAAACATTCCCAGGATTCTAGCAGTTGCTTCTAGTAGCTACTTATCAGTGCAACACATGTGTTTTCTCACAAATAACTGCTTAACCTTGTCAATATAAACCCAATACCAGTCCCTCAGCGTCTGTGACTCAGCGAGTTGTGAGCAGAGGAGTGAACACAACTAACCGTTACACACAGGCATAATCAAATTGGCTAAAATCAGAAGTCACAATGTTTTTGCATCGCCAACCTTCCAAAGTATGCCTGTCCTCACATTGTGACTATGAAAAATGTCTCCAGCGACAGAGCTTAAAAGCAGAGTAAGTATAAGTAGCATACAGCAGAATGCTGTTGTCAAGATGATCTACAGAAGATTGACTTCACAAACTACATCTCCATACAATGTAGGCCCATCTAAAGATTTTTGTGGATTCATAGCTACTATGTATATACTGAATATTATGAATATAACATAACATTATGAAATATATAACAAATATAATTCATTATAATAATGCATCAGGTTTATATAGCGCTTAAATTGGACACCTCAATCACGCTTCACGTGTCATTAATTCACTCCATACGCGGTGGTGATAAACTACTACAGTAGACACAGCTGCCCTGGGGCACACTGACGTCTACAAAAAGTAATACAATAGAAAATATTGTTTTTACCAATACAATTACTTAATACACGGCTCCTCACAGCAGCAGTAGAATGCTCCATTGTTTTGAATGTAATTTCAAAACATTCTACCAGTTTTTCTTGATAACTGACCTCTAATAGCCGCTGTCCATGGTAACGCACTCTGTGCTTGTAATTCAAATGTGTAGATTACTTCGCAAGTATTTCCGGCCACTCCGGAGCTAGCCACGCTCAATAAACGCAAATACCAATCAATCAACCAGAGGGGTAGCCAGGGTGGCCACTGCCGCCTCTAAAAATATCCTTGCCACCCCCAGTGCCCCCCCCTCGGAAGACAGCAATGTAATAATGTCAATCTTGAGAATCTTCCGCATTTTTTCCGCCGAAAACTAAAGATTCCCAGGGTTTTTTCCACCGTCTGTGAACGCACCTTGACTCCGTGTTGAGCCGGTGCTGTATGCTAGTGCTTTTCATGGGTTGCTGGTAGAGCTGCAACAAACGATTATTTTGTAAAGTCAGACTCGGAGGCAGTATGTTTAGAGAATTTAATTTTTTAATAAATGTGGACCCCTTAAAAAAAAAAAAAAAACCTTGCCACCCGCTGTTTAAAAGTCTGGCTCCGCCACTGCAATCAACACATTTAAATGTTAATGGGAGAATACATATACGTTCTTAATACACATACACGGAGGTTTTCAGAAGTATCTGTTAAGGATTTCATGACAAAAACTGTTTTAATGCAAGAAAAAGCGATCGCAAAAAACCCGGAAATTTTAGGAACATTTGCAGAGGATCGAAATATGGATTTAGGTTAGGTTTATGTTTGGGTCACTCATCGCTGATGTTCAGAATTCTTTGTTCAGTTTTCATGCAGTTCCAGAGAGTTCTAGTTTGGAAGTTGCTAGCCTAACTGTTACTCGCATAGCCACAAAGAAGCCTTTGGAAACTTTTATTTTCTGTCATTAAATAAACCGGACTGAAGTTTATTTTGTGTGTTCTGTTGGTACAAAGCCGTATAATAAGCGGGATAATGTATATTACGCAGGTCATTATAGAAAAATAAGTAACTTCAGGGCGAAGCGGACTGCTTACATATTCTGCTGTGGATTTAATGTTCAACAGTATTACATTTCATCTCTGAAAAATAAAACCTGGTATTGGTGTTGGCAAGTATTCCGACTAAAATAAAACGTCCGTGATATAAGTACAAGTGCATTCCTTAAGTGAATAGCGTGAAAAGAACTTCCCCCATTCAAACTAATACCAGTGACTTGTAGATTTATTCCATAAGCATTCAGTCTACAAAGAATAACTGAGTATTTATTTATTGATTTTAATCAATGTCCATCATGAATCAAGATATTATTCAAACCATAAACCAAATTCAACAACAGTAAACAAGCTGAATAACAACAGACTCTCCATGTGAGAAGTTGTAAGTCAGACGAGGCAGTAATAACAAGTCTCCAGATGGTCTACGGTGCTGCGTGATGCAGTTATGTCACATCATCTTACTGGAGACAGGTGGCACGCGATGGCTCATTAACCACTGCACAAAAGGGAGTCAATCAAATTCAGAGCAGACTAATTCACCAAGTAACACATAGGAACGTGAAGGACTGACTTTTACTTCTCAGCTGTTATGTGCTCAGAATGACAGGTCCAAACAAATGCATCTAAAAGCTGTAACTCAAACAAAATAACAGCCTGTAGCAGTGAAGTAACCAACTCGTCAATTCATCCATCCGAGAATATTCAATATGCGTTTTCCTAAATGCATGTCACTTGGGAGCAGTATTTATCTACACACAGCCACAATGGCATGTATTCTTGATCATGTGAAAATTGACAGTTATGTCAATTTGCACATGATCAAGAGATATATTTATTTTTTTTAAATGTTCTTCAGTTGTACAAAAGCCAAAATGGAAAGATGGCAATAATGTTTTGTAGATCGTGATTACGACCATGCCACTCATCATGTGGTAAATATGAGGAGCTGAAGAGTTCTACACGGGAAAGGGCCTCTTCCGGACGGGCACCGTAGTCTCAGCTTTGAAGGTGCCAATTTCCATCCCAGCCGCTTCACTTTTTCATAAATAAAGTGTTTTCACATGGGCTTGACTCCGCATGGCTCTGCCCAGTTGTCACACTCTCAAAGTGAGTAGTTTCGAGCTACTTAAGAGCAGGGCTAAACGCGTCTCCAACACAGACATTGAAGGAAAGTCACCTGACTTCATGCAAACATAATATGCTGACGATAATTATAAAAATGTTTAAACTCACATGGATTTACATGCCGTTAAATTTCACTTTCGGTTTGATGTGTGCAGAAAGTGGAATGAAAACAAGTGCCTCTGATAAACTGTAACAAACGCTATACACCTATTATTGTAAGTTTAGTTGAGAAGGAGAGAAGAATAATATGATTTGAAAGCACTGGATAAACAGTGCTTGGATCTTGGACAACAAGGACCACTCTTTATTGCAGCAATAAGAAATGCATGTTGGTTTCACTGGACTCTGCAGATACAGTACAGTATGTTATGCATAGCCATTGAAGCCCACGTAGCTAGTTAGTGTACCCGCCGCGATAGTTGTTTACATTTGTTCTTGGCTACTGCACATGTCCAAAAGTCCAAAAGTACATAAGGGGAAATGGTGAGCCAGATAACTTACACTGCTGTGAAACAACCCCCCACCGTGCAGCGTATCGGTTCTGTTCCACTCTGGAGGCTGTTTCTCAACGCTTGCGTTTTCACCCTGCTGAAACACTGTCTTCATGTAAACAAAAGGCCAATCCGATAAAACTAATGTTTTACTGACGCAGCGTTGTGTAAAGTGCACATGAATCTCTTAGCTCAGCTGGCCTGGGAACGATTCAAGATACTCCCAAATGAGCTGGAAGAGTGTGTGGAGATCGAGAAGTATCTGCTCAGATTGCTGCCCCTACGACCCAGCAACAGTGGAAGTTATTCTTCTTACTAGGCAGAATTGCAATATTGTCCAATACTGACACTGGCAAATCTGTATATTGATGATCCATAAAGTGATGATGTAGGCACACTAGAGTCCTACAAATCCTTAGCAACTCCCACTCAACAACAGATCCAATGCTTGATATAAAAAAGGTCAGAGACCAATCAACTATGACAAGACCACAAACTGGGGTCTGTGTGTACAGCAGACCGTTGGTCTTTGACCTGGACGTACATCACAGACGCCTGCAGTGGAATGTGGCCATGTGGGGAGGAAGTGGTTCTGGTTACAGAGGTGGGGGAGCTCCATCTCCACAGTCTGAACATCTTTTATGAATGCTGCGACGAAACATGACTAACAAGTCTGTGTCTCCCATCGATGCATCAATCATTAATGTATCGAGTGGGGTTGAGTTCAGGCAAAAGTCCAGGCGCATGTTTCCACATGAGACTAAAGTCTGGGATGATCTGACGTTTGGAAGACTTAATCATTCATGTGACCACAATGACAAGACCAACACCACCACATTGTGGTTAGAAAACAGATACTGTCATAAAGCCTAATTGAGTTTTTAAAAAGGACAATCTTTAAATCTTTAACTCACCTTTCTTATATGATCAATAAAGTTTTAAAGTCGACAATAAAACGGTGAGATTGAACCAATACAAAACAATGAATGTGTCAAAAAGAAAAAAAGTAAAAAGGGAAAAGGGAAAAAAAGGCTAGGAGAGATATAGACTGGCTCAGTGTAAATGTATACAGTGCATAGGATTTCAAACTCTCCTGAGAGGATCTCACGTGCATGAATGAATCAGAGCAGGGTACATAGACTCTGTGACTCAGCCAGATTTCGGGAGATGGGACGCCTCACTGTTCATGTTAAACTTTCAGCTGCTGTGTGGGACAGCCAAACCCTTCCAGGAATCCACTACCATAACCAACTCAGCCCCCTCTTCCTCTGAGCTCCTTCCCCCACACCCCCCCTCTCAGGGAGGTAGGTCCACAGCTTCAGGCCAAAATCAGGACAACAATGCAGTCCTCTACATAGAAACTTAGGTGAAAATATTTGTAAGAAAGTGAAGAATGCTTTATGGCAGCAAAAGATTTAAGTATCGTCACTGGTCAATCATCATTATAAACCCCAACTTTAACCATGTTGTATTAGTGACAACATGAGAATACATGCTTTTACATATGTTCAAACATACAGATCTTTAAAATGGTCTGTATATTACCTCTTCACAGAAACGGAATGTGCAATTTTTTCCAGTAGTGCATCCAGTTTTTGGAAATCCAACAAATCGTTTGACTTTGCGTGCATCATGTAATCCATTTAAGAGCTCTCAGCAAGAAAAAGGAATTTCCAAAAGAACAGATTCAAAGGAAAACACTTGGCTTCTCTTTTTGCTTCACAAAAACAGAGGGGTGTCGATCCTCAGGCTCAGTTTACTTCAGAAACAAGCAGAAAACATTGTAAGAAAAACTATTGTTGAGGACACAGATTCAGCTCCAGGAGTGTCCGGGCTGTGGAGCCTCCAGCCGGCTGGCTGTGTTAGCTGTGAGAGCCGGTCCTCTCTCCACCCCATCCCCCTCTCAGCAGCACAACGGCCCAGTTACCACAGGCTCTTCGCTCCATTGTGTGTCCTCTACAGGGCCTCCCAGACTGAGCAACAGCAAAAAGTACTAGATGTGAGGCAGAAGGAGACTGGCTCCAGTCAAAGTAGAGGAGCACTTCCTGCCTCACCGCGTCCCAGTGCAGCAGACCAGCATGCTATTACTCAACAGTAAAAATGGCTCTCTGCTTCCTCATTCAGCTGTGCCTCAACCCACACAGCCCTCCCCCTCCCGCCTGCTCTTTCAGGCCCTCCCCTCTTTCCCATCAATAGCTGAAGGTCCTTGCGCTCTCCTCAGTCTCTGTTACACCTATAGTACCCCACCCCCTGCATGTCGTTTGCCTCATCCATATCATCATGCCCAGCCCCCACACACTTTCTCCTCAAGCCTCTTGAATGTAACTTCCCCCACAAAAACTGCAGCCTGTCAGGTCAACAATTATTACACACCATTAAAAAGGTATTTAAGAGCAATTACATCAATTAAGATGTTATTTATACTATATGGAAGTCCCTCCATACTTTAGATTCAACGTTGATTACTTTGGGTGAACCGACACCTCGCCCTCTGTTAACATGTGAAACAGCTACACTTAAACATTAATCAGAGTGATACTGTCAACTACATCTAAGCAACAAGTTGCCATGTCCTTTAAAGAGACAATCAAAACACTATCACTGTGAGACAATGTGAATACTGTATGTAAATGTCAGTCTACTCAAAATATGATTAGCTTTAATTCTTAATCTTTAGGTTGAGGATTTTTGTTTTTAAAATTACATTCTAGGATGAAACAAAAATAATGCATAAAATGTTCAATAATTATTTTAGTAATACGCTAAAATAACGAGTGTGGATTAAGTGATTATAACATATGTTGATAATTACAACATAATAATTCAAAATAGTAATTAAAAACAAAATCAGAAACCAAGTCAAATTTAGATGATGAAAAATTATAGTTACAGCCCTATAACAATTACTGAAAGATAATCATAATATGCTCTGATAATACCCAAATTTACCAGAAAACTTAAAACTGTTTACATATTTGTCACTTATGTATCTATTGGAAATGTCCAGGTTTAACAAAAGAATCAATCTACCAGTTTGAAATAAATTCTTACATCCATGTGCCAAATTTACTACTCTCACCACAAGACAACAGGAAGACTGCAGAAGACGACACGCAACATGGATTACCAAACATGGCAAACGAGAGTCTGGGATTGGTTAGCTAATGCCAAAAACAACATGACCAGCTATGTAGTCGTAACAGGCAAGGAAACAAAAGGCACTTCAACGCAAGAGTCTGTAGATTCCATGTACTTTCATCAGCATCAAAACACCTTCAGCTACAGGCAGCAGTGTACCATGCCTAAATCAGGATCCGGTGAACGGGTTCAAGACTGAAAAGCTAGCTGCTCCAGACAGGTTTCCCAGAATGATTAAAAGGATGGCTCAAGTACAAAAAGGAGATAATTGTCCTACAGGCACAATAAATTATAAATATGGCTTTAGATACGGTTAACACAGCCATAAGCACAAGTTTAACCAGTGTAACTAGAGATTACGACAATCAATTATTTAGAAATCACTGAAATTATTATAAAGCAAAGACCTAATAATATATTTTAAATGTAAAAAAAATTACAATTACCCGCTATCAAACTTCTTCACAGAGGATGTGTTTAGGCTTTCATAATTTTACATTATGTTTTTGTTTGCATATTCCAAATCTTGTTCAATAAGTTAAAGCTATACTATATTTAGATGAAAAGAATAATAATGTCTTCACCAGCTATGACAGACAGAACAGTTTATGAAAAACTAGTGAATCCAAAAATGTTTTAAAAATGTGTAACTTTATTTTTAATCTCTGTCAACATTTCAGGAAAATAACAAAAACAAGTTATTTGATGGTAGGGTCTTTCACTTAAATCAATTTCCATATCATGCTCAAAAACGAAACATCCAGGCCATGTTCAAGTTTGACTCAAAGACACATTTCTTTCCAACCACTGCCTCCTTTTTATTCAGAGGTCATTCTCAACTAGGCCAAGGATGGAGTTACCATGGCAACACAGCTGAAGAGAACAGAATAAAAAATATGATCTGAACAAGTTGAAAAAAGAGGGTGGAATACACGCACGCACAGGACACATACTAGCCAAGTTTACATGCAATTATGTACACAATTTATACATACAGTCAACTTTTATTTCATCGAGTGACTGGCCAATTTGGCTCACAGTATACAAATTATATTACATCCATAATATTGACAAACAACAGAAAAATATTAATTCATTTTAATTAACTAAGAACTAGAAACTCACTTCTGACAAAATAGAGCAATAAGAGCAGCCCAGTTATTACCCAAGTCATTTTAAATATGAGGAGACTGCAACATTCCAGTACAATTTCAGAAATCAACGCTTTAGGAGGAGAAAAAAATGTTTAAAAGTTAAAAGTAAAAAAGGCAGGTAAAAACAAGAGGGTTCTTGCATGGCTAAATTATGACCTGCAGCACACATACTAGTGGTTAAGTGATGGCTTTTTGATATGTTTCAGCATTGTCTTACATTAAAATGACAGGAAATTTAGAGTTTGTCATCTACAGTTTGAAACGAGCGAAAAATATTCCATATAACATACTCGTACTAAAAAAAAAACGTTTCTAAGGATAAACTACACTATCCAGATGTGCCAACAGAAACGCTCGAGCGAAGGGCTCTTGATCAAAGCTTATTCAAGGAGGCAATATCACTCCTTAGGCCACGGGGACAGAAAAGTCATGGTTCGTAATGGACGTCAATGCTACGTCTGATGTAATAGCGAGCCACTACATGTAATACTGTGTTATTATATCAAGTTGCTCAGAGCAGCTGTGACCCAAGAACACAACACTTCCATTTTGCATTAGCCGTCCCATTCTTTGCAAAATGCCCAGACTGAGTGTGCGCCATCAGCGTCTCCACAACATAAGACAGTCGACGAGCAAATTAGCAATCCATGACTAATATCGTGTCCATAGACTTATTTCGTCAGCTATAACTGCGTACACGTGATCATGAGAAGTATACGTGTGCATATGGGGTGAATTAGACGTGTATAATAGGTGCGGTTATTGTGTCTTTGGACAGACAACTGGTGGCTAGCTTTGGTTAGCATGTTAGCTATCCAGAGTAGGCCGTGGTACTGGTGAACGATCTCAGTGTACGCCGGGAGACAGCGATACCTCTTCGTACAATACAATATAATGTGCTTTTCTTCTTACCGTCTATGCTTACAGTTTAATGAGGCATGATGATAGGTAGATTAATGGCATTTACCTGGTTTTATCAGGTTGCCAGGGCGCGCGGGATCTTTCTCTCCGAGGATCCTGAACACCTCTCACTGTCAGTGACGTCACACGCACACGGCTTTCGTAACGTAAACCGCGTCTGACCAGTGCTTTTTAGGTTATGTGATTTCATATATAAAAATTATTAACTTCATAAAATAATTGAAAGTCTGCAGAGGGGAAAAAATTAAAACTTCATTTTTTTGTGTACTTGTGCATTATCTAAATCCCTACTGACTGCACATGACAAGAACCCTTCAATGTATTTCCTGTATCAAAATGAACAAAAAAGACGTCTGGGACACTGTAAAATCAAATCTCCCTTACGTTTCACATTAAATACTTTTACTGTGTACATCATACCCACAGTAAATTTTGGTAATAACATGACAGCAAGTTATGTTGAATATAAAGATAAAAATCAATTTAAATAAGTATAATCTGTTCACAGAAACAACTGCGGTATGAGTTGGAACCATAAATACATAAATATGAAATGCATACCTCCCTTTTGCGGAGGTGGTTGTTTTCGGTAGGTGGCGCTAATGCAGCACATTTACACAAAATTGGTAGAAGAACCGTAGAAAGATCCGGAAAAGTCGTTCATGTAATGCCTGCTGCTTGATGGGGTAGACTGGCAGCATGGGCGTCAAAATAGAGATATTTAGGGTAAGTTAAGTGCAATTTTCCACAGTGCAAAATATTTTTGTATTTTTAAAGTGGCTCATGGTTTCTGCGTAGCTGTTATTGTTTCTGTTTGCTTGAATAGTTGCTAGCATAAGGCTAACTGAGGTCATTCGTGTTTTGAATTCACAGATGATGTTATATTTGTCTTTTCCGGTTGCGATGTTCTGGGTCTCAAACCAAGCCGAATATTTTGAGGAGTATGTCATCAAAAGAAAGGTATACAACATTCTATGCACACGATCTTCCTCTAAAGTCTTAGAAATTGACGTAATATACTCTTCTTTATCTCAAAATAGAGAGAGATTTTTCCTCCAGACGAAGAAACCCATGTAAGTGTTTACTACATGCCTGTAACAATCCACCTCACGTGATACAAGTGCACTATGCAACTTTTCTGGTGACATTTGTATAACGTGTGACACATCTACCTACATTTGAAACAAGCAAGTGACATTTTCAACTAATAGGTCATATCCTATCTGTGGAGAGTAGGATCCGCTCAATGTAAGAATATTTTAAGGAAAGTTGCATAGTGCCCTTTTTGGGGTTGGTAGAATAAATTGAGTACCAATGTTTCAATGTATTTGTGACTGATTGGATTTTCTATTTTCCAATTTATTTACAGAGAAAAGAGTTGGAGGACTTCAAAGAAAAAATGCGTACTCGCAGAGAGAAACGGCTGTTTGAGGAATCTGAAAACTAAGGACTCCTGTTGTATCACCAATGTCATAAGTTGTAAATACATTTATTGAGAGTGTGACATGTATTGCTTCTATGATACTTTTTATTGTGATAACTTTGTAATTTGTATTATTTAATTAAGTAAAACAACCTTCTAAAAACATTTGTTTTATAAGAATACTCACTTTTACTCTGAACACGTGCTTTCATTCAACAGACTTTATGCACTCTGTTGTGTGGCGTAATTGGTTCACTCTGAAGTAATCCTGTCTACTTACACACAAGTACAAGATACCAATTGGCTAGAATGTGCATTTGAAGAGCACATACCTTGCCACTGTGTATCTTCCTGAAATTTAAATGGGGTCTTCTCACCGTCTCATCCCATCTACACTTGTAATTCAGCTTGGTTAGTAGTTTCTGTAGAATCCTGCCTGCAGACAAGACTAATATCCCCATGTTGGGAGGGTAATCAAGAATTCATATACTTTATACTTTTCCCACAAGTTTGGAGTCTTTCAAAGCTCTGATCAGAAAACATCAAGGTCCTAAAAATGTCTCTGTTGTCACTTATTAGTTGTTTGTTTCCACTCCACACGATTTATGTCTTGCAATGTTGCTAAATGGCCACAGGGTGCGTGCTTTTCATAAGTAAGTTTGCGTAACACAAACTTTTGAAACGGACAGACCGACTGAAGTCATACAGAAATATCATTCCGTATGAATTACGGATTTGCTGCCAGGTTATAGCAGTGGTGGTGCCAAACAGTAAAACTAATGTAAAAAATCCATCTTACTTGTTCACTACACTCAACACAGACTAGTTTTCACATGTATTTTTTTTTTTTTTACACATCCATACCGTTGCTACATCTTTTTCATACAGAAAAAAAAATACACATCTTACTGGCAACTCTATAATGGTGAGGATCTTCTGTTGGAACACACATGTTTCATTCTCTTGATTCATTCTCTTCATTCTCGGGAAAACCTGCGAAATACAGATGAAGGGTGAGCAACCTTTCTTTGTTGTGAATAATCCCTGTTTGTGAGAGTTTACACAAACATGTTAATATGGAGAGGAAAGTTAGGTGCTCTAGATTTAACACCAAATTGCTGAGCCCTTGCATAATGATAACCAATTATTTCCAATATATCGGTTTATCATTGTTATGAAAACAAGAATAAAGGATGTTATTATGAGTGGGCGCTAGAGGGCAGTGTTTGGCCATTTCTGACAGCAACAGCAGCTGCAACCGCAAACAACAAGGAAGTGACCGAGCGACTGCTGCTGTCGAGATGGCATCGAGTGGCCTAAAAGCGGTGGTAGGAGAAAGTAAGTACACTACATATTATAGGCGTATGTTTTTAAGACATAAACATCATTCAAATCCAGTGAAAGTTGTCAGATACATGTCTTGAGTAGGTGTGTTGTCTGGAGAGCCTGCGACACTGGGACAAATCTCACTTCCTGTAACATCGCACTTCATTAAACTTCCTGACAGCTCACAAACTAACATTCAGTTCAATAGAATGATCATACAGGATGGGTTTAAACCTCTGTTATATTGTTCATGACTGTGTTGTGTTCAGTCAGAGTCAAATAATTACTTTAATGTTTTCCCATCAGTGATAATCACAACAGGTGTATTCCGTTTGATATGTTTTTGGATTAGAACCTAAAAGAGGAGAGAATAGACTCAAACCCTGCTGTAAATGTGTCATAACTCACCTGTCTGTCCATCATGTGATTTGACCTGATGCAGCAGTTAACCACTGCTTACCCACTTATTCACCTTTTCTCATTATAGACAATATTGAAAAGATTTGTACTAATGCTAATAGGTTGCGTTCATGTTGTAAATGGGGTAGGTGCCAAAACAACTCTATGGGAAAGATTTTTTTTTAATGATATGTTAAAAAAAAGAAAATGCCAAAGAAAGAACTCCTCCACACAGGAGTTGATTTTTTGGAAAATGTTCCGTGGAACTTGAGGAAGGTCTGTTGACTCAAACAATGACTCAAACATTCTATGAAGAATAAACATTCTACGAAGAGTGAGACAGTGGGTGGGAGTTCTTCCTTCTACAAGTTGAGTACCTGCTCTTCTCCTGCACACCTGTTGCCTTCTCGGATTAGCAGAGGCCTCTTCATCATGAAAAAGAACATTATTTTTCAGCTGCTCTGTACCATAAGTTAAAACTGTAGGCTTTTTGTAATTTTATAACGTGTGTTGTAAAAATAATGGTAAAATATGTAACAATGAAACCTTCCCTTCTTAGAAATTCTCAATGGAGTCATCAAAAGTGTAAAGAAGGAAGGTGAATGGAAGGTAAATAACGGAAAGAAGTTGCAATAGTATGAACCGTCAAACCTCAAAGACTGATGGACTTCTTTGTTTTTATAGGTCCTTATTGTTGACCATTTGAGCATGAGAATATTATCCTCCTGTTGCAAGATGTCTGATATTTTGGCAGAAGGTGTTACAAGTAAGTTTGAATGTTAACATCTCATTTTTGACTGTTCAAACAGTCTTTCTGTGACAATTCTAATTTCTAGTTGATTTAATAATTAATCATATTAATTATTATTAACAGACTTATTTTCATATTTTTGTTCCTCCTTTGTCTATGCTCTAACACTAAAAGTACTTTTGATTCATAATTGAAAATATCTAATGCGCATCACTCTTGTTATAGTTGTGGAGGACATCAACAAACGCAGGGAACCAATATCAAGTCTGGAGGCGATATATTTGATCTCACCCATGGAGAAGGTCAGCTTTTGCTTGATGTCTTTTCACATCACAATTATTTATAATGAAAACATCCCATTCTTACACTGACTATTGTCACATTATTTTCAGTCTGTTCAAGCCCTCATTAATGATTTTAAAGACACTGCTTTTACTTACAAAGCGGCACATATCTTCTTCACTGATGGTAAGGGATATTTGTTTCATTGGAGCTGCAAAGTGAGTGGAGTTCTCAAATTCTGGAAGTATAATTCCCTATTATAAATAATAAGAGTTTAGGAAAATCCAAATGTCCCGAGTTTGAAGACATGACAGGGAATAACTCGCTCCCTGGTAACTACTATTCACAGCTCAATTAAACCGAAAAACACCACATTCTATGTACTTCAAAAATATATGTAGATCTTGTGGTCATTACTCACACAATCCGCTTATCTACCCCAAACAATTTTAAAACTTTTTTATAATAATTCTTCTAAGTCCCTTTGGTGAATTATACATCCTGAGCCAAGAAGCTCTGCCTACTTTGCAGATCCTTATCACCCACGCCATATTGGATTAATATTATTTAGTTCTGCAGTGAATATAACGTTTCATTTTTCCTCACAGCTTGTGCCGACGGGCTATTTGCTCAAATTGGGAAAGCCAGAGTTGCCAAAGTGATCAAAACATTGAAAGAAATCAATGTTGCTTTCCTGCCATATGAGTCCCAAGTTAGTTGTTATTTATCTCTGCTTGTTTGCCCAGAGCTCATTTTTCTTTTTTTTCCTTTTTAGGTCTTCACCCTTGATGACCCTGGCTCCCTGCATTCATTCTACAGCTCTAAGCCAACTCTGGACAGGGACAAAATGATGGAGAATATAGCAGAGCAGATAGCGACTCTGTGCGACACATTAAAGGAATACCCTGCTATTCGCTATCGCAAGTAAGTCGAGCGTAGCAAAGTTTTTGCTTTTTAAAGCAAAATTCACTTGATATTTCTCTATGTACTAACGTTTTAAAGGGGACCAGAAGAAAATGTACGTCTGGCAAATGAAGTCTACCAGCGCCTCAATGCTCACAAGGCTGACAACCCAAGCATGGGAGAGGTTGGTGTAATTATAAAAAGTTTGATGTATATCTTGTTGCTTTTTCACTTAAAATGGGCTTTGGGACTTTTTCTGCAATTCTGTCTTCTTCCTGTCTACTGTCTTTCCTAATTTAGATTTCCTTGCTCCAATGGTGACTCAAAACTGGCATGTATGTATGTATAGATTTCTTTTTCTTATTTTTTTTATCAGTCTCATCTAATTCTACCTACCTGCTTGCAATGTTGTTGATTCATACAGAATATTTGACATCTTACTGTATAAATTATAAATAAATCTTAAATCTACAATGCGTTTTCAGGGGGCAGACAAAGAAAGATCCCAGCTTCTGATTGTGGATCGTGGTTTTGATCCCATTTCTCCCATCCTGCATGAGTTGACCTTTCAGGCTATGGTTTATGACCTGTTAGAAATCGATCAGGACATCTACAGGTAACGCGCCCAGAATGTTAGGTCCTGTCATTTGCGTAGCTCTATCTCACACACTTATTTAATTCAGGTACCAGACCACAGGCATTGGAAACTCGAATGAAAAAGAAGTGTTGCTGGATGAAGATGATCATCTTTGGGTTCAGCTCCGACATATGCACATCGCTGACGTCACAAAGTGTGTGAAAACTGCCTACACAGGTGGAACTCGGACAATTAGAAGTGTATTGAAGCAATCATTTAATTCTGTAATTCAACTTGTAATTTTAAACTAATATGACTCATTACATGCACAGTGGGATATATAAAGCCTTCATTTTTTATAATTTTGATAATAGGCCACATTGCTTGTAAAAAACCCAAAGAAAAGAATATTGGCCTGTCAATATTATAACAAAGGCTTGGCATTTGTCCCTTTGCATGTAATAAGTCACATTTTAAGTTGAATTGCAGAAATAAATTAACTTCTAAACAATATTTATAACTATATTTATCAAATTTTACGATTAATCAAACAATTCTTTCTATACCCTTATCGCACTTCATAATAATGCCAATTTTGATACACAGGAAAGTGACAGAACTTTTACGTGGGTTTTGTGAAAGCAAACGAATGTGCACTGACAACGTGAGCTCTATTTGATTTACTTTTGTTTCTGAACCATTAAGCCATTACTACAACTTACTTTACTATGACTTCAGGCCAACATCAAAGACTTGTCTCAGATGTTGAAGAAGATGCCACAGTATCAGAAAGAGCTCAGCATGGTGAGAGAGATGTCGCATTCGGATCATTTGTAGTTTATGAATCGTTCGTTGACATTCTCTGCATTTCAGTACTCCACTCACCTGCACCTGGCTGAAGCGTGTATGAAGAAATTTAAGGCCTCTCTTGATAAACTCTGTGAGGTAGAACAGGTAAGCATTGTCAACATTTAATATATAGTTTTATGAATGAAGATTGGAGAGACGGAGGGATAAACGGCTAACATGGGATTACTCATCATTTCACCACAATCTGCATCATTTAATCTTTATTTATAGCTGCTCTTATCCACACCACTTAACGGAGAATCAGAATGTATACCAAGCTGGAGACGGGACGTGTTCAGACATTCGCATTATGTTATCTCTGGGTCTTAAGAGCATTCAAATAGTAGAGATGTTTTAACTGGAAATATGTAAATCCATAATAAGGCTTAAGTTCAGAGTAATAAAAGGTCGACTAGTGCTTTGTTTCAACTGTACACTATGTCTTCATGAGCGTTCGGACTTGTTAGAGAGTAGGCACTGGCAAACTGAATAACAAGCTGTGCGTTGTGGCACAATGATATCCAACTGTTAATGGAACCTTTTTAATGTGGTAAATCACTGGCTACACTAATGGATTGTCAACATGTTGTGTCAATACAATGGGAATTTTTGGCTCTAAGATAAAGGATCCACATGTGAAGCTGTGATTAGTTTGTACTGTTAAGCATTGTCATTAGGCCTTTATATAGTTGGAAGCAGAATGCCCTCCTCTGGTTTCAGATTACTACAATGCTGTTTATTATACTTTATCTGGTCTTTGATTGGTCTCTAACTTGAGGGTAATAATACCAAGAAAGCTGTAGTCAATGACTGTTTATGCAAAATGGCTCTCTGGCCACCCGGGTCCGTGATCATGAGAAATCATCATTCTTGATTTTTCTAATCCTGTTGTGTCACTTTGTGGAGGCAGTCACCAGGGACTGCCTTTGAACTTTGATGTGATGTCTTAAACAGTTGTGCCAATGTCTTGACAGGATCTGGCCATGGGAGCAAATGCAGAAGGAGAGCCTCTGAAAGATGCAATGAAAAGCATTGTCCCTGTGCTTCTCAATAATGAAATTGAAGCTTATGACAAAATACGCATCATACTGCTGTACATATTTCACAAGAAGAAAGGTATGTCACAGATCACATGTCATTCGATTGCAATTGTTCCCATGAATAATGAATGTATTTACTTTGGCATTTTACCCCAGGTATTGGTGAGGAGAACCTTACAAAGCTCATCCAACACGCCAACATACAGGAGGATAGTATGATCATCACTAACCTGCAGAATTTGGGCTGCAACATCATTGCAGGGGTACATGTTCTATTTGCACAATACATTAAACAAATGTTTATTATTTTATTCCTTTTTACTATATATTAAAATTTGTTTTGGTTCTTTAGGGAAGAAATGCTGGCAAAACCTTGCCAGACAAAAAGGAGCGCAAAGAGAGTACATACCAGCTTTCTAGATGGACACCCACCATTAAAGACATCATGGAGGTAAAAAGAAACCTCTACGACTTCCCAGTGTCCAGTTTTCTGACTGTTTTTTCCTCTCAGAATGCTGTAGACGACAAACTGGACAAAAAGCAATGGCCTTATGTTGCTGATCCAGCTCCAATCAATACAACTACTACTGCACCCAGGTATGAACGATGGATAGATATAGATACTTTATTGATCCTCAGCAGAAACACATCCACCCATACAAACATCAACAAATAATACATCATTCTAAAAGTTTGGATCAGACAGATCTGTTGTACAATGACATACTTTCTTATGGTGTGTTGCAATAGAGATGGAAGTTCACAGTATAATCATGGGCCATGGACATGTTGTGTCTTACACACAAATCTTACACAATCAGGACTATTATTAGACATTTCCGACTGTTATTATATTATCCCTTTCACTAAATGTTACCCCAGCATTTAGGAGTTCTGAAGGTAAAATTAAGCCGTTTGTTTTGAATACTCTCAAATCCCTTGTGAAATTCCTGTCATAATGACAGTACTTGTAAAAGCCCCTTTTCGGCAGAAGATCACATAATCTGTGTAATGCTCACTGCTCATTTCACTTCCTGTTCAAGCGCAGAGATAATCACGTGCATGCCATAACTCCGACAACTGTGGACAGGGCGCACAATGGGGCTGATGGGGCCTTGACATTGACCCAAAGGAATAATGTATTTAAAGGTGATCGCTCAGTGCGCTCCTAGGCTCATATATAATCTATTTAGTGCTTTTCAATTGCCCTGACCCCAAGGCTAACTTTGTATGCATCATAAGTACAATGTAATTGGTTTTAACAGTGTATGTTAAAGATCACACTTTATTTCAGGATTCTAATAAATTGGGGCCATTGCCATAAAAAAACATATTTTATCTTTTTAAAACGAAAAAGTTTTCAAAATCATGCATACGAGAAGCTTAAGATCTTAAGGTCTACCAATACACTGGGTTGTAAATTATAAACATTCTGACGTGTCTTGCCCAAGGATACAACAGCTGTATACGTTTCTTTCTCCCGACCACAGTGCCAGACTCTCCCAGCGGAATCTGTAAACTACCGTATGGCACCAATGTTTTGTTTTTGTTTTTTTAATCTGTCATTGTGAGGATTGAACATTAAAAGACAATTTTAGAACACCCTCTGTGGATAGAAAAGTGGTTTCAAACTATTCCCAAACTACATTTGATGCGCCGATGTAGGAGTGTCTGTTGGACCGTTGTCTAACAAAAAGGACTGCGGTGATGATCCAGGACACTTTAACATTCTACAACATGTATGGACATTTATCAACATGTGTTCTATAGTCTTGTATCATAACTGTTGATTCTCTGATCTGTGTTGGTGATTTCAATGGTTTTATTAAGTCCTCTGAGATGACTTCTCTTGTGATTTAGGACTATACAAGAATAAATTGTATTGTATTTGCTTCCAATTTACCCCCATATCAAAATGAGGCCTATTTCTGGTCATAAACTATGACCAAAGTAGGTCGCTCTGGTTATAAATAATAGTTTAGTAATGATGTAAATCCTTATTGCTAATATTCAACGGAGTGATCCTTTGATACTTTTCTTGCTTAGAATCTTAGAGCGAGGTCATCCAAAGACTTGCACACAAGGCCCGTTTTCATAATTATTCAGTGCAATGTATCCACGGGTGTCAGCATGATCAAATGTTGACAGTCGTATTCCACCAAAATGATGAATGAAAATATTTCCAATGAAGCTGGGACTCACAAGTAGTGAAATGAATGTTCTTTATTTGAAAATGAAATGTGTTTGTGTATTTACAGCAGTGCACGCTTCGGACACTGGCATAAGAACAAGTCTCCGACAGAATACCGCTCTGGCCCTCGTCTCATCATTTTCATTATTGGGGGCTTGTCCCATTCAGAGATGCGTTCTGCTTACGAAGTCACTCAGGCGACTGATGGAAAGTGGGAAGTTGTCATTGGTACGTCATTTTAAGAAGGGGACGAAAGAGCTTTTTTTTGGTGTCATTTCAACATTTTAACGTAATGTATTCTATTTGTGTCTATTTTTAGGTTCATCTCACATTTTGACTCCAACCCTATTTCTAAACGATCTTAAGAGTCTTGACCAAGTTCCAAACCCTGACTCTTAAAAATCCAACTCTGGCACAGAATGCACCGTTAGAAGTATATCTTGTTTATAAATGACAAAGTAATTATTATATTATTGATTATATAAGGGTGGTTGCCTAGACCACCATGGTGAATAGTACTTGAATGATTGATACAGGATGTAATTTAATTGTAATTGGTATGTTTTTCTTCCGTCTTCTAAACTTGTTTTCACTACGCATTACAGAAAACCTCTCTAAATAAATATTTATAGTAACTCTTTCTTGTCTGCTGTATGAACATTGACATTTCTTTTTTATTTTACAATTGCAAATACAAATAAAACCACTTTATTCACAGTTTCCACTTTTGTTTTTTTAATTATTGGGAATTCCCAGGCTTCCTGTAAGTGAGAAACGAGTTCACTGTAAATCCTTTTTAACAAAATGTGACATAAAATACAAATGTCAACTTTTGTTCTTTTAGATCAAAGATTGTATCCAACATCACCTATCAGTGAAAATATCATCTCTGTTGATGCAGAGGATTATGTTTCCATCTGGGATTACAGATGGTAATACTAGGAACAGTACGCTACAGCAAGTCTTAATGCGAATGGGTTAATACTCACGACTTTGCTCTATTTAAAAGCCTTTTACTTCGCTACAGCCTTTACACTGTCGGGACGGCGTCCAACCAAATACTTTCATGGCACTGACCAGCAGGAAATCAATGGATCTTTTTGGTTTTTAGACAAAACGTGACAATTTTCTTAACCGGGCAAAAGGCTTAATTTGAGAAGGCGGTCGCTGGATAAAGCCTTAATCTGGTAAAATCTTTTTGAGGTATATTTACAATTCTTTAAATTACTGGAATTATTTATCCTGTGTTGTTCTTTTTTTAGGAGTAAAAGACTGCCCAGAGAGTTTGTTTATATACATTCTGCCATAGGAATACATTTCATGCAGAAAGTTAATTTCAGTTAATTATTGAACCAAGAATTTTGACAGAGATATCAGCATGTCCACATCCACAGGTATAACAAACATCTTTGTCATCTTTACATGTGAATATGTTGTGATGTCTGCTTTTCTTCAGATTCCCTACAGGTTCAAAACCAAGTGCTATTGCCAGTGATCAACTACCAGGTGCACAACAAAGAATCTCCCCAATATCAGTGTAAACAATACAACATTATAACGGTTTGTGTGTTTTTCCTAGGATCCTCATTTAAATAATGATGGCTCAGCACCTCAGATCTCAGTCACAGTGAGCACTCCTGAATCACAACAGAAGGGTGCCTCGCATCAGGCATTTAACTTTTAATGTGAGTGACACATACAAATGTGCTATTTCTGTTCATCCAGGCACTGTCTCAGGATGAAGACAAATTAGTCGACATGATCCAACAAGGCCAACGGGGACGTATGGAAGATCAGCGCTGTCAGTTTACACCCAGCAAAAGTGCTCCAACCACACCTCGAACCGATCAGAGAAAGCCGCTTCCAAACTTGGGTGAGTCAGTGTTTTAAACAGTTGCTCTTGATTTAAAAAGACTGCATGTAAAGTCTGCATTTCATTTTTTAGTGACATCTACCTCGTTTACAAGTGTCCCCAGATTATCAATCAACATGTACAAATCATAATTGACCTTTTCAGAACAAAAGCTTTAAGTGGAGTAATTCTTAATCAAAAATACAGTTGATATTACAAAATACATGTTGGCATCCACATCCAAATATTCACGTTCACAATTTTCAAGTAGATTATCAGAGAGCAGCATTTAGGTTCTCATTTGTGTTGCCAGTTTGTTAGGCTCCATCTTTTTATAACAAAAAACAAAAAAACATAAACCATGTGTTTACTTACATTTGTATCTGCATTCATTTAGTCATTAATGAATACTGTCTCTAAACACCAGCATGTGGATTGCTTTAGTAATCAGTGTTTAGGAGCCACAGGCAGGAACATTCTGGCAACTAAAGTGTGACTGTAAACTGTAAAGTGTCTTTGTTAGACCACGAAGCATACATATTACATACTGGCCCAAACATTATATTACTGATTACTTATTTGTATATTTTTGTAGGGATGGAGACTGAGTCCTTTCTGAGCGTCTTGGCCAGTTCTCAGAGTCGCCGCCTTGATGATCAAAGAGTGTTTCTTCCCTCATTACCAGGATTAGCTAACAAAAAAGAAGAATCCAACTCTAATTCAAATCCAGAATCAAACTATCTTTGTTATATGGTTTCAAAAGTACAGGTAATTTCTATCTAAGGATTTCTACTATCCGTTATTTATGCTATTACATTCTAAAAAATATCTCTTGGTATTTAAAGGGAAGTAGAATGGATGACCAAAGGTGCTCTCTGCCACAAATTACAACTTTATCCCCAAATGGTTCGGATCGTGCAAGGTCTGCCTCTTGTACAAATGCAGACATCTATTCCCCCGGCAAGAGTCCACAGGTATTTTATTTATTCCCTATTTTATTTTTAAAGATGTTAGACAAGTGTTGTTTTTGTCCAGGACACCAATCCAGCGGAGGAGGATGGTTTCTATAAAATGATTAGTCAAGCACAACATCGAAGGATGGATGATCAACGTTGTGAACTGAAACCTACGCCTAAGCCTTCTCGCAAACAATCAATGCCAGAACCATTACCAAACAGTAAGCGCCGCGTTTTTGTTTCATGTGCAGGTCTTATGATGGCTAACTCAATTTTTAAAAGCAGATTCTGATGGGTTCTTTAATCAACTTGCCGCATCTCAAAGTCGCCGCCTTGATGACCAGCGGGTGTCTCTCCCATCATTACCAGGGATTCAGAACGGAGGGCAAAAGATGAGTGCATCAGAAAATGAAGCAAATTACCTCTGCTACATGGTGTCCAAAGCACAGGTGTGTTTGCTGTTCTTTAGTTTGTCACTTTTTGATTGTTGTGGTGCATCATCACGTATATGTGGTTTTCTCTCAGGGCTCCAGGATGGACGAGCAGAGATGTTCTGCACCCTTCATCTCGCAGAACATGAGCCCTTCTTTTCAGCGTAAAGACTCCAACAAAGATCTTCAGAGATCTTCCTCCCTAAACCGTTCCACATCTGGCAAGCAGGAAAAGCAGGTCATTGTTTTATATTGGTAGTAAACAATGTACTGCAGTAAGAACGATTTTGTTGTGATATTGTATATACAATGTTGGGAAGAAAGCCTTTATTATATGTGAAATTACATATATTTGATGCAGACTATTATTGTTTTTAGGAAATTACAGGCGTTCAAGAGGAACAGTTTCTTAAAATAATGAAACATGCCCAAAAGGGGCGAATGGAAGAGCAGCGGTGTTCTCTCCCAATCAGCAGACCTGCCTCACCGTCACACAATGGAAATGCCATAAATAATATAGCTGCAGGTCAGAATAACATACAGGTCAAATGTATAGTATGTTTTCTTATGTCACAGGAATGATACTTGGATTATCTGTAACAGGTGGAAAAACAGATGCCCGAAGTCAAGCAAAGCAGGCAGATAAGCGTGTTGCAGATTCCCCTGTAAGTTTGTTTTTTTTCTCTTTGAATTCCTTTTTAGCCTTAAAATGGTCAATCACAACTTTCATATTTGTCACATGTTACCAATAATTTATATTTTAAACTAGAAAACCGCGCCACTGATAACTGTGACACAGAGCACTCCGACTACATCAAAGAAGGAATTCACAAGACCTTTGTCCATGCCTCCGGTAGAGCAGGCTTCCCCAAGGCCCTTCCCCAAATCTGCCTCATATGGTCAAGAGGCCTCACCAGCGCAGGTTTTTGCTCATGCATGAAAATGATCTTTGCTTGTCAAATACTCTTGGGTAAACTGTTGTTTGTTTAATTCTAGGTCACAGTTCGAGTGTCTATGAGCTTCTCATCCTTACAGGTCAGAAATTGTACATAGCATAGTGTGTTTAATGACAATAGCATAACCATGAAATTCCTGTTAAAGGGACAAATGGATCTTGACCAGCCCAGTAGCTTCCCAGAACTCTTCTTGACTCTCGGAGCACCAGGAGATAACCTAATGATTCCTCTGAGTCCAATGCCTGGACGACGGCTTTCCCTCAGCCTCAACCTCATCCCGAAAGATGAGGCAGACACTGAAGAAACTTCTAACCACCCAGGCCCTTGGAATTCACACTCGGGGCCACCCTCTCCTGCAGTCAGAGTGCACAGCCATTCACCTCCAAGCCCCAATGTGAAGGCTGCCAAAAAGGGCAATAAATTAAAGGGTAAAACAAAGGATAAGGCCACTCATGACAAAGGGAAGAAGGCCAAGAAAGATAAGAGATAACGTGTTATGATATATATTTATATTCCATTCTTTCGTTCTTTTTTTCTTGTTTTTGACTAGATTTGCCTTGTAAAAACACGAGCCCTTACTGTTAATATTAATGTAAGTTTAATTAATTTTGTTTATCTCAATTGAAATCCTAAAAGTGTCAAATCTTTTGACACTTGCTGAAAGAAAATAACTTATTGCAAATGTGATACATTAAACCGCTTTGTGACTCTGGTCTGTGAAAGGCGGTATATAAATAAAGATTACTTACTTACATTATAATTTTATTGATTTGAGCAGAAATTTCACATTCATAAGCATTTACGATAGTTACATGACCTTTTCTACATGTTGCCTTCTGTGCTTACAGTATATACTTACAGATGCAAATATATAGAAATAAATATACAATCAAGCAACAATGATTGCTATTGATATATTTATTGTTCACTGCTATTGGAATTGAGATAAACAAAATTAATTAAAAGTGGGCGACAGTAGCTCAGTTGGTAGAGCATTGGCCTTTGAGCCTGAAGGTCGTGGGTTCGAGCCCACCGTAAGACCTACTTCACGACTCCCACTGATGACTGCTGCCGTTGTGTCCTTGGGCAAGACACTTAACCCCACTTTGCCTGAAGCTCCCACTGAAAGATCTCAGCTCCTGTGGACTCACCACCTGCAGGAGAATCAGTGAGGGGCTGGTGCTCTGTGGACTGGGTGCAGCTCTGGCCACCCCCCCGACCCAGAAATGGATTAAGGGGAAGAAAATGGATGGATGTTATTGGAATGTCACTCGAAATACATATGTCAACCTGACACAGAGGAAGCACAAACAACTTGATGACATTGCGGGCTCCGAAGGGGCATGAAATTCCCATTTGGCCAGGTCTGATCCAGAGAAAAGTAAAAATAAATAAACAATATATTTTTGAGTATTATAGTTTATTGCACACATTAAAGCACACACTACACACACAAGTTTTCTGGGCAGAAGAATTAAGCAGAAAAATCCTGAGAAGAAAACTTATATTATTGAAAAAACATTCAGAATTTCTTCTTTATTAAAGTTTTGATTTACAGTACAGGCCTTGTACCTAAATGTGGTTAAATAACATGTAGTTGTCTGTTTTTAAAGAATATCATGGAATTAAAACATAGAAATGTCATATTTTAAAATGCATACCGCCTTCTCAGATTGTCTCTTGTAAGCTTTCACTTCATCAACCTGGTCCTGGAGTCCGTTCACATTCTTCTTGTCTTCCTCTGTCTATAAGGTAAAGATTATCATAGCGAGAGTTGGCATATTTATTCACATAATCTATAAACATCACAAACACAACTATTTGTTGTATTTTGTATGCTTGTGAAGAAGATGACAAAGTCTGGGATCGCGTCTTTAATTCCGACAGAAGACATGTTTTATTGTCGATGGTAGAGACAGCACGATCAAAGCACACGATCACATATACAACAGAATGCAAGTGTATTATACAGAGCGGAGGCATGGAGACCTCCAATCAGCAGCTTCCACGGTGTGCTTGTAGCTTGGCCTTCAGATAGACAAAACAAGGGAAAAGTACTGGCTTCTGCACATTGATAGAATGATGAGTTTAACTTTAACAAAAGTTGCTTCAAAGTGTTATGAAATCTCACATTCCCCCCTCTGGTCATACATTCACGTGTGACCATCAGGATCGATAAACAGCAACATAACATCATAACTCAATACTTCAAAAACTCATAAACTCGGTACTTCACTCTGTACTTCAAAAAACTCAGAACTCTGAATACTTCAAAAACTCAGAAAACTCATAAAACATGTTCAGATCTTTCATAAAACTTGTCAACAATCTTCAGTAAAATACCAAACTTCATCAGTCGATGGTGGTTCCAGACATTGCTTTGAAAACAGTCTCTCCCACTTCTCCGTGTTGATTCTTCAGGCTGCATTTGTGTTGAGCCATGAATTCTTCTGTGACGTGTCTTTCAATCACACGTTTCAGCTTCAGTGTCCAGATTCAGAAATCCAATTCAGTCCAAATTATGTCCAAATTCAGAAATCCAATTGTTCCAAATGATTTCCAAATTGTGTAATCCAATTTTTCCAAATGGTGTCCATGCAAAAGAGGACGCTGGTATTGTCCATGTCTCATCAGCTCACAGCCTGACTGGAATCAGGGGCTGTGCAGATTGTCCATGTGTGCTGATCCAGATGCATTCTCTTGAGGTTTCTCAGTTTTGGCTTAAAAAAAAAAACACTTTTTGTGTAAAAAAAAAAGTAGTCTTCTGTTCACTAGATGTTACAGACAAGGCCCGCATCCTTCCACCACCTGAAGAGGATGACATAGTCTGGGATCGCGTCTTACATTCAGACAGAAGACATGTTTTATTGTCGATGGTAGAGACAGCACGAACAAAGCACACGATCACATATACAACAGAATGCAAGTGTATTATACAGAGCGGAGGCATGGAGACCTCCAATCAGCAGCTTCCACGGTGTGCTTGTAGCTTGGCCTTCAGATAGACAAAACAAGGGAAAAGTACAGGCTTCTGCACATTGATAGAATGATGAGTTTAACTTTAACAAAAGTTGCTTCAAAGTGTTATGAAATCTCACACTTGCCAATAGTTGGAATGACGGTGTTTGTGAAAAGAAATAATAATTCATACCTGGTAGGTCAGCTCATATTTGCGGACTCCCTTGACAGCATCTGCCCCTTGTCTTTGCTCAGCTTCAACTTCTGTCTCAAGTTCATGGACCTTATACAAAATAATCCTTGTTTTTTGTTTTTTTTATAACCCATTGTTTGAATGAACAGTTCAGCAGACACCCACCCTGGACTCCAGTCATGGGGCTGCTTTTTCCCTCCCTTCGTGGCCAGGTTCTCAGCCTCATCCAGTCGGGGCTGAAGGTCCTTGGCAGTGACCTCCAGGTTCTTCATCCTCTCCAGATGAGCACTAGTGTCATGCTCCTTCTTATGCACAAATGTGTGTGCATAATTTTGAGTTGTAGCGCTAATCAATCAATCAATCAAAGTTTATTTATAAAGCGCTTTTCATACAACAGATGCAACACAGTTTGGCTAAAAAACAATCCTGCCCATGCCCTCCCCCCGACCGCCCAACAGACCCTCCCCACCCACACACGCACCGATAAAACAATAAAACGATGATAAGAGACTTGGCAGGGTTCAGATGCAATGACAGACTGACACACATGCCACACATGCAAATAGGTGAGCTCACATTAGTGATGGCCTTCTCGGCTTTCTTTTCAGCATTTCTTGCCTCTTGGAACAGAATCATCCACTTCACCCAGAAACCTGGACCAGATCTGACTCCAGCTTTTTCTTGGTGTTCAGAAGAGTTGTGTTCTATATGACAAAACAACGCTAAAGGTTAACCATATTTGTCTGACTAGCCAGCAAAAGGGGCTCTTGAGGGCCCTCAAAACCACTGAAAGTGGGCCTCAAAAGGTTGTCCATACAACACATTGCCACCTCACAGGAGTTGAAAATGAAAATACACGTGTTTTACAGCCACATCCATTGCGTCACGGTGACTGAGCTTTGACTATGCTGAATGTGAAAGGTTTGCATGAAAGCTGGAGTGGTCACCAGGAGCAGTTATGTTCGAAGAATCCAGCAGATGGCGGTATGTCACTCCAGTCAACAGTCTATCCAGCGAAGAACACGGATGTCGCTGACTGCGCATGCTCAGTGCGTGAATTTGCGACGCTAGCACGTTTGTGGCTAAAACAGGCGCCTAACTCTAGCCCCTAACTTATTTATATTCATTTAATTGTATTTTGTCCGGTTGGATTGTCCGCTACTTGCCAAAAAACATGCCTTCCTTGGATGAAAAACCGGATGTGATTTTTGTAAGTTTGATCAAAGCTTGTGAATACTCTTCGCATTGTGCGTAATAGTCTCTCGCCTTTCTTGTCTGTGGAGTTACATATAACGTCTTTCTAATCATTTAAACAAACTTCTTACAAGTATGGTAATGCGATGGTGCTGCTCGTCTTTGTGATTATAGGAAGATGACGATCTACCCTACGAAGAAGAAATACTCAGGAATCCATACTCTGTCAAGTGCTGGATGCGTTACATTGAATTCAAGCAAAATGGACCTAAAACCACCATGAACATGATTTATGAACGCGCTTTGAAAGAACTTCCGGGCAGGTAACAAACTAATTGTCAACTGCTTTTGCTTTATGTTTATGATGTTTATTTCAATGAGTGTATGAACCCGTGTGTTACAGTTACAAGCTGTGGTATAATTATCTGAAAGAGAGACGTAAACAAGTAAAAGGGAAATGCATAACAGAGCCAGTTTATGAAGAAATAAATAACTGCCACGAAAGAGCTCTTGTTTTCATGCACAAGGTAATTTCAAAATAATAACATGGCCCTATATTACATGTTTTTATTATTTTTATTTCATTTTATTACTCACAGATGCCTAGAATTTGGCTTGACTACTGCCAGTTCCTTGTGTCACAATCCAAAATCACAAGAAGTCGGAGGACATTTGATCGTGCTTTGAGAGCCTTGCCAGTTACACAGCACCCACGCATCTGGCCTTTGTATCTCCGATTTGTCCGGAATCTACCCCTCCCGGAAACGGCGATTCGGGTTTACCGTAGATACCTAAAGGTAATTTGCCACTCTTCTCTTCTGTCAAACCCCCATCAATGTTTTCTATAGAAAATGTTTCAATAAAGGAACTTTATAGGTGAAGATGGTTACACATCACCCAGCCATAGATGTAAATGTTTATGAATGGTAAAACCAAACTTTTTTTCAATTAAGTTTTGAACCATACCTGTACCAAAACAAGACTGGAAGAGGAATCTACTGTAGTCTTTATTTTGGTCAATTTCTATAAAAGATGCTACAATAGATTTTAGGAAGTAGTAATCACCCAACTAATACATTATCATAATAATCATTAATTAAAACCCTAATTATAACATAATAACACAGATCTGTGGAGTGTAGAGACCTGCCCATTTCAGTGTCCTTTGAGTAGTCTGTTGTCATTATTATGACAACAGACTACTCAAGGGAAAAAAATTGAAAACACCATTTGACAATAGCTTTACAACACCAACCAACTAACAATTCTTTTTGTTTTATTGTTTAAAATCTCCAGGTTATAATATGAAAAAATCGAAATTTCTCCTTGGGTGTTTAAACTTGTTCAGACCTGACAAAGCTCTAGAAGCACTGTTCTGAACTACCCATTATTCTTTACATTTTTCCCACTGATGGTTTCTTGATTATTCTTTTTTTTTAATTTGTCAGCTATCTCCAGAGAATGCAGAGGATTACATTGATTATTTGCGCTCAGTTGGCCGTTTGGACGAAGCTGCATTACGACTTGCTGCTATTGTCAACGATGAAAGCTTTGTATCCAAGGAGGGAAAGTCAAACTATCAAGTATGCATTTTGATTTTGAACTATTTTTTATTTTTCTGCAGTGTTTTTTATCACAGGGGTGGGAATGTATACGTTTTTCCTTCCTCCCACTGCTTTTCGAGTTAATAATGTACAATATGATATAGGGGTGGGCAAAATATATCGTAGACAATAATATCGTGAAAGTCAATTTGAAGATATGCTTTTTTTGTATTATCGTCCTTTTTTTTTTTACATACATATTACAGTTAGAGAAGGACAGATGCCTATTTGGTCTAAAGTGTGCCTAAAAAGCCAATCACTGCTTTATTTGTACATTCCAGTAAATATTGAGCTAGCCTTTTTGGATGTGTTCTTTCTGTGTTACTTGAATTTGAGTTTTAATGTCAATATATGTTAGTGTATGTTTTGCAAAGATGTGTGAAGCACTTTACGAATAAAAAGCTTCTATTTAGATCTACACTGTCTCTATCTATACGTGCCCTGGCAGCAAAACATTACAGATCATTTGTGTAAAAATGATTGATTTGAAAGATATCTAAGAATCTATAATTCTATGTAGTGACGTCTGACAATAATGTTTGATGTACATTGAACTCTCAACTTTTGAAGCCATACTTAAAAGTTTCCATTTTTCATTTTCAGCTGTGGCATGAACTCTGTGACCTCATCTCTCAAAATCCAGATAAAGTTACATCTTTAAATGTTGGAGCCATTATCCGAGGGGGCCTTACGCGCTTCACTGACCAACTCGGAAAACTTTGGTGCTCCTTAGCAGATTATTACATCAGGAGTGGGCACTTTGAAAAGGTCTGATTTATATCTGAATGAATGTGTGTACGTTTGTTGCAGATTAAATCATAATTGTTATTTTGATTTCAGGCTCGCGATGTGTACGAGGAGGCCATTCTTACTGTGGTAACAGTCAGAGATTTTACACAAGTATTTGACAGTTATGCTCAGTTTGAAGAGAGCATGATCGCGGCTAAAATGGAAACCACTGCTGAGATGGGGCAGGATGAGGAGGGTAAGATCAACACATGAATATTTAACTTGTTGGCCTTCTCATGTCACACCAGGCAAACTATAGAGTACATTTTTGGTTGAGGGTAATTTTTATAATTACCAACTGCACATTCATTATGATGGGTGTCCTTGTGACACTTAATTCCCCATCCAACTAACTCTCAACGTTTGGTTCTATCACGAGTTTTCACATGAATGTCGTTTTTGCCAACTGTCACAATTTTAAGGCTTTTCACAGAAACTTCAAAAAAGGTGATCACCCTCACGACTATTTTACTATTGCCTCGCACTGGATCAGTAATAATGGCGCCATCTGTTGGCTGTTTTACATAACTGCAGTTCATCGAATTAACGTATATAAGCCAAACTGAAGTGAATCTAAACCGTGTTTTCTAAACACTAGCTTGTGTTCCTCTGCTTCATAAGCGTGTGGGGTCCGAGCTCAACATCTCTCTAAAATGTTGACTAATAGGGCTCTTTCTGACAAGTATGCCAAATGTTTTCTTGTGAGATCAAGGAAGGATTTGTTCATGTTTTGCTTTGAAAAGACTCTTTCTGTTGACAAAGAAATTATCTTGTATAACATTATCATAAACATCCCCTTCATTCTAAGTTTTTTGTTTTGTTCCAGAGGACATTGATTTAGAGCTTAGATTAGCCAGATTTGAGCAGCTCATTGCTCGGCGTCCTCTTCTTCTGAATAGTGTTCTTCTTCGACAAAATCCACACAACGTTCACGAGTGGCATAAACGAGTCAAGCTCTGTGAGGGCAACCCCCGGCAGGTAAGTTTAAATATGATTTTACAACATATTTGTTGTTTTAACATCAATTCATTAATTTAATATTTTTGTTTGCAGATTATTAACACTTATACTGAAGCTGTACAGACAGTCGATCCGATGAAAGCCACTGGAAAACCTCATTCACTCTGGGTTTCCTTTGCAAAGTTCTATGAGGAAAATGAACAATTGGATGATGTAAGGGATTTTGTTCTATTTTCATAGACATTCACTTATTTAATGACTGCATACGTTTATCAGGCCAGAACCATCTTTGAAAAGGCTACTAAAGTAAACTACAAGCAAGTAGACGATCTGGCAGCAGTGTGGTGTGAATATGGAGAAATGGAACTGCGGCATGAGAACTATGACCAGGCACTGTGCATCTTGAGGGTCAGATACTTGAATTCTGTTCTGATTAATGCAAGTGTATCTTAAATGACGTATATGTAACATAACTTTACATTTAGAAAGCAACAGCAATTCCATCCAAGAAGGCAGAATACTTTGATGCCTCTGAGCCTGTCCAGAACAGGGTCTATAAGTCCTTGAAAGTCTGGTCTATGCTGGCTGACCTTGAAGAGAGTCTGGGAACATTTCAGGTTTGCTGCATAAAAACACATTTAATGTTTTTTTTCTATTTATTTCTCAAACCATTGTTGTTTTTCTGTTTTCTTTAGTCCACAAAAGCCGTATATGACCGTATTATTGATCTTCGCATTGCAACGCCACAGATTATCATCAATTATGCTATGTTTCTTGAAGAGCACAACTATTTTGAAGAGAGCTTCAAAGTAATGCATGTCCTGTTGTTATCTTCAATAACTGTTATACTTACTAAACTATACTTAAATTCTTCTTTTGAATTGTTTAGGCATATGAGCGTGGCATTGCCTTGTTCAAATGGCCAAATGTCTATGACATCTGGAACACCTATCTTACCAAGTTTATTGACAGATATGGTGGAAAGAAGCTGGAGAGAGCAAGAGATTTATTTGAACAAGCCATTGATGGATGTCCTGCAAAGTTTGCAAAGAGTGTGTTTTAATTTGATCTTTCAAATTCATTATAATAATCATTTCCGTAATAACTTTTTTATTTTCTTACAGCAATTTACCTCCTCTATGCTAAATTGGAAGAGGAATATGGGTTGGCTCGCCATGCTATGGCTGTTTATGAAAGGGCAACAGAGGCAGTAGAAACTGACGAGAGGCACCACATGTTCAATATTTACATTAAGAGAGCAGCTGAAATCTATGGAGTCACTTATACGAGAGCAATCTATCAGAAATCTATTGAGGTATGAATACTCTTGTTTTGTTCTTCTTTTCAAACATTGACATTCAAATGTGTAAAATGTCTTCTAAATATTTGAAGGTTTTGCCTGATGAACATTCCAGAGACATGTGTCTTCGGTTTGCTGATATGGAAAGTAAACTGGGTGAAATTGATCGAGCCAGAGCAATCTATTGCTATTGCTCACAAATTTGTGATCCTAGGGTATGTTGGCACGTACTTTCAAGATGCAAGGAAAATGGTTCAAATCCAACTAATATGTTGCCTTTTCAGGTAACTGCTAATTTCTGGCAAATGTGGAAAGAGTTTGAGATACGTCATGGGAATGAGGACACAATTAGAGAAATGCTAAGAATCAAACGCAGTGTCCAGGCCACTTACAATACTCAGGTCAATTTCATGTCCTCTCAAATGATGAAAGCCACTACAAGCTCTACAGGCACAGGTATATCACTCTATTGTAAGTGAATTCAGATTTTTTTTTATTTTTTAAACTTGCTTGATGCCATTTATTTCTAGTGTCTGATCTGGCTCCAGGCCAAATGGGTATTGACGACATGAAAATGCTTGAACAAAAGGCTCAACAGTTGGCAGCAGAGGCTGAGAGGGATAAAGCACAACCTAAAGAAAAGATCCTCTTTGTCAGGTTTGTTTGTCACTGTCCCTGTTGGCACAGTGTGCTAATAATTGGAAATCCTTTGCTTTGGCATTCATGTTTTAGTAATTTATTCATTTTTGTGTGTAGGAGTGATACATCACGGAGTGAGCTCGCAGAACTTGCCAAACAAGCAAATCCTGATGAGATTGACATTGATGACGATGACGATGATGGTAACCAAGGTCCAGAAGGTAGGCCTGACTTTCTATTGGGTATTCAGAACTCCTGATGTTATATTAATGAAACATTACTTCACTGAACCATAATGGAATTATAATGAGTCTGTTTTCCCCTGACAGAGGTTCAGCTGGAACAGAAGAGCGTCCCAACAGCTGTGTTTGGTGGCCTTAAAGATGATTAAGGTGCACTTACCACAGAACTAGCTTGAAGAGTTCATGAATTTGTTTTAGTGGTATGTATGTGCATTTTATGTGACTAAAACAAACATGGGTGTTCATCCTTTGTAACGCATTTAAATTGTAATAAATGGGATGTCAACGCAGAGAAAATGTTAAAACAAACTCATATGCACTTCATGTGGGGTTGGTTTTGCTCAACGTAAATCTTCTTAAACTCTTGTTTAAGAAGATTTATCTAGTTTTAATGCTCCAGATGTTGCAAGTTACCTAAGTTTCTCTGTACACACACGGTGTTAATTGTAATATTGTATTTCTATGTGATTGTGTCCTGTCTAAGGAATAAATGCCTTTCCTTTACTCTTTGTCTTTACCCTTTTCATTGCATCAGATAATTGTTACAGAATTTGTTCCTGGCCTTTTTGTCCTTAGTGCTGCCTCACTCAGTCTAAAGTCATCTCATATTCTTACTATTCAACATTCATATCCTCAATACCAATTTGTGCTGGAGCCAGATCAGACACTAGAGATAAATTGCATTGAGCAAGAAAAAAATATTTGAAACGTGATGCCAATAACATCTTTACCAAGTGACAGTCTATGATAGATTATTTAATTTGAGTGGCACTTCAGATGGTTTATAATCAAACTTGGGATTTGAGGGAGATAATCTGTTTTACTGACTCTGCCTTTAAAGTTTACTTAATAACTCATGTGCAAACTTGTATTATAAAGACCCATTAGCCCTGCTGCATTTGCATACGGTGGGAACGTGATAGGTCAGCTCACATTTGCAGACTCCATTCACAGAATAAACTCCTGTCTCAATTTCACAAACCCTACAAAGGTATAATACTAATACTTACTTACTATACTCGTACTTCTAAGTATTATTAGAAATATGTTTTTTTGTACACAAAGTACATTATTTACTGTCTGTTAGTGATTGATCCGTGAGAGTTTTTCTAACTATAAAGCAGATCTAACTCAGACTGTTGCAGAGTAATAGATCCATGCTGTTGACTTACACTGACCTCAACCAAAACTCTTTAGAGTGATATTATTCACTATTTATTTCACTCAAGAGAAAATAAACACTAGTAGTTGAATGAAGCACTACTGCCCCCAAGTGGACAAACATGTTTATAGGATTATAGCTGTAGATCAGCCATTCCCAAACTCAGTAACACCGAGGCCCCCTTAAAAATCTGACGGGTCTGCGTGGCCCCCCAAAATAATAACCAAGAAGACAACATTAAGAATAGGCTCTTCTGGTTATTTTATTTTGGGGAAATAGCCTCTGCTACAAACATTGTAATACAAAAATGATTACAGTGGATTATTCAAGTCAAATAATGAACACAAATATTTTAATATTACAAACGAAACATTATAAATTTAACATTAAATAATTATATTATTATTATTTTTTTTTTATGACCTCCCGCGGCCCCCCTGCAGTACCCTCGCGGCCCACCAGGGGGCCGCGGACCCCACTTTGGGAGACACTGCTGTAGATAATAGGTGAAGCACTCTACTCATGAACAAATCACATTATATAAAATATGCAACATGCACAGTTCACACCGTTGAGGCAGAGCGCTGATTTATGATAGAATGGACTTATATATTATTCTGCCATTTAGAAAACACACAGGACTGTTGATCAAATGTGCGTTCATAATTGGATTAAAATAGCAGAAAGGTAATCCTCTTAGAAAGTTAGAGCAAAGGAGCCCAAAGTGCACCAAAGTAACTCATGTGATGTTGCAGTGTTTACAGTCTGAGGAGCTAGGTCCAAAATAAATGACATACTTTGAAAATTAGGCTACATTTAAATTAGCCTGTCACTGCCCACAGGTGCTTTGATGGTATCACTGTACATAGTGTGTAAGCAACTAAGTAATATAATTAGGGGCTGCAAGACAATTTAAAGATACAATTATTGCTTGATTATGGAGCGGGGCCCAGTTGTCTAGTTTGGCGTGAGACAGAGTTTTGCTCTGAAGAGACTAGACTGGACAAAGGGGTTTCCATAGTATTTTTGAACACACAAATAACATGTTAATTCTTACCTTGACCATTTGGCTCTCAGCCTGCTGATGCATTCATGTACCATCGGATAAGAAGGTTTGAGCACTCTGCACTTGACATTCCTTGTTTTTATTTGGCTTTAGCCTTGATCATCATTGTTGGGGAGTGAATTACATAGGTTTGTAAAAACCTATGTTTTTACAAACATAGGTTTGTAAAAACCTATGTGACTTAAGTTACCGGGTACTGAACACCTGCTTTTAAAAGTATTTCATCTTCTATAGTCCAAGCGAGTGAACTGAACACTTGGAATACTTTCACACACATTACTACTATAGTGCAACTGTGCCGATTAAAACATCTTGAGTAAAAAACACATGCATGCAAAAAAGTGACTTCTTTAAAAAAAAAAAAAAAAACTCAAGTAACATTATTTGAATATCCAATTTCCCACAAAAGAAGAATTCAGGAATTCGGTTCCTCAAAAAAAATATTCTGTTCTTTTTGATGGTGTCTACTACCAGACCACTCTCGAGTCAGTTATTCTAAAATGGCAGTATTATATATACTGAGATAAAAGTTAAAAATACTGATTTATTACTGTAACAGAAATATAAGACAATTATGTAAGAAAAGATATTGCTGAATAGAAAGTGTCCTGTATTTAGGAGTTCAGGTAGCAATTCTGCTAACTACAACACAACTATAACACATATCACTTGAGTTACTTATTTTGTATCTAGTAAAATATGACCAATTTTTACTTTACACTACTCCACTGAGTAACTTCAAAAAATAACATATTCCAAACTTAGCCCATACGTTTTCTGTAGATAGGTGATAATCAAGTATTTTGGAGCTGTTTTTGATCCACCACTCACATGATAATATAAAGCTGATTCTCTTCGGGTCTAAACTATTGGAGCTATTGTAATAACAGCGCAAACCTCGGGGATGCTTCCCCACACTGCACATGCACCTGTAGAAGTCCCAGGCTTCAAGCTGCGCTGTGCATTCATAAAGGAAAGTCCCGCCCCCTTTGCTCCAGGCGCCTCTGTGATTGGTCCGCGGGATCCGTGAGCGATGCCAGTATGGAGCACCTGGGAGTCAGTCATCTGCAGAGCTGCGCAGCACATCAAGCCGACAGCAATGCGGACGAAAAAAGGCAAACACGCTTGGGATTCGCCTTGTTTTTTGTGCTTTCCGAGTTAAATGGCTATATTTTGTGAAGTCAAGACGAAACGTCTGAAAGATTCGCGTTCAGAAGCAGCAGACACAGCGCTTAAACCGGTTTGAATGCTGCTCCGGGGCGGAAATTTTCCTCATAAACCCAAGCCTCCCCACATCCGTATTCTCTCAGCGTTTGGACGAGTCAACTCCAAGGATGATTGCCTGATATTTTTGCACGCAGGCTTTTCACACGTTTTGGCCACGGATTCGGCAGCTTCACGCTCATTATGGGGGATTCTCCTACAGCGAGAAAGACATTTGTGGTCCCAGACATAAAGCCATTGGATTTGTATGACTGTTCAAAAGCTAAAATTTGCGCAAGTATCGGCTGGCTTCTGGCAAAGTCGTACGGCAGTGCAGGTAGGTTTTACTTTGACCTATAATCACTGTGTAATGTTGGGTTGTCTGACAATTTTGGACTTGTTATTGTTGTTTCATTTTGGTATGTGAACGATGCAAAAAGTGAGTTTCGTGTCGCCTGCGTCTGCGTGTGGCTCAGCGGTTTTACGCACAAAGAGCACCACCAGAATGAGGCACCAGGCATTTTACTGACACATGTCATTTTGTTCACGCTGGATGACTGGCCACGTTTCGGAGGGATGTGGGGACTTCAAACAAGGCCTGATCGTGCTGACCCATTTATGTTTTCTAGCCACTGGGTTTAACCTGAAATCTCACTGCTACTGGCTATGCTTTAATCCACCACCACCAGACGTCCTACATGGGATGGCTGAATTCTACAGACAGTCCCTTTTTCCTCCCACTGCGTGTATTGTAAGCCTATAGACCCCCACCATCATTTTAATCAAACAGCATTGTTCATGGAATGACAGTCTGTTTGGCCCCTTAGGCTTTGGAACTTGTTTTGGTATTTAAATGCAAAACAAACAAACGCAATTATAACTGAGATCCTTTTTCTGACAAACATTGCTCTTCACATTCTTCCACACTTGGCTGCCTAAACTCAAATGCTCTTGAAATGTTTTTTTTGTTTTGTTTACAAAATACACAGTATCCCTGTTATAGCTCTGCCTGTTTTAGTTTTTCTGCAATAGATCACTCAGTGTATTATTTCACAACCCCAAACAGACCTTGGGCCAATGACACCAGCCTACATATGCTCTGTTTAGCACCTGGCCCACGCCCTCAGGCCAAAGTCTGTCCACAGCCTGATACAGTGGCATATTCATCTGATTAAAGTGCTTTTGGTTATCAACATTAACCTTTAGGGTAATAGCTTTCAGTCTATAGTCAACTTACTGTTCTAGTATATGCCGATCTGCTTACTCTTTGCTAGATATTACTAAATGAAAATACTGGGTTGTTATTTTGTTAAGTGGGCAGCCTATTATTGACCCATTGTGTAATTATATATTTGAAAAGGGCATATTAAATTAATACACTCATAATAACACATTCACTTTGTTTGGCATTAGACCTTGTTTGGCATTAGACCTGCAAGTCTAGATTCACCAGTTTTTAAAGGCCATGCTTAATCTTGTGCTACTTTGCTCTTGACATGTTGTCTTGAGAGCCAATGCTAGTGTGCCCATTTCTCATTATGTTTTTTTAGTTGCATCATGGTTCAAATCCCTATGTAAGCAGAGGTATTACCTGCATAACTAAACAAACCTGCAGGTACACTGGGTGGTGGCCAAACCAAATCTTTTTTTGACTCATCATACATACATCTGCTCCTCTCCTCCCATTGTCACTATGGTGAGTCAACAGGGGACGAGATCACGAACAAGGATGTGACATACTATTTGTGTTTACAGAAAGGTGCTATTCCCCCATGCATTAATTTACAACACACAGAAATTACAGTGAGTCATGTATGAAACCACTGTCACTCGTGATCTAGCTCAGTGCTGTGACTGCTGACCATTTGCTTTATTCTAAACCTGGCGATCTCATGTGAGAGAGCTACCTTTTAAGTTGTAAAACACTGCATCCTTTGTGATTGAAAAAAGTTATTTTCTGTTTCATCTATACACCACATGATAAGTCTGATTTACAGTCTGCAAGATCAAAAATAAATGTTCCAATCCTATTTCAAGCAATATGCTAATCTCTTATTTTTGTATCTTCTGTTAAGCAGGAAAAGGGAAACGTTTTATAAAAGATTGTTCATTTCCTTCTTGGGTGGTTCAGTAGGTGTCATTTAGATTTGATCATTTATTTCCTTCTATCGAGTGTCGGGCAAGTTAGTTGTAACTAAATCACTAAAATGTGATTTAGTGTAGATTTTCATTTTTAGTCCACTTTTAGTTGTGTCACTTGTGCATGCCCTGTCTAGGAAAAGTCCACGTGTTAGAAGTTACTCAATAGCTAAGTGTAAATAAAGTCACACAATAGCTTTAGTATTCTACTTGAATCCACAATGAACCATTAAAGCTATCAAATACTTTGGGCTTTGATCTTTGTTTCGTTAATGTGTTGGAGTAAGTTTGGCGAGGTGAAACCCGATGAGTGAAAGTTATCCTCTTACCTTGAGTGGCCACAGGTAGGGTGACAGTTTTATAGAGCGGGGTAGATGGACATCTTGCTTCTGTGAAATGGTAATTCATGGGTTCACAGGCCTCATGTTTTGTCTTAGATCATTGCTTATTATGTCAATGGTTGTTATCAATGTTTGATCTCACCTTCTTGTGGCATTTGCATTCTACTTTGCCTGCTGTGTAAGCTCCCACTCTTTTAGTTGACAGCACAAAGTGTACAAAAAACCGTAGAGAGCTTCGCCAAACAACATTTTAAGTGAATTTGCCCTTTTACATAATCTTAAAATGCATTTCTTTCAACTTATTATTATTTCTTATTTAAAAAAAATAAAAAATAAAGAAGTCCAAAATGCAGTAACAGTCCACAGTTTGCTGCTGGTTTGGATGTGGAATAACCAGTTCTCTGGAGGGAGTGATTTCATGCCTGTTGTAATCCTATTGACACAAACGCACAATACATTTTTAACCTGCACACAGTCCTACAGTATCTTTTTAAGTGTTTTCTGTTGTAACTTGTGTCATTGAGTGCCTGGAAATCATTTGAGGCCTTTTCTTAATCTCAGTTTGATCATGATGCATTGCCAAATGGATTTAAGATTATACGTAGTGCATCAAGGAAAAAAATAAATCCTGTTGGAGAACTTGGCCTGTCATGAGTTAGTAAGTATTGTTGCAAATGTCGATGTTTGCTATTTTCTGAATAAAATAATGACATTATAGATTATTGATTGACTGCGGAACCTTCCGCAGTCAACCATTGGTTTTGTATTTCTTTATTCCGTCATTTTTTTTGACACGTTTCACAGCTTTCACATTTTCAACAATTTCCACAAGTTATACATCAAAACGTTCCACATGTTTGGGAGATTATTGCTATTACTTTTGGGACTTCAGCGATTTCCGGTTTTTCCGCAATCGGACAAAAATCTGCATTGAGAATTCTGCAATGCATTTTAATAGGCCCATGCATTTTAATAGGACTTCAGCTCTTTCAGACATTTCTACAGTTTCAATGATTCAACAGTTTCAAGGATTCAACAGTTTCAAGGATTTCAGCAGTTTCAAGATTTCAAGAGTTTCAAGGACTTCAACAGTTTCAAGGACTTCAGCAGTTTCAAGGACTTCAGCAGTTTCAAGGACTTCAGCAGTTTCAAGGACTTCAGTGTAATTATGCAACCTAATAGGGATTTTTCCATGTAAACCAGTATAATGCAACTTAATAGGGATTTTTCCATGTAAACCAGTATAATGCAACTTAATAGGGTTTTTTCATGTAAACCAGTATAATGCAACTTAATAGGGTTTTTTTTCATGTAAACCAGTATAATGCAACTTAATGGGGATTTTTCCATGTAAACCAGTATAATGCAACTTAATAGGGGTTTTTACATGTAAACCAGTATAATGCAACTTAATAGGGTTTTTTCCATGTAAACCAGTATAATGCAACTTAATAGGGATTTTTCCATGTAAACCAGTACAATGCAACTTAATAGGGATTTTTTCATGTAAACCAGTATAATGCAACTTAATAGGGTTTTTTTCATGTAAACCAGTATAATGCAACTTAATGGGGATTTTTCCATGTAAACCAGTATAATGCAACTTAATAGGGATTTTTCCATGTAAACCAGTATAATGCAACTTAATAGGGATTTTTCCATGTAATCCAGTATAATGCAACTTAATGGGGATTTTTCCATGTAAACCAGTATTATGCAACTTAATAGGGATTTTTCCATGTAAACCAGTATAATGCAACTTAATAGGGATTTTTCCATGTAAACCAGTACAATGCAACTTAATAGGGATTTTTCCATGTAAACCAGTATAATGCAACTTAATAGGGTTTTTTCCATGTAAACCAGTATAATGCAACTTAATAGGGATTTTTCCATGTAAACCAGTATAATGCAACTTAATAAGGGATTTTTACATGTAAACCAGTATAATGCAACTTAATAGGTTTTTTTCCATGTAAACCAGTATAATGCAACTTAATAGGGTTTTTCCATGTAAACCAGTACAATGCAACTTAATAGGGGATTTTTCCATGTAAACCAGTATAATGCAACTTAATAGGGTTTTTTCATGTAAACCAAGTATAATGCAACTTAATAGGGATTTTTCCATGTAAACCAGTAAAATGCAACTTAATAGGGATTTTTCCATGTAAACCAGTATAATGCAACTTAATAGGGTTTTTTTCATGTAAACCAGTATAATGCAACTTAATGGGGATTTTTCCATGTAAACCAGTATTATGCAACTTAATAGGGATTTTTCCATGTAAACCAGTATAATGCAACTTAATAGGGTTTTTTTCATGTAAACCAGTATAATGCAACTTAATAGGGATTTTTCCATGTAAACCAGTATAATGCAACTTAATAGGGAATTTTCCATGTAAACCAGTATAATGCAACTTAATAGGTTTTTTTTTCCATGTAAACCAGTATAATGCAACTTAATAGGGATTTTTCCATGTAAACCAGTATAATGCAACTTAATGGGGATTTTTCCATGTAAACCAGTATTATGCAACTTAATAGGGATTTTTCCATGTAAACCAGTATAATGCAACTTAATAGGGTTTTTTTCATGTAAACCAGTATAATACAACTTAATAGGGTTTTTACATGTAAACCAGTATAATGGAACTTAATAGGGGTTTTTACATGTAAACCAGTATAATGGAACTTAATAGGGGTTTTTACATGTAAACCAGTATAATGCAACTTAATAAGGATTTTTACATGTAAACCACTATAATGTAACCTAATAGGGGTTTTTACATGTAAACCAGTATAAAGCAACTTAATAGGGATTTGTACATGTAAACCAGTATAATGCAACTTAATAGGTATTTTTCCATGTAAACCAGTATAATGCAACTTAATAGGGATTTTTCCATGTAAACCAGTATAATGCAACTTAATAGGGATTTTTCCATGTAAACCAGTATAATGCAACTTAATAGGGATTTTTCCATGTAAACCAGTATAATGCAACCTAATAGGTTGCATTATACCACCAGACCAAGACCCAAACGAAGACTCAGACCACCACCAGATAATGACCACAGACCAGGTTTCCTTAGTTACAGGAACCAAATTGTTTCAGCGGTGAGGGGATTTTTCAGTTTCAAGGACACTTTCAATACATTCAGTAGTTTCAAGGATTTCAACTGTTTAAGATTTTAACCAGTTTCAAGGATATCAGGAGGTTCAAGGATTTCAGGAGTTTCCACACTTTCAACAGTTTCCAGGTTTAAAAAAGTTTCAAGGATTTCAGGAGTTTCAATGTTTCAACAGTTTCAAGGATTTCAGGAGTTTAAAGGTTTCAACAATTTCAAGGACTTCAGGAGTTTCAAATATCTATCAAGTATTTTAACAGTTTCAAGGCCTTTTAAAGGATTTCAAGGATTTTTTTTAGCAGATTTCCACATTAGATCTGTTCCGCAGTCAATCGCAATGGCTTCAGCCATTGCAAGTTTCTAGTTATTATTATTATTATTTTGTATACATGATTTAGCCTGAGTTCACTGTTTGACCCATACTCCAGAACAGTAGGAGGCGGTAATGCTCCTTTAGCTGGTTGCAAACCGCGCTTAAACAAAAACAACAAGAAGAAGCTTCATCCCGGAAGTGTCTACGCAGGCGAACAGATGAGGCGAACTCAAACAAACGGATGACTCTCACAGCCCCCGACTCCCGCTCTAGTCTCTTCCCGCAACCGCGTTTTCCTGAGTGACTTGTCCTTTGGCGGAGCCTTGGAATCAGGGGACACAAGGTAAGAGGAGCTAACGGAGCGAACCAACCCGGTTCAGTCTATGGTTGAACCTCACATTAGTGTAGCCTGTGTAGCCAGTGAACAGTTGTTCGCTTGGATAGAGGCTCACGTGACTCCGCCTCTTGTTTACTCGGCCCGAGTAGCGCCTGTACCAAACAGCAAGAATGTATTGGTTTCGATTCCATCTCCTGGCTCTTCTGTGTGGAGTTTGAATGTTCTTTTCGTGCCTATGTAAGCTTGGTCCAGGTGCTCCGGTTTCGTCTACTGCTAAAAACACATACCTCTTGTGCCTCCTTTATGGCGACCCCACTCCCATGTGAGGAGTGAAGAGACAAATTCCCACAACAATTGGAAAGCGCTTTGTGTCTGTGAATGGCACTCTATAAAGATTACCTACTCAGTTTTATATCACAAGGCTACAGAAATTATACACTGACTGCTCTGTCCTTGTGCAGATGTAAAACGTGTACGCTCGTGCTTGCACTCTGTGCTGGAAATCTCAACCTGCAGACCGAATATAACCACCTCCATTAAAGAAACGGGTGGGTTTAAAGGTTGAAAAAATACTTTACATTAATACAATAGCTTTTGAAGAACTTAAATTTGTGTCCACAACAAAGCTGAAACCCAAACTATGCCACTGGTGATGTAGTAAGAATAGCAGTTAATGGGACCAGTGGATTATCAGAACAGGTAAATAGAACAGGCTGAGCAGTTCTCTTTGTGTAGTTTAATGGCGGCATTAAGGAAGGACCAGTATCAGGACTCGTATTTCACTATTACATTTCCTGTGTTATAGTTGTTTTAGTCTCTAACTTGCGAATGGAACCTTTTAGGGCTAAGTGTAAATCCAAAATAGCTCTACAAATCTAAATGAATGATGTTACAAATATGAGCAAAGGTTCTGCCACTATCACATGTGGACGAAGTCAACTGTATCATTATGTGACTACAATAAGTATCTTCTTTTGGCCTCTCAGGCTCACTGAACTGCTGTGAGAGACCCAGCGTGGGATTGGTCAGAGTGGAGCCAGCCCAGGTGTATGATTGGAGGAGGCTGATGGAGGGGGCGTGTCGAGTGCCTGTGTCCTGCTGTCGACCGCGGATCCTGGTTTTGCACGCGCTGTTCTGGGGCCTTGTGTCGCTACGGTAACACATGTATATAAAACCGCAGTGGTTCATAAGACTAGCTCTCTGGTCTCTGCCTCTGTCTGAGGTCTCTCTTGCCGCGTTTCCATAGTCACTGTACCGACGCGGCACGACCGTGCACGGGTGTTTTTCCATTGAAAATAGTACATCGTCAGTGTGGGAGACCACGTCATTTACGCGCGACATGTAACCAGTAACATTGGTGTGGTGCATGGATTTATTTTAATATCGGTGATAGCTGGTTATTACTTCCTAGGGGACTCTGCTTACCTCCAGCAGAACTGGCCCCTAAAACCTTTTCAGGACACCGGGTTAGTGACAGACAAACAACAAGTATTTCATAGAAATTCAGCACAGCGCGAGTGGTTGTTGAAAATGCTTTCGGCAGTCTTAAAGTAAGTAAGTAATCTTTATTTATATACCGCCTTTCACAGACCAGAGTCACAAAGCGGTTTACAATCTTTTTTTTTTTTTGGGCATTTGTCCTCTCACTCCACACAGAGATGGGAGCGGGGTCGCCGAACAGGAGGCGCATGCCAGACCTATTTTACATATTTTTAGTGGTAGGGGAAACCGGAGTACCCGGAGGAAACCTACGGGGGCATTAAAGGAATGACCTGGACACTGAACATGTGAAGTCAATGATGCTCGTATTATTACTCTGCTAGCCTGACTCTCGCTAGACCCTTGTAGATCGCTGTGCTTCTCACATGGGTCTCGGTCTAACCCATAGCATACATTTCAGAAGGCAGCACCTTTTGTAAAAAAAAATCTTGTATGTGATTGGATAATCCACTTGTCTGTTATCTTGAATGACGTCTTTCTTCAAACACTCACATCGAAGACCAAACACTCCCATGGGTTGCCAAATGCCGGCAAGATTTTCCATCCCAAAACCTGCGAGAATGTCCACAAAAAATACCACCCAGAATGATTTTTTGGCTAAAAATGTAACGTAATCAACTTGGGCTATCATGATTTAGAATCAGAATTAGAATCATTTTTATTGCAAGTAACAGGAAGTTACAGACTTGGAAATTGCTTTGGCTCAGTGCAACAGTCAGAAAGAGATAATAAAAATAAAGAATAAAAAACACTTCTAAGGAATAAATGTAAATTTAAAATAGATTTACAGTTACTATTTACAATATACAAGTGCACATAGTGCACACAATGTAAGGTGACAGTAGTACAGTGAAGTAAAGTGACGTATGATGGGCAGTAAAGTGACTTTATAAAGGGCGGGGGGACAGGTTAAGAAGTGTTCAAGAGTCCAACAGCAGAGGGGAAGAAACTGTTCTTGTGGCGGGAGGTTCTAGTCCTGATGGACCGCAGCCTCCTGCCTGAGGGGAGTGGTTGGAATAGTCCATGTGCAGGGTGAGAGGGGTCGGCTGTGATACGACCAGCTCGAGCTCGGGCGACGTATAGGTCCTGCAGCGATGGAAGGCTGCGGCCAATCACTTCCTCTGCAGAGCGCACAATGCACTGTAGTCTCTGTTTGTCCCTGACTGTGGCTCCAGCGAACCACATGGTGATGGAGGAGGTGAGGATGGACTCGATGATGGCCGTGTAGAACTGCACCAACATCTGTGCAGGCAGCTTGGCTTTCCTGATTCTGTTTGTCTTTCTGTTTATTTAATACCTACAAGTCTCTTGGAAAAAAGTATGTGGGAAACCACCCAACCTGGCAACCCTGCTGCGTAGTGTTGTAAACAGGAGTACTTAAACCAAACTTTACACAAACATTTGACTCTTAAAACTAGGGCTGCAACGATTAGTCGACAAAAATCGATAATCGCCAGACGTGTTTTTCCAACTGAGTTAGGCCTCCCCCATCTCACAGACAATCTCTGCCGAGAGTCGCACATGTGCAAGAGAGTCTATCGAGCAGAAACGTAAACAGTAATGGCGGAGTCCATCAGCTCCATGTAGAAAAACTGTTTTGCAAAGCAGACATTGGGTATCACGGCAGCACCTCGGTGATGCACGAACATTTGAAGAGAAAGCATGAGAGAGACTATGATTCCAGACGTGTGGCCGCTTTGCAGTGAATGACAGCGGTTCTGTGAAACTACTTTGATAGCAGCGGGGCGAGCGCACGGCCAATGCAAAGCCATAATGTGACCAGCACGGACAGGACAAGTACGGATCTTTGCGCAACCTTTGGACGCAATAAATACACCGCTGTGAGAAATATAGCTGAACTCTGTGAGCCTCTGGAAGTGTCCCCCGTGTCTCCTCTTGTAGCCCAGAAACTAAAATGCTCTAAAATAAAGCTGGCTAACCAAGCACTGTGCCAAATTGGTCTTAGATAGGACATTTTTATTTACTTTTTGTATGAACCAGCAGAAAAGTACAATAAAAGATGCGTTTTTCATTGAAGTACCCATCTTTCTTGTGTTTTAGTGTGGCTAAATATGAGAACAAAATTATAATTATTCGATTAGTCGACTAATCGTTTCAATAGTCGGTGACTTGTCGACTATTAAAATAGTCGTTAGTTGCAGCCCTACTTAAAACACACATATAACAACATGGAACCACTAACATCTCGCCTCATATTGCATTAAGTGACATCCGTGTCGGAAATTCATTCGTATTTAAACTTTTTTAAACATTCAGACTTCACGGTCCGCCATCTTGGATTGCTTTCGCTGCCGTGTGAGACACGCTTGAAGACAATGCCAACCCGACGTAACACTGGCGATCCTGATTGGTCAATTATTTTCTGATCTGCTGAATAAGTTTGTTAAGCGCTCGATACCAGACCCTTGTGTATGAAGCAAAACGCCTCTGGTGGAGCACGGCGGAACTGCAAGGGTCTGGCGAGAGCCAGGCTAGTGCTCTTCACAATTTGTGCGAAAACCATGGAGAGACCATATGACACCTGTAGCAACAGCAGCTTGTGTAAAAGTGAAGAGGGTCTGATGCGTAACTTTTTCATATGCCTAAACATTTATTTTGACCACAAATAAAACCTTGTTTGTATTTAGTAAATGTCTCCATCCTTGTTCATAAATTGACCACGGTTATACGGATTTACTGACAAATATTGTGTATGTAATGTGAATAGAAGTAAAAGTATGTGGTAGGAAATTGGTTTCTTTTGAACCCCTTTTATGCATGTGTACAGACAAATGAATGAAACAAAGTCTTGATATAATCACAGATTTATTAAAAACAAAAGTAAAGTGCAAAACCAACAATTTACAAAGTACGTCTCTGAGACCAGGTTTGGGGACGAGTGGTCATTCATTCATCGCTCGTTGGTAATCTCCTCACTTGTGGGAAGGGATTCTCAAACATATACATACAACAACTTTAGTACAAGCACAAAACAGAACACTTGAAAGAGCAAAATACAGCAGAGTAGAAGGACGTTTTAACTTAGCTTGCTATCGATAGCTAAATGTAGCTAGCTCACTGTGTACAACAGACAATCAAACTTTTACACAAGGAAATACATTTCAGAGAGCTTTGGGTCAACGGGATACGTAGCTAACCAGTTATTTCCAGGATTACCACAGACTAATCATAAATCAAGAGCGATCTCCCTAAACCTTCTCGTTCCATGTCCCGTCGAGCTGCCTTTGAATTCTTCTTTCGGCCTAAAGAGAGTAACGTGTGTCCACCGACCAGGACACTGACTTTTAGGGCTTTCTGTGCAATTCCATTTCTCTGGAGTGAGTAGGATGTTATTTTTAAAATGCAGAGCAGCCGGTTTTAAAAATGGTGGGGTTGAGGTGTTTTTACCAAAGGGTCTGACAGATTCAGATTCAGTTTATTTGCCATTTGCAGTAAAAAAAAACACATTGGAATACATTAGCAAAAAGCTTCCAGTGTGCACAGACAAATACAGACAACATTAAAAGACAAAAATAAAACAAATAACAGTAAACAAATGTCACTGTGACATCGATCGACTAAAACAGTTTCAAAACAAGTGCAAATCATTAAAGTGCTCGTTTCACACTGATAACAGCTTGTGGATAAAAACTGTTAGCGTAACAAGATGTCCTGCATCTCGGAGAGCGATATCTTCTGCCAGAGGGAAGAAGCTGGAACATGGCTTTTCCAGGGTGGACAGGAGAGTCATTGACAATCCTAAGAGCTTTGTTTAAAAGTCTGGATTTATAAAGAACCTCCAGAACAGGAAGCTCACAGCCCACGGTCCTCTTTGCAGAGCGGAGCACCTTGTTTAAAGATCTCTTTTCTTTATCTGTGATGTTTCCAAACCACACAGACACAGAACCAACAACTCTCAATGGTGCAGCGATAAAAGTGAGAGAATTTACCACTAACTCTAAGATTCTGCTTAAGTTTACGCAGAAAGTAGAGACGCTGACGAGCTTTCTTAACGATTCGGTCAGTGTTTTTAACCCATTTCAGGTCGTTAGACAGAGTTAGACCCAGAAACTTGCACTCCTCTACGATCTGCACTTGGGAGTTATCGATTGCGACAGGCAAATGAGAACTATTGCGACTGAAGTCGTAGACCAGTTCACATGTTTTCGATGCGTTCAACTGGAGGTTGTTAATTTTACTCCACTGAACCACATTTTGTATCTCTGCTCTATAAGAGGATTCATCATTGTCACTGATGAGACCGATGATGGTGGTGTCATCAGCATATTTGATGATCAAGTTTGAGTCAGAGGAGGACACACAATCGTGAATGTACAAAGTAAAAAGCAAAGGACTCAAAATATATCCCTGAGGAGAACCAGTGCTCACAGAAACAACATCAGAAAAACAGTCATTGATTTTCACTCTGAGATCTGTCAGTTAAAAAGCTAAAAATCCATTTACACATGGCAACACTTAAACCGAGAGACATGAGCTTTTCAATCAGTTTACCTGGGGCAAGGCAGTTAAAAGCAGAGCTATAATCGATGAAAAGCATTCTCGCGACAGATTTACTAGTGTCCAAAAAGTGACTGTAGACAGAGTTCAGAGCAAAGGAGATGGCATCCTCCACACTCCTGTTCCACACTGACGTCGCTTCCAGTGATGAGAATCGTTGACCAATCAGTGTAAGGCAGTCGGCTGACGTCACGTCATTGTATCGCTTCGGCCCGGATAGAACCACTGTCAATGTGGTACGAAAAAAGTACCGTTATCCCAAGCCCAACCCTAGTGGAAATGCAAAATAACCATGCCGTGCTGTACCGTTACTGTGCAAAGGCGGCATCTCTGTGGTGTCCTTGGCAGCTCTAACATCATTTGAGCCGTTGTGATACTGACGGGTTTCTCTTTCTGTTGCAGAGTGTTCGGAGCGGCACTGCTCAGTGAGGAGAAGACTACAGGTGAGAGCCCTGCATAATGGGAGCTGTCCTGTGAGAATAATGCATGCTGGGAGCTGTGGTTTGTGACTTCTGGCCTCTGTTCTAGTGAAGCCTGTGTCTGCCCCCTGCTGGCTGCTAGAGGAGTTCACAGTGACGTTGGCCTGTGTGCAGTGCAACGAGTTTGAGACGGTGAGAATATTCAAGCTAATGCTAACACACCTAGACCTGTTAAAGATGAGAAATCTTTAACAAGCCACGGGGATGAGCAACCAAAATGCTATGTTTAAAATGTCATCACTGTGAACAAGTGTGTAGTGAAAGTAGATGCAAAACTTAAATTTGTTTATGAATTTTTATCCCCTCATTCTGCAGGCACAGCATAAAAGGGCAACCTGCTTTTAATGTGCGGACCACTTTACCACGGCCGGTTTTTGCTGTTCTTTTCTGAAGGAATTAGAAAAAAACGTTATCTGTCCCCAGCGGGCCATACAACCGACCCGACAACAAGAATGGACCATTTGATTTAGTAAAACCTCCCTCCAAATGTATAAAACTAGCCAACACTCTAGCATCCAGGTAGTATTCTATGCCGTTTTGCCACGCAGTCACGTGACCGGTGCGGAGAAACTATAAACAACGACATCACTGCAAGATCCTCCTATAAGCTCAGTGTGTGCTAATACTACTGTTCATGTTATCCATATGTTTCCAGTGGCTGACTTTAAATGTCTATTGTGTGTGCTTTGTGTGCCCTTGTATCAAGTAGAAATGAAGAGATTTCATGAATATATTGAATGCATTCCATATAACTATTTCTACTCTTGTTTGCACCTTGAGCCATAGCAAATTTCTAGTTTGTGACTTCTGTTGCAATGGCAATAAAATGATTCTGATTACGTTGGTATTAATAGATAGATGGATACTTTATTGATCCCCGTCCATAGGAGAAATTCATGTGACCAAAGAAGCTCTAAAGCAGTTGTTGTTGTGCTTTCCAGTTGATATTTTTCTTGCTTTTGCTTTTTTCTACCTGATATGTTGCTGCAGTGCAGTGTTCATGGTTTTGCACTGGTCCAGACCGGAGCGGAGCGGTTTCATGGTCCAAACCAAGTGGATCAGGCGAAAATCCACTGGTGGAGGGCTAACTTTTTGAAAAATGCTAACAAAGCATTAAGCATTTTACTTTGGACCTAAGAAGAGAAATGTTCAGCTTCTTTTGTACATAGTTTTATACATTTTTATTTAATTTAGCAAGCCTTTTGTTAACCTGGGACATATCGTGAATGTCTTCTTTTTGTATTTAATGTTTGTACTTGAGTGTTTTGGTTATCTCAAGACCAAAGCTGCAAGTACTGTGGCAAATGCTGATTTCGGGTCTCCATTCCTCCATACTGTAGAATATCACTTGCATTGTGTGATTCTCTGTTCGTGTCTTGACAATAAACATGTCTTCAGGAGGTTTTCACTCCATCTCACAATACATGTGATTCAATCTTTCCTTACACTGGTCCCTTTGCAGAAAAAGCTCTCCAATGCATGAGGCTTCCGCCCCCAGGCTTCACTCTAGTGGTGGTCCTCCAGCTGAATTTCAGAGGTGTTAAAAGCTCAGGTGTGTGTTTCAGAGGTCCTGGCCCATTTGTGTTCAGACTGGATTCTACGAACGAGTGAACTGCACCAAATCCAACAGGGACGAGCTCAAGAGGTAACTATGGCAACAGCACCTCTCACAGCCTTTAGAGCTGACCGTTCTCTCCTCAGTTGCAGGTCCTCTCAGTTGGAGGAACACAGATTTTGGCGTTTCGAGGCAACCATGTTGTCCCTGACAGCGTTGTTTGGGATCGTCGTGGTAACAAGACAACGAGCTTTGGACCGAACGGCATCCGAGAAAGTGCGGCGCCAAATAGAGTCCATTTGAGACCGAAGAGAGACCAGAGATGGGGAGAGGTGAGGCCCAAGAGCCATGGCTTGGATCTTGTGCTGCCACATTAATTAGAAAATGTGTTGTTTTTGTAAATAAATGTTTATAAAAGGGAATGACATTCATGTGGAAATATTTTTAATAAACCTTGAAATTGTTGGGAAAGAGGGTTTGATCTGGGTTGTTTAATCTCTCAATCAGTTTATATCGACACGGAGGCTGTAGAAGGCACGAGAGGAAACCGGGATCAGCCGGGGATGAACTAATTTCGACAGAATCGTCTGGGTCAGACCATGTTGAACCGGGTCTTAAAGTCCTGGAGGCTGTAGACCCAACCCAGGTCCAAGTCCTGCTTCATCTGAATGAACTGATCCAAGTTGAAGTTTGTGTCTGAAACAAGACGTAGCAGTCGTAGTAGTAGTCGTAATAGTAGTCGTAGTACTACTACGACAAGTACTTTACCTGGGGTCAGGATGGGGGGGTATTCTGGAAGAGTGGCGCTCCAGGTTCCATCCGGTCTCTTCATATGAGAACGATCAGAGGAGAAGGTCTGTAAGAAGAGTCCAGCAGGAACCAGCCGGACCATCCTGAGACCAAGACCAGGATTAGACCAAGATTAGACCAAAGAGAGATCAGGGTCACTACGCATCACCTGTGGAACTGTGGCAGGAGTTGCTGGTCCGATCTCAGGCTCTCTCTGACAAACTGCTGAAGGGTACAAGGGAAGTCCAGGATGGAGTCTAGATCAAAGACCAGAGGTTCCACGCCAGGTCCAGACCAGACGAGGACTACGTGGTAGTCCTGGAACACACCAACTGAGTTCAGGCTCTGGTCTAAATTGAGACTTAAACTGGATTAAAGCAGTACTACAGCTGGACTACAGTAGGACTCACCCAGACCACAGGGCCCTCTCCTACAGATGATCTTTGCTTCCACAGAGGAACCTGAGCACAGATGCATTGTACTGCAGTATGTGTGTAATACATACATTATTTGTAGTATGTGCAATCCTTGCAGTACTCTCAGTACTTACTGTGCGCTGCTCATTGGAGATGAACAGAACATTAAAGTATTGCAGATTTTCTCCTTCAGAACGAAACTTGGAGCAGAGCTGCCACACGTTCTCCTCACTGTTGACACAAAGTACAATACTAGTGCTACTACTGCTCAATTCTATTTATTTGTGTATCACCCCAGTGGTAGTAGCCTGGCCTTAGCCACCGTACACTCCGGTGTGGTACGATCAGGTGGTAGTAGTAGCAGTAGTCGTAGTCCTCCATTCCTCACCAGTAGCAGCTCGTGTACACGCAGTCCTCTCGCCGCAGAGTCTTCAGCATGTTTATAGTTTATACAGTGTATGTAATCATCTCCTTCTTCACAGACTCTGTGTGTATAGATATGTGTTTGCGTGTGTCTGTGGGTGTGTGTGTTTCTATAGGTAGGTATATGTCGTCGGGTTTGAGGTTTATTTAGATTTGTGATCAGTCGCACGTTCTGCAGGCGCATGCGCAAAGCTCTTCCTATTGTGGCTCTGACGTCAGCGGAAGCACATGGCCATGATGGCGGCAGTCATGAGCAGCACGAGCGCGTGTGTAGAACTAGAGCCAGAACCCAAATCTGGACCCACAGCTGGGTCAGGAAAGAGACGTACCCCCGCAGAGGTGAGTCCTGAGCGGGTATAGGGGGAAACTGGAACAGGGGGTTTTCACCATCAGGAGATATACCGTCAGTATGGTGTTAGCCACATGCTAATACTACCCTGGTGGTAAACCTCTAAATATAATATGTCTTCATGTGACATCACACGTTCCAATGGGCCAATAGTTTAATATTGTGGTGGTCTTTCTCATGTGTCTCTGGCTTCATTCGCTGGGATCTCTCTGGTCTCTGATCTCTGCGAAATCTCTTGTCTCTCTCTGGTCTATTTTTCTGGTTGGTCTGATTTATATTTATTATAGTCTCTCTGTTCTCACTCTGAAGTTTTATTTATTAAACATAATGTGCAGTTGTATTAAATATATGGTTGTATTAAATATCTGGATTTATCACCATGCTACTTTCCACCCATAGTTCTTGACAATACAATCTTATAACTTGCATTTTAATATACGATTCAAAACAAATGAGTGCAAATTACATATTGGCATACAGTGTATTTATACATATAGAAATACACTCCGATAAAAAGTGCAAGTTACCAAAAAAATGTATTTTAAAATACAGGCCAATAAGGTGCAATACAGTTAGCAGCAATGTAAAGTGCGAGACAATTTTCAAACAAATAATCATTGCTATCAGATGTACCCAGGGTATCATCCGATAGCTATAATACCCAACAGTACAGTAACTTAAAGTAAGATAACAATCTGGTTGTCTGGCAGCCATCAGATGGTATCCACAAGGGTATCATCTGATGGCCAAACACTTGTCTGGTACTGTTAGTGTGCGCAGGACTGATGTTGCAGAAGCCAGTCCTTCTAATCTTGAGAAGTTGTGAAAACCTGCCCATTCCATTCTTTGGTGGCAGTGTAGAAAAAGGCACATGGAGAAAACAGACTTTTTTTTGGGAACATTGCAGTCTCTCCTGAATACAGACCTCAACACTCTGCTTGTCACTTGAGCTCGCAGTTGTACTAACGATTTTAAGGGGGTTGGGGCATTGCCATGTAAGATTTTTTGTACCAGGCGGATATTACAGTATCTGATCAGATCATCAAAGTTTTATATTTGTCAAGTATGTGGCAGTGGTGGTAACGCCAGTGTTATTTTTATCAAGGATTTTTAAGGCCTGATTATGCAATGAATGAAGGATTTAGAACACAAAGACACAGCATGCAGTGTGATCAAATACGCGTCGAAATACAATTTAGCTGCTTTCACTGATAGTGAGCTCCTGATTTGCTGGAAGTTGGCTGTATTAAATTTCAGAACTTGGCTGACCTTTTTTACATCCTTTTTAAAACTAAGGACAGGGTCCAGGATGACATTTTGGATCCTGCAGTTCTTCAGATAGATAATTGGGAAAGCACTTTGATTTGGTTTGTTTGAAAAATAAATGGTTACAGTTTTGTCTGTGTTCAGCAGACAAACACAGAAGTGTAATGTGAATGCGTGTCTATGGTTACAGGAGGGGCCGGGGCCTGAGCTGCTGGGGGTGGGGCCTGTAGACTCCTCTGACTCTGAGGACAGCGAGTTCTCTGGACTGGAGGATTCTGGGTCTGACTCGGACTCTGACGAAGAGGAGGAGGAGGAGGAGGAAGAGCATGAAGATGACGGTAGCGATGAGGACCAGGAGGATAAACAAGAGGATGACAAAGCTCAGGGGGCAGTAGAGAACCACACGCAGGTCAGACCCACATTTGCATTAAACACCTCAGAGAAGGAGCGACCTGTCCTGGACCCTGGGAGACTTGGAGATTTAATACTTATTTCCTGCTCAGGTCCAAATGGAGAAACTGAAGATGGATGAATATGAACATGACTCGTCTGACGAAGAGGTGAGAACCCTGTGGAGACTATGTGCGCTCACATGGTCCCGTCTAGACCCTCATCCTCACAGGTTCTAAACTGATTATACCAGGTTGGGGTCGCCAACCTTTTTAAATGTGAGGGTTACCTCAAGATGACCAAATGATTCAAGGGCTACTTTATATTGTTGAATTGAAATTAATTGTGCGTTGCGCAAATTGATAAAAAATGGGGAATTGTACATAATCGTTTATTTATTTTCTTGTAACAGGGATTAAGATTAGGAAAATCAACTGTTGCATATAAATTTGAGTCTAATAATCGAAGGGGGATGCTATTTATACGTCACCGAGCGCGCAAGTTGGGCGCATTCTTGTAGTTCTACGGTTGAGCGGACAGACGCACATGCACCACAGAACTACACAACACTGCATGCACACTGCCGTAAAACTCCACAGAGGAAGAGCAGAGTGTGGCGAAGGTGGTCTTTTTTAATACAGTCTATGGTGGAGGCATTCATTCAAGCAAGACCGCGTTGAACCAGTGCAGAATAGCGAAGGAAGCGTGCAAGTGTTGTACCGCACTAAATTTAGATGAGAGATGAGAGCGGGGGAGGATGAGAGGGAGAGCGGGGGAGATGAGAGGGAGAGCGGGGGAGATGAGAGGGAGAGCGGGGGAGATGAGGGAGAGAGGGGGGAGATGGGAGGGGGAGGGGGGAGATGAGGGAGAGCGGGGGAGATGAGGGAGAGCGGGGGAGATGAGGGAGAGCGGGGGAGATGAGAGGGAGAGCGGGGGAGATGAGGGAGAGAGGGGGGGAGATGAGGGAGAGAGCGGGGGAGATGAGGGGAGGAGGCGGGGGAGATGAGGGAGAGCGGGGGAGATGAGGGAGAGCGGGGGAGATGAGGGAGAGCGGGGGAGATGAGGGAGAGGGGGGAGATGAGGAGAGCGGGGGAGATGAGGGAGAGGGGGGGAGATGGGGAGAGAGAGCGGGGGAGATGAGAGGGAGAGCGGGGGAGATGAGAGGGAGAGCGGGGGAGATGAGAGGGAGAGCGGGGGAGATGAGAGGGAGAGCGGGGGAGATGAGAGGGAGAGCGGGGGAGATCAGAGCGGGGGAGATCAGAGGGAGAGCGGGGGAGATGAGAGGGAGAGCGGGGGAGATGAGAGAGAGAGCGGGGGAGACACATTTTATGAAAATTCTAAAATCCACAATTTCCAACGCCATATGACGTCATAATATGCTAATTAGATGGGTACATTTATTCCCTACATAAACTTTTGGCCATCCTTAAAGGAATAGTTCACCGTTTTTACATACTGACATATGTTCTTACCTTACCTTAGACTAGTTAATACGTATCTGTCTGGTCTTAGTCCGTGCGCTTTGTCATGCAAACGGAGCAAAAACGGGAGCACAAATGCAGCCTCCTCTGTATATTTTGTAGCACCAAAAGGTAGCTCCCGCTAGAAGCTACCAAACTCTTCCAAGTGTTCCCTATTAAATGTATATAGTTACGTGACGTGTTACACTGCAAAGTATAGTAACACAGAAATGTAACAGTCGATTTTCTCAGCGGATAAAACGGGTACTATATTGTGAGGCGTAGTAATCTGAGGTGCGCTACGTCCGCGCACTAACTTCTCTCCGGAGACTTCTCTCTCGCTCACTTCCGTCAATAGAAGCAGCGTGACTTGTAGTACGGAGAGAAGTTAGTGCGCGGACGTAGCGCTCCTCAGATTACTACGCCTCACAATATAGTACCCGTTTTATCCGCTGAGAAAATCGACTGTTACATTTCTGTGTTACTATACTTTGCAGTGTAACACGTCACGTAACTATATACATTTAATAGGGAACACTTGGAAGAGTTTGGTAGCTTCTAGCGGGAGCTACCTTTTGGTGCTACAAAATATACAGAGGAGGCTGCATTTGTGCTCCCGTTTTTGCTCCGTTTGCATGACAGAGCACACGGACTAAGACCAGACAGGTACGTATTAACTAGTCTAAGGTAAGGTAAGAACATATGTCAGTATGTAAAAACGGTGAACTATTCCTTTAAAGGCGCTATACCCGCTTCTAAAATGTTTGAATGTTTAGCACCGCCCCCCAACTCGCTCAATGGCTTCTCATTTCCCCTACGCTCTCATAACACAGGGCCATCTAGTTCAATTTGTGATCTGACATGTATGCTAACATTAGCATTAGCACAACTTCTTGTAAGCTGTGCAACAATCACAGATGAAATGGTACTAAAGCAACGCACTGCTAACACAATATATAGGTAAAAGAATACTGCTAGTTTCGCATCCGAATTTATTCATTAAAACATTAGAATATATTCGAGTAATTAATTATAATTTATTATACAGCTCCTCACAGCAGCAGTAGAACACTCCATTGACTTGAATGTAATTCTACCGATCATTTTTTCTTGATAACCGAATTCTCAAATCAATAATGACCGCTGCCCTTTGACAATGCAATCTGTTTGTAATTCAGGTGTGTAAAATACTGCCATTACTCCGCAAGTACAACGAGCGGAGCTAGCCGAGCTAGCCACGCTCAATAAACAAATACATATCTATCAATCAACACCATTAAATGTTAATCGCACAGTACAGTATACATATACATCCTTAACACACATGCACGGACTTTTTCAGAATTTCTTGTTATCGTTTTCATGACCAAATTACTATTTTAATGTGACAAAAAGCGATCGAGAAAAACCTGGAAGTAACCATTAACATGTAGTTCCAGAGAGCTAGCTACCTTAGCTGTTACCTGCCTAGCACGTCCCGGTGGAACCTTTGGGAGCTAACTATTGAATACATTTTGAATTGTAAGGGCTGTCTAATATGTGTTCGAGAATATATATATATATAAAAATTCATTTTAGAATTATATTTGAATTTTGAAGCCGAAGCCCTAGTGTTTAGCAGCGCTGTAGAGGCTGGAGGACGCAGGCTGTTTGCTTCTTGTTCTGTGAGCGGAGGAGTATGAGCGGCCCGCTCAGACTCTACTCAGCACTTTTCACTGCTTGTAATTTTTACACAGCTGAATCAATTACCTCACGTTTTCAATTAAATTACGGATTATAATACAACTTGTATGTAGAAATAAGCATTTTTATCAACTACTTAGAAAAGAAGATTGAATTAAGAATTTCAAAAGTTTTTGAGTATATGCACTCAACAACGCACAATTACCACTCAATGACGTACAATTACCCTAAAAATGACTTAATTACACAAACGCGTCTGTGGGTTAAACAACAATACCTGTTTTTGTGCACTTTACTTTATACTGCATAGCATACATTTGTATGTTTCTTTGTGTTGCTCCAAGGTAGGGCTGGGCAAAAAATCGATTTAATCGATTTATCGATTTTGTAGCTTAAAAGGATTTTTATTTTGCAAACTCGAGTTTTTTTTTCACCAAATTTTTTTTCTGAGTTTTTTGCGTTTCGTCCTTGTGGGTTACCGTAGAGCGTTATGAGCCAGCCCCCTCCGCCGCGTAAACACAGTCAAAACAAGAATGGCAGCGTGTAGTAGAGCAGGGGTTCCCAAAGTTTTTAGCCCGCGACCCCCATCATAAATGCCCTGCTAACCCTCCTCAGCAGAAGTGGAGCGCATTTCTTGCGGCTCGCCCTCACTGTTCTCCTACCGCGGTAAAGTGGGCCGGCTTTCCGGAGTCAGCGGTAAAGAGGTCCGCACATTAAAAGCGGGCGGCCGCTTTCTGCTGTTACTTTATGCGGTTCATCCCCGCGGCTTCTCTTTCCAAAGTTACTGTCAGTAAAGGCATAGACCGGCCACCCGGTTTTAATGTGCGGACCTCTTTACCTTTGACTCCGAAAAGCCGGGCCTCTTTAACGCGCTGTTCTACCGCTGTCCTCCCTCCCTCCGCTGCCCCCCCTCCCTCTCTCCCTCCTTTGCCCTCTCTCCCTCTCTTCGCACCATCAGCCTGACCCCTGATACAAGTGACTTTTCTCCCCCTCCGGGTTTTTCTGTTGTGGATATTAACCACGTTTCATTTTAAAGCAGGTATTATTTATTTGTAGCCTCCAAACACCTTTAGTTTTAGCAAACAACAGCAGGACACGCTTTGTCGCTGCGCATGATGTGAGCTGTGTTACGTGATGATTTTGATTGACGCTGCAATGACTGGGACAAAATTACTAACGTTATTAAAATATTATAGTCTCCAAACACAATTTAACAAGTAGTCCTTTTGAATCAAATCAAATGCTAAATAAATATTTAAGGGCTTTATATTTGCTCAAAAAAAAAAAATTTTTTTTTGTTTGTGTAGAAATCATCATGCGACCCCCCCCCCAGGGGTTCCCGCGACCCCCCGGGGGGGTTTTAACAGGGGGGGCTTGTTAAAAGTATTAGATGCGAGGTACAGTACGTTGTCCCCAGTCGCAAGTATTTCGCCGATGTAGCGCTGCCTCACCTGTACAATACAACTCGTGAAAAGATCCGCGGTGAGCTGGGGGAGATGACGTTTTACTCAGCCACCACGGACCTGTGGTTGTGGACAGGCTCATCTTTCTTGCAAAAAATGCTTAGAATGAGCATGCACAATATTTCAGAGATCTAATGTTTTGTTGTTAAAGATAAAAGTTTACATTTGTTTATCCTTTGATAAGTAGTTAGTTAGTAGCTATATGTCTGCCACAGGCATGTTTAATTTTTTTTATATTCACATTATGCTGAGAGGCTAAGAGAAGAGTTTATTTTATTTTTTTATTGTAATGTTATATGTTACAAAATATGTAGTTATCTGATTTCTTAATCAGAAAATGTAAGCTACTGTGAAGTTGATGTTGCACTTTTGCTTAAACCTGGGTTAAAGCTTGAAATTGTTGAATAACAGAGCCTCATTTACTTGCATTTTAACTCTTGAGGACAATCACAGCAATAAATTTGCACTTTTGACAATATATCTGTCTCCAGTCATTTTTAAGTGCATTGGGAAAAAAAAAAACGAAAATCGAATCGAAACTTGAATTTTTCTTTTAAAAATCGGAGATTTTTTTTTTAGGCAAAATCGCCCAGCCCTACTCCAAGGCCACGTTTTTTAATAACGGGATGGAAACAAAAATGCAAATCGTTAGTTGCAGCTCTAGTCACTAGTGCTGATTCCGGTTAAATTTGGGGTACTTGATTAAGATAAGAGATAAAATAAGACTTTATTAATCTCATGCAGGAGAAATTTACAAAGTCACATTGGCAAGGATAGGAACACTCAAGAATTGTGCAAAAGTAAGAAATGTGCAGCATGTTAATGCAGGATATATTATGTACAAAAAAGTGGCGATTAGAAAGAAGTGTCGATAGTAGTGCAGGTTTCTTTTAAGTCATAGTGCAGTGACTTGTTGTACAGTCTGATGGCGGTGGGGATAAAGGCCCTGCGGTAGCGCTCCTTCTTACACTGAGGGTGCCTCATTGTAAGAAGAAGCTCCTCTACAGTCCTGTGCAGTGGGTGGGAGGTGTTGTTCATGATGGAGGTGGCTTTGACTAGCACCCTCCTGTCCCTCACCTCCTCCAGAGTCCAGGGAGCAGCCCAGAGTGGAGCTGGCCCTCCTGACCAGCTTGTTCAGTCTACTCCTGTCCCACTCTGTGATGCCCGGGGCCCAGCACACGGCAGCGTAGTGTATGGCACTAGTCATATACTCTCCTCCTCTGGTTCTCCCTGGTCCTGGTCCTCTCTCTCCCCTCCCCTGATCCTCTTCCTCTCCTGGTCCTGGCTCTCGCCTGGTCATCTTGGTTCTCCTCTTTCTCTCCCCTCAGGATATCAGGAACACGGTGGGGAACATCCCGATGCACTGGTACGCAGACTTCCCTCACATCGGCTACGACCTCGACGGACAGAAGATCCTCAAACCCATCAGGACCAAGGACGAGCTGGACCAGTTCCTCAACAAGATGGAGGACCCTGACTTTTGGTGAGATGGAGGGCTCCCACTTCTAGTTAAGTTAGTTCTGAGATAAGCTATCAAGTTAGCACTAGTGTAGCTCTGAAATGTGTGCTCAGGTTAGCTCTAAGGTTAGCTCTGGGCTCTAAAGTGTTCTCTCTGTAGGAAAACTGTTCCGGACGCGAGCACAGGGAGAGACGTGGTCCTGACTGAGCAGCAAGTGGCACTGGTGAAGCGGCTGCAGAAAGGACAGTTTGGAGAAGTCAACTTCAACGAGCACGAGGTAAGCCTGTAGTTTGGGTCTCATAAGTGGTGTAAGAGTTGGCTTTTGGGGTACAGGGGTTACAACATACTGTAAACTTAAAACAGGAGAAACACAACACTAATCTGTGTATGTGTGTGTGTGTTTCAGCCCGCGGTGGACTTCTTCAGCTGTGATGTCATGATTCACCCAGTCACAAATCGTCCCAGTGACAAACGCAGCTTCATCCCCTCACTCATCGAGAAGGAGAAGGTGAGCGCGCCCCCTATAGAAAGGTGAAGGCGCCCCCTATAGAAAGGTGAAGGCGCCCCCTATTGAAAGGTGAAGGGACTCTCAATAGTGTGAGCTTAATTTTTACATGGGCAGGGAGAGGGCGGAGAGGGAAGAGGGGGAGAGTGCAGAGACCAACTTGTGTGTGTGTGGTAGGTCTCCAAACTGGTTCATGCCATTAAGATGGGCTGGATCAAACCACGTCGGCCTGAGGACGTCTCCAGGGGGCGCTACTACGACCTGTGGTCAACAGAGGACCCTAAATTTAGAGACCTCAGACTTCACGTCCCCGCTCCGAGAGTCCCCCTGCCTGGACACGAGGAGAGCTACAACCCTCCCCCTGAGTACCTGATGTCCCCTGAGGAGGTGAGTCCCCCTACAATACCTGCTTCTGCAGCTGCTGCCTGTGTTAGTAAAGGTGAGGTGTGTGTGAAGCTGCTGTAACCCTGTGTGTCCTGCAGAGGGCAGTGTGGGAGCAGCAGGACCCTGAGGACAGAAAGTTGCCCTTCATCCCAAAGAAGTTCTTGAGTCTGCGCCAGGTCCCGGCGTTCGATCACTTCATCCACGAGCGCTTCCACCGCTGCCTAGACCTGTACCTGTGTCCACGGCAACGCAAGATGAGAGTGAGTAACCACGACACCCAGCACAATGGGATGGGACAAAGCTAATGCTAATGTGAGCAGGCTAATGCTAGTTGCTCTCTCCTCAGGTGAATGTGAACCCTGAGGACCTGATCCCCAAACTTCCACGACCCCGTGACCTGCAGCCGTTTCCCACCACACAGGCAATGGTGAGGGTCTACACAAGCACACACAAACAAACAGACACACAGGTGTGTTATGCTCAAGCCCCGGCCATCCAAGAAGGCGCCCTATTCAATTCAGTTGCCTTGTGCTCAGTGAGCGGAACTCACCCATACTTTCTCTGGTCATCCCGGTTCTGCGCAGTGGACGAAATCCCATGATATAAGCCAAATATGCATGTGTGGTTCTCGTAGGGGTGGGAACCTAAGGGTACCTCACAATATGATACGATACACAATACAAAGCTCACAATAACGATATCACGATAACGATATCACGATAACGATATCACGATATGACGATTATCGATATATTGGTCAGAAATATACAATATGCCAATTAAAGGCATAAATAAA